ATAAAGTAGTAGAAGTACAAAACTCTGTTGTTTTTTTGTTTTTTTTGACTATGGAGGGATGTTCTCTTTAAAGAGCTCCACTTCTGATTTTTTGCTCTGAAAGCTTTCGGCGGCAAAGACTGACAGAGAACAGTTACAAAACATTTTGCTGAAGAGGACCAAGTTCAGGAGAACTTCTGAATGTAGCCAGCTGCTGAAAGCTGTTTGGGTTTAATCCTGTTGCAGCCTGTCCCTAATCATGCAAACTCCTGAGCACACTTCAAAGCTCAGCTCCACCATCGCCACTCTCATATCCATTCATTTGGACTTCACCTTCAGAAGTTTCCCCCTCAACGTGATCTGTTTTGTTCTAGCCGAAGGGATTATACTCAGCACCTTGGGATTGGACCTTTGCCTGTGTGTGAGGTTATCCTCATTGCAGCTGTTATGCATTATGAGCTCCGAGAGTCCTGGCTGGCTGGTGTATGTGTCCTCTGGTTAGGCTCCCTGACCTAGGCCAGTCCAGTTAATCGGCTGGATCTCGGCTTCAGACTTGTGCGAGCGCCACTGTCTACACACCACAACCCACTGGGGGTCCTCATCATTTCGTACAATTTAGCTGTAAACACCAGAAGCTGCAGCCTTCATGATATATACTTTCTTCTGCTGTTTCTGTTTTTTGCCTACAGCACATCGTGAACTCTGACTCCTTAATCACGGTTAAATGCTGTCAGAGCGGGGAAGTGAGAGACTGCTGGGTAAAGTTTGAGAAACCTCTGTGTAGGAGAGACAGCAAGATAATGGGCTTTGCTCTCAATGTGCTGAGGCCTCTAACTGCAAGCTAAAGAAGGTTTAAAACTTCAAGTAGTAACATTTGTGAATCTCCTATAAGCAGCAGGAAAGTCTGCAAATTAAGAGCTGGATATATTTTGGTTTATTTCAGTTTCCCTCTTCTGGGCTGGTTTTATTTGTTATATTTTTTACTGACATCACATTTGAACAAAAATGCACTCTGAATATAGTGTGGTCGGCTCACAGAGCTGAAAGCAGAGGTGGTGATGATGTCTTCAGTAACACACACAGTGCCTGTTTTTGCACTATGCTGAGGTTTTTCTGTGCACAGCGAGCTCTGATGAGTGCTTAAGGAGTGCTAAACCAAGTTCCAGCTAAACTGCTCATCCATTACCCACACACACCTCACATTTAATGTGCCAGGGTCGTTTGCGTGGCAGCGGCTCAACCTTCAGGGAACTCATTCATGTCAGACTGGAGGCCAGGAGCAGATTAGATCAAATCAATGTGAGCCCTGTAATGTGGCCTCTAGTCTGTCCAACCACAGAAGTAATACTGCACCGGCCAAGTGTTCCAAGACCCCCTTCAGGGCAGACCTGTCCGTACCAGGGAAGGGCTGATCATCTTCCTGCTGCGTACCTGGAAAAACAGACCTCAGTGCCGACCATGACACAGGCTTCATTAAGCTCCCGCTCTGGCTGATCATGGCTCTGGCAAAGCGAGCATACTAGGAGGGGCTGCATTGTGTCTTTACATTCAGGACTGAGCCTGTGATGATTTGAGAATCAATACTGGAATATTCAGCCTGGACGTCAAGCTGGGCTTTTATGTGAGGCGATACAAGAGCTGCTGCTGCTGCTGCTGAAGAGACATAAGGCCACAGCAATCGCTTAAATCACCTCCATATCCTCAGAAGAACAATTACCCTGGTGAGAGAGAGAAGACAGACAACCACCTCAGCTCAGTGCCCATTGTTCTTTACATAAAAGCTAGTTGTTCTTTTAACCTTAAGGATTAGCATATTTGCTTGTAGTTTATGGGACATATAGTTTTTTTTTTTTCACACAGTCATTCCCTGAGGAATGTGGGATGTGCTTGTTTGACATCATTCCCTTAGGTACCACCTGATACCACTGAGCTCCTCACACTTACCGACGTAGAGCAGCTATGTGTATAACTGAACTGATTGTCTGAAGTTACTATAATACAGCTGGGGAAGCTCATTTTCCTGTCTCCTTGTTAGGAGATGGCACCTTTGGGGTTTCTGTATTTGCAGAGTCGTCACAGAGGATTAGCTTTGTTTCATTCAAGTGTTTTTTTTTTCCGTCTAATTGAACCTCTCTGCATTATTACTCCAAACTCAATACAATTAGTCAGTTAAAAGTACACTTTGCAAAGTCTGAAAGGTAAGCATTTGTCATGAGTGTCAGCGTATCGACAGTTAAAATACTTCCAGGGCCTACAGAATTTTTTTCCCACTGCTTGTGTGACAGCTGACCGCTGAAGTTGCACCTGAAAAAGGTGTTAAAAGAAGAAAATAACAGTTTACAAAAAAAATTAAAAATGGAATATCTCCCCTTCCTTGTGTTTTTAATCTTTCTCTCCTCTTTTGCTCTTCCCTCCAGTCCCTTAGAGGTGTGAACAGCTTGCACATTTGCTTCCCTCTGTGCAGATTAATTTCAAGGTGTTGTTAAGGCCTTTTTTTATGATGCTTGTGGTATATGATCATCTCATACTGTATACTTATTCTGGTTTGGAATGATATTTTCACCGGTTTCTTAGTGACAGAAGCGAGATATTTTTCACACCTGCTTGATCGGTTGAGTTTTTTTTTCTCGTGGTTTATGCATGATTTGAGTCACAATACAACAAGGAGAGTGCCCCTGAATTTGTGTGAAAATATAATAAATCTGCATAAATATTTCTGATGTTATTACTTTAAATGCAATGTGAAAAAGACTGCCTGTACAGCACCTAAATCACTTAGCTAACACCACAGCAGAATCTGTTTGGCCTCTCGTTCTTCTTCCTTTCAGTGTGGTGGAATCTGTGTGGAAATGATCATTAGATCAACTGACTGATTAACTGACAGAAAAAGATCAGCAACTGTTTTGAAAAGTTGTTAATTGTCATCATGGGGGGGGGGGTTGTGGCTCAGTTGAGTTGTCGCCTCTCAGCCGGAAGTTCAAGGGTTAGATACCCAGCTGAGCAACATGTCCGATGTGTCCTTGGGCAAGACACTTGACCCCACATTGCTCTGTGCCCAACAATTAATTAAAGCAAAGCTTTAAACATGAGCTGATGATGTGTAAAAAAATAAAATATATTTACCACATTCCTGACACGTTTTTATGATGCAAACAAACTTGATCAAACCGATTGTGCACCAACAACAAACCACTGTATGAAAGGCAAAGTTACCTTAAGTTAGGATAGCATCAAAATTCGCTTCTAAATATGTTAGGACCAAGATCGATTGTGGAGACTAGAAAAAAAAAATCTGAATGAAAGGTCAAGTTCATTGTTTCAACCACAGTCGGACATGTTTTGCTTATACATTAGCAAACCCGTATTTAAAACATGGAAGTAACACTGTTCTAAATAACGAAGAATACATGCTGGAAGTTTGTGTCCCTGTTGGCTTGTTCGACATTTCTTCGCTTGTCCAATTTTATTACACCAGCTTGAATTTAGTAAAAAAAAAAAATCTATTGCTATTAGCTTAGCTAGCCCTTTGGCTAACAGCGGACTTTCCAGTTAGAATATGGAGAAATTAAGTTCATACATTTTGTCTAAGTTTTGAGGAATTAAAAAATATTAAGCTGCCATATGTCACACAATTAAATAATGTTTGTTGATGTAAGGGAATAAATCCCCTCAAACAATGCTGAGACCAAACAAGTCAATAAGATAAAGAAACTCAGTGGTTATGTGACAGACCTCCTCCTTGTTACATTGTTTAGACTTGTCCATTGTGTCCAATACATCAAATTTAGTGACCTAAAGGAAGTCATTCCAAAAGGTGTTATCTTGATTTAGCAGCTGTGTAAGGCAGCTGGTGATGCTTTGCTGCTCGGTATGTGCTGTGTTTTCTTGAGTCACTTACAGTTTGATTAATGTTTTGGAAAGCTCAAATTGACAAGAGATATGAATTTTCTTCTGCCGTGTTGCTTGCTTCATGTTTGTCTTACAGAAGCTTCACTCACATCCGAGGAGATTTTGTAGGTGTGAAACAGAGACACACATACAGTTTTGTTTTGATTTCTGTCTCAGGTCCTTTTTTTTTATGTTGTGTTTGCATGCTCCTTTTCTGTTTGTACGTCCATTTCTCTAAATGTGTGCAGCTGATGGTCTGACAATGTTAGCACAGTGATGGATAGAAACTTGTGGAGGGTGTTCCTCTGCTCGGGGCATGCTTGGATACATGTCTGCAGCCTCTGACCCACAGCTGAAGCAAAGACAGTAAAGGGATGTAAAAGAGAAAGCTGCCATACAGTATAAGGTTTATTTTTGTTGGGGGAAAAAACACAAAAAGACCAAAACCAACAATTTGTTCGCTCATCTAAGCCCTCTCCCCTTTCTCCTATGGAAAATGTAAACCGGCTACCATCAAACCATTATATGTATATATTTACACAGGTTCATGTGCTCACACACAAACAGATGAATTTGCTTTTTTTTGGTTGTGGACCTCATAATGTTGTGGGATGACTCAAAATGAACTATGGTGCCAATATTCCTGGTAATGACTTATGTTCAGCCTGCAACAGTGTTGATCACTGATGTATTTTTAATGGATTTTGGACCACAATAGAGCTCTATGGTACAAAGGAATAATAAACATCAAGCTCTGGCTGCATGGACAGACTTTTTCTGGAATTCATTGACAGTAAAAAGAATATCGACAGACATCCTTGAAACAATAATATTTAAATGAATCAATGGAGAATCACTAATAAAGACATGTACTGATGAGGAATTTCAATACCAGGTTTTGGAGCACTGTGGGAAAGTTTTTATTGTGTACAAAAATTGTCGTAATTTCCAGGGATGTTCAATATTCTTGTTGAAAGATTGCATGTGTTACATGAATCCATTAATGGGTAATTATGTCACGTTTGCATTCATGAGACATATGATTGCAGATGTTTTCAAGGCTAAAACCTGGTGCATATTCATGTCTATTGTTTCTCAACTCAATCTGATGCCTCTTCCATGTGTGCCTGCAGGCTGTGAGAGCGACTTCTGGGGACCTCATTGCAGTAATCGCTGCCAGTGCCAGAACGGGGCCAAGTGTAACCCCATCACAGGTGCCTGTGTCTGCACTGATGGGTACCAGGGATGGCGTTGTGAGGAGCCCTGCGAGCACGGATACTACGGCAAAGCATGCCAGCTTCTCTGCCAGTGTCTCAATGGTGCCACCTGCCACCACGAGACAGGAGAGTGCATCTGTGCAGCAGGGTATTCAGGGGCTTTGTGAGTGTACCAGCAACAAATTCATTCCTTTTCAACTTTTGTCTATGTTTGTGTGCCACTTGTTCTTTGTCTGTTCTTCGTTGATGCAAAGAACTGCAGGCAAAACTCAAGCTATGTATCTGTCACTTTTGACTCTTTGACGTGTGTGGTGACAGCTGTGGAGAGCGCTGCCCCTCGGGGAGTCACGGGCCTCAGTGTGAGCAGCGCTGCCCCTGTCAGAACGGAGGAACATGCCACCACATCACAGGAGATTGTTCCTGCCCTGCAGGTTGGACGGTAGGTCACACACGCAAAGGTGGAAAGAAAACAAGAGAGAAGGTTAGAAATAGTCGAAACCCATGAAAACAGTGTTTGTATCTGCAGTACAATCTTTACAGAAGTGACTGACACGCTGAGAACATGGACACCAGCATCAACTTGCTGTGTTTGATTATTAATGAAAACCCAGGATTCTCTTCAAAGTAAAAAAAACGAAAAACATTAAATTGGGAAAGTTTTGCACTTTTTTTTTTAAACCCTTACTCTTTATATTGTCCAGGGAATATATGCTCTATGATATAAAGTGGTTTTGTTGCAATGTCCCCGTAGGAAAGGTTTTCAAGAAAACAATCCTTGTTGAATATCAGCTTGTTTCATGTCCTCTTCTGGTTCTCTCCCCATTTGTCTCTCTCTATCAAAAAGTTGATTTTAAATTTTTTTAAAGTTTTGTTTAAGGGCCTTTTTGCCCTTGTTGAATATGACAGCTGAAGGGAGACAGAAAATGTTGGGAAGAGAGAGTGGGGGATGACGTGCAGCAAAGGGCCAATGTTGGATTCGAACCCACGGCCACAGCGATGAGGACTATATCCTCTGTACACGCTATTAGCAAATGTTTTAATGGGGTCAAAAAGTACATCAAATATGTAGATATTTCTGATGTTTACATGCCACGATATGAACAGTCTGATCACATCTTTGCAGGTTCTCCAATGTTTATGATTCCATTATATATATATACGGTCATATTGCCAAACCTGATTATATATTTATTCTTTGCTAGTGCAGCATTGCTTATTTGAAATGAAAAAATGTAGTTTGAGGTGGATGTGCTCGATAAAGATGATGTGTAAAAAAGTGTCCAATGAGAATTGTTTTTTTGATAACTGTTGTCTTATTGTTGTTTCTAGAATGTGATACTTATTTATGCTTAAATCCTATAGTAGGGAATAAGAGATATACCTGAAGCAGACAGGAAAACTAAAAGAGTTTGTCTTAATTGTCTAAACAACAGGGGGGAAAAAAGTCTCTGTTAGTATCAATTTTATACATTTCAGTCCTGTTGAGTTGTAGTCGTGAGCAAAGTTTCTCATTTGGTTCTCTGCTGGCTGTTTCGCAAAGGGTTCAGTTTGTGCCCAGCCGTGCCCTCTTGGCAAGTACGGTATCAACTGCAGCAAGGACTGTTCCTGTCGTAACGGCGGACTGTGTGACCACGTCACCGGGCAGTGCAAGTGTGCAGCTGGCTTCAGTGGGCGCAGGTACACAGGACACACCTCTGACACACACGCACACACTGCTCATTCATTACACACCGAAGCATTTGGTGAAGAACTCTGTGAAAATGCTTGTATTCCTCTTTTAAAACGAGGTCAGACAGAAACATGATTTATTGATATAAATACAAATGTGAGGTTTCATGCCGACAGTTACACGTTCTAAAGTAACTCATTGACCTATTCTCTTTGTTGACATCTAATTAGGCATAAACATGGCTTTTCTTCTCAGAGAAAATATCAGAATCATCTCACACTCAAGAGAAATAAGCATTTAAAATTTCCCATTAGTCCATCTGACAGTGGATTGGAAGCTTTTAATAGTCGTGTTTATGTTTAATTAATCTCTTACTTCATGCTGGCCGGCTAGGTTTCATGTCTTCAGCCTTCTCCCAGCCTGTCCATTGATCTCACCATGGACTACATGCTGTTTGGAATCTGCTCATTAATTATAAGTAATGGGCTTATATTAAGGTCTCATTGAAATCCACACATCTTTTTAGTTCCCCGTGCCTGCCAGAGCAGCCCACAGCGACCGGGTTTATTAGTTCAGCCAAAGCAATTGTCTCTGGATAGAAACACTTCCTCGACAAGACCTTCCCTTTACTTTATTATTTTGCAAAATTGCCCTCATTCATTTTGTCAGTGGCAGGTGAATTAACCTGCCAGGAATAATCTGAGATTGTGTTAGCCTGCACCCTCTGCTGTCTACCATTATAACGCCAATGTCCCCTGATGAAACTAAAGCCGGGTAGTTTAAACATGAAACATAACTCGCCCATTTGATAATTTAATTGAGCTATTTGAAATAGCTTTGTTAGACTCTTGAGATTGATTCTATAGTGAAGTCAGTATATTTAAGAGAAGAAAAAAAAATCTATTTTCTGATCTGCCTCAGTGCTTCATGTGGACAAAGTTGTGCTTTTCTAGATTGTGGTTGACGATGATCACTAAATCTTGTCAACCTCGCAGAGAGACTTGAGTCGTGAGCTGCTCTCAGGCCTCACTGTCATGTACTACTTTAAAGTTGACAATTCAATTAGGAATTGTTTTAATCTTACCAAATGACAAGTTCAATATATAAATCATTGAATATAAAAAATATGAATATAACAATATTTGGATTTAAATTACAGTAGCAGCTAAATAGTTTTATTCAAAAATAAGAAAAGTAGCTGCTCCTTTAAGAAACCTTCACTGGCCTCGCTTTGTGATGAATCTTGATAAATGTGTGTGCAAGCATTGACCAAAATGCTTTAAAAGAAAAGAAAAATCAACATAGAAATGATCAAATCTGAAAAAACTACAAAAAATAATAATCATGATGAAAATATTAAACACCAGCCACATTACACAGACAATAAAAAAATCCCCTATTGTTCGTCTGTCGGAGGAATGAAAAGCAGTTATCGGACACGGGAGATGTCTGAACTGGTAAAACGTGAAGAGCAGTTCTGACATAAACTGGAGACAATCCATTCTGTAGAAAAAAAGGAAGGAATGTTGAAATAAATTCTTTGCCTCACTGGTGTCCTGTAAAGAGAACTCACTGTAGGTGAGATATGGTCTCTGTTTTCACCTGTGAGGATTCTGGCTGCTCCATTTTTTTAAACAGCTGCAGGTGAGAGAAGACTGATTCTTACATAGAAAGAACTGCACAGACAACAGCAGTCTCAAAATGTTTAAAAGACAGAAATTATGCTATTTTGCAAGTTCTATACAGAAAGATGTAAGAAGCCAGCGCCAAGCTGTAACTTTATCTGGCTCTGTACGTTTAAATCTTAAAACAGAAACAAATAAAAAACAATGCCTCCTAAAAACAGCACATTTTTTAAACTCTCATGAAAATGACAGTTTGTAAAATAAATAAATATATACAATATATATGTATTTTCATTAAAACTATAGTTTCAATTCTGTTGTTTAATTTAAGATTTATATTTGGGTGCACTAACCGTAGTGTTGGTATAATAACATGGTTGGTAGAAATGACATAACTAAAAACAAAAACAATAATTACATGTTGAAAGCACGTTTTATTATGTTATTTATTCAGTTAATAGTTTGCTGTTTAAATTACCCAAAAGTTTTGAATTAAACAAATAATATAGTAATCAAAAAAGCCTGTAAGCCTTTACAATAAGAGTATTTGAGATTTTTCCTTGACAAACATTTTTTGTATCAAGATTTATTTATTTTTATTTCCTGTTGCTTGAATAATTGTTGAAATGTCTTACTGATTGAGCTTTAATGGTTTTGGTGCTTCACAGTGCTGCTTTAAACTGTGTAACATTTGAACTTCATGTTACCGTCCTAGGCTAAAAACATTTCTAATATACTTGAAATATTTCGAGCACCAATTTAAAAGAACGTGTAATTTTCCTCCAGGTGTCAGGATGACTGTCCTGTGGGCACCTTCGGTCCTCAGTGCAACCAGAAGTGTGAGTGTCAGAATGGAGCCAAGTGTCACCACATCAATGGGGCCTGTCTGTGTGAAACAGGCTTTAAGGGCCCTAATTGCCAAGAGAGATTCTGTCCTCCGGGCCTCTACGGCCTCATCTGTGACAAGTACTGCCCGTGTAATACCAGCAACACTGTGAGGTAAGTGAGACATCAGTGATATACCACACACAGTCTGCAGCTCTGAAGCAAACCTCCCTGTAGCTCCATAAGAATAGTCTTCCAGAGTTGAGTTGGGTTTTTTTTTTGCTCTAAGCCAGCTCTCATTCTTAGTCTGGACACCACCGCCATGTCATCCAGTTAGCTTTTAATCGCGACCTTTGCTTCATTCATAATTTCTCAGCTGCATTCATAGTTAATGCAATGTTAATGCTCTGATTCCGGCTGGAGTAGGGTACCGGCCGTAGAAGTCATTACAGAGCGAAGGAGAAAAGAGACACCTCATCTATCTGAAACAAGCACGTAGACACACAGATGGATGAATTGCTGTTGGCGCAGACTTCCCACTTTGACCCTGCTCTCCAATGAAGTGTTGATTCTCTCAGCTAAAACTTCACTCCTTTTCTTCCTGTTGTTGCCCTTTTTTTCTCATTATGTTGTAGCTGCCACCCGCTCTCTGGTGAATGCACCTGCGCTGCGGGATGGACGGGGCTCTACTGTAATGAGACCTGCCCGCCTGGATACTATGGAGAGGGATGCATGCTGTCTTGCAGCTGCACCAATGGAGCTGACTGCCATCCTATCACAGGTTCCTGTATATGTGCCCCTGGGTTCATGGTGAGCATCAGAAACTGCTTTATTTCTGCACACATCACTGGCTTGTATATGCTTTATGGCGACTTAATATTTATTTTTTTATAAAGATTTTGTGCTTTTTTTTTTATTTATTTTTAACCTTAATAGCTAACATGATAAAAAAATAATAATACATAACAAAAACAATTCATAGTCCTTATTCCCTGAAGGAAGACAAATCTGCAAACAGGAAAGAAAAGAAAAAATGTGGAACTTTATTGACAAAGAAAACACAAATGGAGGAAAAATCACTGAACACATTTAAAATGCATTAAAACCTCCATCATCATTTAACATGTTTCCATTTTGCTCTCTATTTTAATTGAATCACCGCTATAATTACGGAGTGCCACCTCATAATTATGCTTTTGGTAACCTTAATTTTTCCATGAAGCTGTCATTAATTGGTTAATTGTCTTTGTAACCTTGCTCCTTGTAATCTCCGTAACCCTTAAAAAAAAACCTGAAGTTGCATAAAACAAGAACGCAGATTCTTATAAGGGCCTCAGTATTGTGTCTATATATCACTCAGAGCCCATGCTGGGGAACAATCAATCCTTCTATGTTACAAGCTTTACTTGTGAAGGTGGTTGCATTGATTGATACTTCATGTTATTGGCGACTCTAGCAAAAGTTTGCGTCATTGTTGTTGTAAAGTTTTGGAAGTGGTCCCAGTATACTTTAGAAGCTTTTTGTACACAAGCAGGAAGAAGCAAGGTGAGGTATTTTATTATTGCCTTATTATGGATGTTCTGGAGTGCACCACAAGAAACCTCTTCCAAAAAGATTCATTCTCTGGTCCAAAACTTTCCTGACATTAATAACCAGCTTTATGTATATCTCTAACGCAGATGATAATGCCATGAATTGTTGCATAGGTGAGACTAAAAGTCCAAGACCAATTGTGGTGAAATGTAATCTTTGACCTATATACTTTGCCGTTCAAGTAGATTTTGTGCAGCCATATTGTCCCCTTTCACTACTGTCAAATTAGTTGTTCAACTTCAATCAGTTCATCTATTGTATTTCTTGTCTCACAATCTGGAGTTACAGAGCAGCAGAGACCAAGAGGGTACATCTCTGCCAACATTACATTTCTGTGGAAATTGCCTGTGTCTTACAGCGGGCCACTGTGGTGAATTGAGCTAGTGAGCGGGGCCGCAGACTGTGTCTTAATTTGCTCCACCTGTTCTCTTTGGCGGCTGCTGGGAAGAGCTGCCAGATCCATTAAACAGACCTAGAGGGCAAGAGCTGGATAGAAAAGGAGGAAGTCAGATGGGAGCAGACTCACCTCATATGGTGGATTTGTGTGTGTTTGTGTGTGTGTGTGTGTGTGTGTGTGTGTGTGTGTGTGTGTGTGTCTGTGTGTGCAGGGGAGAGGGATGGGGGGAATGCTTGCTGTAGTTTTTGATACTTTAACTGAGAAGCTGTGCAAACAAAACAGAAATGTAGAACTGGGATCACGACGCTTACCTGCGAGTGTGTAACTTATTTTCACTTGTTTTATTACACAGTTTGGCTTTTTAAAACATGGTTGTTGATGGCAATGACAAGTGTGATTGCTGGTGAAGTCATTTTCCCTGGATACAGCTGATAGGACTAAGCCTCCCCGCTGCATCTTTGTTCAGGACTCCCATCAGGGGGCAAACCAAGCAAAGTGCTGGAGCCTGCACGCTTGATTTAGCTCTAGTAATTGGACATGCTCTTTTGACAGGGACAAAGTGATTACATGTTACCTTTTCAGGCATTGTCCTGCTCGATCTGCAGTCACATTCACAGTCACATTTCCTCTCTGTTTACAATTTCTACAGATTCTGTTCATACCGCTATATCTGAAATAATGCTGCATTCGAAATGGATTCCAGCCTGCCTTTGTAGGTGGTGAAAACAAATCATTTTCCCATCTCTCAGGGCTTTCCACCTTCATCAAAAGGTTCAGGGGTTCATTTTCTGTCTTGCTGCATGAATTTTAAACTGCAGTCACTCATCCAGCAGTTAGATGAACTGTTAAGGAGTTGGACTGATTGGTAATTAGTGATGCCATTTGCATCTAGTCTCAATGGATGCCATGCTGATCAATGTTGTGTCAGCTAGAGGCTTTGTGGGGGAAAAAAAAAGCTCTCCAATTACATTAAGATACCAGTAGGTATGAATTTAGTGCCTCAGCCAAGGACGACCTGGCTGCCTCTCTGCTGCTCAGGTCTGGTTGCTTCCTCCATCAGCTGTGTAGTTATGTAAGGTCCTGCTGCTCTCGTGCGATGGACTGACAGCCCGTGTATTAATAATGATTCTCCACATACAGACTCCTTTCCTTAGCAGCTCAGAAGGAATATGAATCAGTCGGCTAATGAGAGAGCTGCCTTTCCCCTCTCAAGATCAGACCAACCACCGGTCTCTGCACCATGAGGGTGAAACCAAGTGGAGTCTGACGCAGCCAAGGATGCAGCGAAAATCCATGTGGTCATTTGTGGCTGCATGACATTTTATCCGTGAGTCCAGTCACCAGTAAATTGCCTTTGCTCTGAAGACAGGCTGAACCCCCCCCTCCCCCAATCACCCATCCACCCCCCCCCGGCTGGTCCAACTTCTCTCCACACTTAACAACTGTAACTGAACTGCTATTGTTAGCAGTCTTGATGCTGTCATATTCAGTAGAACAAAGGTTATTGCAACCGATTGATAAAAATTTCATTCACAGCCGGCCGCTTTCATGTGGTGTACGGGGAGGAGAGATGTTTTAAGATGTGTGTTCTGCCCCCGGCGTCCATTGGCACATCTCCTCCTGCCTCCTGTTTAAACTCGGTTCAAAATGATAATGAGAGCAGTGAGCAGCCAGCATCCCCCAGTGCTCTGGTGAGCGAAGCAAGAGCCACTCAGGACTCCTCTGGGCCGCTAATTGGAACTCTAAATCATTGTGTCACCTGTCACTCAATGCTGGCTTTGGAAGAGAGGTTGTGAGGATCCACAGACCAGCTGTGATCTACTGCTTAGAGAGGGGCGAGACTAGTGGAAGTGGGCTGTGCTCAGCCTTTAAAGCAGGGAGATTCTAATGACCGCAGGCTGTAGAGGACAGAGACAGGGTATATTCCATGTCCTTTAGTAGATAGTTTGCTCTAATGCAAAGGTAAGGGGCCTAAAGACTGCAGCAGCATGGCTGCTTTTCTCCCATTGGTGTGCTTATTAATAGTAGATTGAGAGTCTGCCGCAGTCTGTTAGGGATGTCTCTGAGAACCTGCTGTTTCCCTGTTGACCCAGTTCGCCATGGAGTTTATTTTTTGGATTTTACATAAACTCCCTTTTTTTCCCTTCTTTTTTTTTTTTCCATATTTGCATTGTTTGTACTGCAGTCTCCCACTGATGGCCTAAAGGGGGTGCAGACAGCCATGTGCTTCCTCTGATATCCTCGATATGCATCTTATAGCCAGTTCTATACACTCAGAGCTTCATTGGGAAATTTACAATATTCTCTTCAGATTTCATCCCCATTCATTAGCAGCAGGAATAACAAGTTATATTTGGTCGAATTATTTAGTGAAGCTGTCTCGTCCGAAAGATGACCAGAGTCAGATAGGGAAAGGGTCCAGACTCTCTGGCCTTCGAGTCCTGCCAGTATCTCCATGTATAAAAGTGGAGACTGCTGATGAGGTCAGTCCAGAGGGAGAAATGAGTGAAGCATTGTGTCATGGAGTTCATGGGAGGAAGCTGGGATTATCATCTTAAAGGGTCCTGTAACACCAGCAACACCATGAGGTGTAAGTATCTACTGTACCTATAACTTCTGCTTCTATCATTTATTTGTTTCTTTGCTCCATCCTGTACAAAGATACAGTATGGTCAGTGCAGTGTCCTCCCTGTCTTTCTAGCCACATCTTTGTAGATAATATTATTCCTATTTTAGGACTACCAGTGTCAGCGTTTATTTAATGGTCATCCTTTGCCTCATGGCTTTTCTCTCTCTCTACGTCAGGGTGAGGACTGTGCTACAATGTGTCCTCCTGGTCTGCATGGACCGAGCTGCATGTCCACCTGCTCCTGCCACAATCACGCGTCCTGCTCCCCAGTCGACGGCTCCTGCTTCTGCAGGGAAGGTACGGTTTTAAGTGACTCGTGTAAAGATCCATAGCAACTCCTTAACATTGTTAAATGTGCTACTCTGACTGTTCTGTGTACAATGTAATCACACTTTTGCATACACACACTAATGTACTTATGGTCTGAGTTCTCTTGCATTCTGTGCTTGAGAATTTAAGAATAAAACTTCAACATTGTTTTTAAATACATATTGCCAGGTATGGAACATACAAACATGGAAAAGTTACTCTGCACTCATTGCGCTCAAAAACAACATAATTCTGTAAAGTTAAGGGTAACTAGATCAAAAAGATAAAGTACAATACGGTATGTATTTGTGACATGTTGAGACACATCACAACAGGTTCTAACCTTTGTGTGTACATTCATTTGGAGCAGTTTAACCTAAGACTAATTTCACCCTCACGCATTGTTGTATGAACTAGTTTAAGAAGCCTTGAAGACATTGAAGTACGCCATGTTGATGAAAAAAAGAGAGAGAAAGTGTTGACCTGATGATGTAAGGGGGAAACGTTTAGGGATAATTGCTGTTTACAACTTCTCCTGAAGAGCACATGAACATCTGAAGTAAAACAAATACATTCTGGGATATTTCACTTAAAATACAATGTCATACTGTAAATGTCAACCATGTCCCTAGACTCTATCGTCTTAAAACCAAGAAAAAAGTAAAATTAATTTGTAATCCATCTAATACTTGTAAGAAAAATGCTCTACCGAGGGCACTTAAGGATATAAAAAAAAAGAAAGAGATTTATTCTAGTCTTGGAAACAAGAATCTCTGCAGAAAATGTCATCCATGCAGTCTTTGTTGTGATGTTTGAGTCTGGATAACAGTGGAGAACACACTGATAGACCAGCAGACAGATATTGAAATACTTAGAGCTCTTTGTATGGGAATATATATACTGTACTAGGAACTACAAATCAACAGGGTTATTGTGTATATATCTTAATGGCTCAAACTTAAAAAAGCTTAGTGTTTCTCTTTTCTCTCTTTCCAGGCTGGCAAGGTGTGGACTGCTCCATCCTCTGCTCCAGTGGCACATGGGGTCTGGGCTGCAACCAGACATGCTTGTGTGCCAATGGTGCTGCATGTGACCCTGTAGATGGCACCTGTACATGTTCTCCTGGGTGGAGGGGAGAGCACTGTGGTGAATCCTGCCTTGTAAGTCTTTCTTTTTCCCTGAGCGAGGACAAAGACTAAAGTTTTAAGGGTATAACAGTTATTTTTTTTTATATTTGTCAGGATGGCACCTATGGTTTGGAGTGTCGTGAGCGCTGTGACTGTAGCCATGCTGATGGCTGTGATCCTGTGAGTGGCTACTGCCGCTGCTACCCCGGCTGGACAGGTCAGTATTGACAAAACAGCAGGCTGTCATTAGGGGAAGAAATAACTACTTACATCGAAACTGCATGTGTTCATCAACAGCTAAAAATCAGAGACATCAAATGCTAGTCAGACATTCTATTTATGCCAAAACAGGAAAATATGCCGTGGCGATCATGATTTGTGTTTTACAGGATGTTTACAGAATGTCTAAGCAGTGTTTTGTTAATTAAATGTTCAATTTGTTTTGCTACTGAGCCGGCGGGGTGTGTGAATGAGAAATGTGTGTAAATGAATTCTCCTGGCTAACACACTGGATGCTGGTATGCAATCCTGCTTATATTGCATCAATTACTTGTTATACACAACATCCAAAGTGAGTCACAAGATAAATATTTGGAGACAGAATCAAATCATCGGCCCAGGATGGTCTCATTAGTCTTAAACACAGCCCATGATGTTTTTATTTTGGCTCTTCTGATTTTTTTTTTTAAGTTCCAGGTTGTTGTAAAATCTGATTGAACTAACTGCTGTATTTATTCATCAGGGATTCAATCTTAGACGTACGGAGTCTCCGATTGAACTCCCATCCTCTCTCGACTCAAATTCTTAGTTTGAACTTGGACATATGTTTGCCTTTTTGTTTCTTGTCATTTTAAACATTTGCTTACAGGGAAAGACGTGAAGGTAGGAATGTGTGAATGTCACAGCAGTGGTGAGGATCATTATGCTCCAAAAATGAAGCGTCGCATCTGAATGTCAAATGGGGGGGCTAGCTGAGGACCTGCTCTCTGAGCCCGGGTGGAGAGGTGCAGTCAGGGAGGGAATAGATTTCAGCAGGAAAGGTCAAGCCTGTGGGCTCTCAGCAGCCCACTCCATTCAGCCTCCTGAGCTCAGGGCATTTATTCTGGGAAACAATGTGGGTTTTATTATCTGCAAGAACGTAGGCGGCAAAACGGGCCTCTCATGCTCTGAATCCTGCACAGGTCGGGACCATCTGTCAGCCATAATTGAGTCACAGGGGTGCATGGCTGGGGGCAACGTGCAGCCCAGTGGGCCAGACAAACACACATACACACTTACAAACTAGAACTCGTGGAGGCTTATCAATGGACTTTCTGAAGGATGAAGCACCCAGAGAGAGGAAGATGTGGGATTTATCACAGGAGGGAGTCAAGGATGGAACAAAATGTTTATTTCCAGAAACACTGGAGCTGTTTTCTGCTGTAAACACTGTCACATATCTGTGCATGCTAGCTCCAGAGTTTCTAAGGCATCCTACTTTGCTCTCAACTTGCTCAGGGTTTAGCTTAAACTTTCAAGAAGCTTGACTCGAGGAGTGTGTGCATGTAAGTTGCTAAGTCGTCTTTGACCCACACTGTTGTTGCTGAACTGTCGTAAGCCTGACATCAGCCAACAAAGATGTAAAAAAAGGAGAGATGTGACCACAAACCTGATGCTGGTCCCTCTTAAAGAAGCCTTTACCTTTTATTTCTGAAGAGGTTCCATGTCATAGAGCAGATAATGTGAGTGTGTGTTTACATGCACTGGGAGAGAAAGAGGGAGTGAGAGGTTTTCTTTGCTCAGCTCGCTCTGTACAAATTGGATAGTGAGACCTCTGGCACTTCTCCGCGAAAAGCGTCCTTTGAAGAGACTTCAACTCGGGCTCATCTCACTCTTTCTTCTCCTCGCTCACTCGGCACCCAAAGCCCCTCTGTTTGTCACCATTAGACTGAAAAATGTGATGCTCTGTCCGCATTCATTTTCTGACAGTAAAGGCAGTCGCAGGGTTTTTTCTTCCTGGCCTAGCAGAGCCTCAAACACACTCGCACAAGCCTTGCCCTCCTTTTGAAGTCCATGGCTTGGCTTCTGACTAAATCACTGCTACCATGCCCCCTTCTCATCAGCACTAACATTTCCTCTCCTTACCTCCCATTCCAGCCCTTAGACAGCCTGATTACTGTATAACATTAGTCCCCAGAGTTTAGTCCAGGTTTAATTCAAAGGTACTGCTCTTGTGCTGCTTTAATGGCCACACCATTCTTAGATATTCTCACTCAAAGGAAATTTAAAATGAGGCTACGAACTAAGGGCTGCTGCCGGAGAGGTTGCAGAGTTTGTGAGTATGTGACTCTTAACTGTGTGTGTTTGCAGTTATTTTGGCCAATGGTTTTTGAATGCATGGCTTAGAGAAACGCAATGCTTCGTCAGATGTGCTCCCAACTGTTTACAATGCACAGCGAGGGGCCCCTGTACATATTCTCTATTCTATATAGGTTTGGTTTTGACCTGCCCTAAACACACAGCCACATTTCCACATAGTTGGAGCCTGCGCACTTCTTTTTGGGCTCTGTGCTCTACCCAAACTCTGCTGAAAGAGAATGGGAGACAAGCTGGGCCCCTCTGGAGACCCAACCCTGTTAATCAACACAGAGCACTGGCAGGATGCCTCAGTCTGATCAAAAATAAAATACATTTTCGAAAGGAGAAATAGACTCTGAAAAGATGGGCTGAACTAAGGAAAAAAAAAAGAACCTCAAAACTGCAGCTTCTTCATTTAGGACTAAAATCAATTGAGTATTCTTGCTGGGTGAATAACTCTCATCAGATCCACCGTGATCGGGCATTGTGTACGCTGTTCTTTGATTCCTTCATTTTTACAAATAGCAGGATGTTTAGAATATAACAGCCTTTCCCTTTTAGTGTGCTTTCTGTAAATACAGGTCATTGTGCTGTTTCTACAGGAATCCACTGTGATAACGTGTGCTCACAAGGCTACTGGGGACCCAACTGTTCGGTCAGCTGCTCCTGTCAGAATGGCGGCTCCTGCTCTCCAGAGGACGGCACATGTGTGTGTGCACCTGGATACAGAGGGACCTCCTGCAAAAGAAGTGAGTGCTCCTCTTCCTTCACCTACAAACCTCTCAGTCCAAACCCCTTTCGGAATAACAGCACAAGGCCTTAGAACTGCGCTGGTTTTCCATCACAGTGTTGACCTTGCTTTGATGTTTGAAGATTTGTTGAAAGGTTGTGCTGGCTGAGGGGGGGAAGCACTCGGTTGTCGGTCAGAACTGCTCAAGTGTGAACCCTTCATCACTGCTATCACTTAATCACAGTGTCTGTACCCCTACAGCAGCCCCTTCAGACTAACACCACACACACTCCTCAGCTCCACTAGCCCGTCCTCAACAACCAACTCACAGTGGGAGACTCGCAGTCCTCGCCCGAGGCTCATCAGAGGGTGTGCTCGCTGGGAGTGTGAGCTCTGCCTTCTGAATGTGGTCTGTCTGTGGCTGTTCTCGAGTGATGAGCTCACTGATTGGGAGTGAAATTCAAAGTCACAAACATGCAAACATCAATTTGAGCGAGCAAGCTGAGAGACCTAAACAAGCTCTGTGTCCATGTGTGTTAGTGTGAGTGTGTGTGTGTGTGTGTGTGTGTGTGTGTGTGTGTGAGAGAGAGAGAGAGAGGGGAAATCACTACTCCTCCTAATTCAATGTGTAAACAGATAATGTTCTCGTCAGGTGAAAACCTCATAACTCCAGTTTTGCTGTTTTTCCCTGCATGTGGAAACTTTAATTAGAAGATTATGCTTCTCCAGAGGCTCATAAAGGTGTATCACACCTGCTGCTTTTTATCATTCAAAGCCAGTTGGGTAAACTTAACATTGCATGGTTGTCAAAAACAACCAAGGCTGTTTTTTGTCCAGCCTCTCAGGGTTTTTATGTTGGAAATACCTGTTTTTCCCCTGAGAGCTGTGATATTTCAGTAGGAATCATCCCAAATCACTGGCTATGAAAATAGGAACATATCTTTGCTTTTTTTAAGCTCTCCCAGAGCTAAGGAAGATAGTGTTTTTATACAAGTGGGAATCTCCTATCGGGGTTGCACAGATTGTGCGCTTTGTATAAAATATTAGTATAATTACCTTTCTACCACCTTGAATACCTCTTTATGATCCCCATTCTTTCCATAAAACCGGCATTATTAACACACAGTTGTGTGTTTCCTGACATTTATAGATCATCAAGCTGCTCTCAAGCCTCGACATAAAACAGATTTCATGATTCTCTCTACTTTTTTACTATTCAGTCTCTGGCAGCAGATGAAATGGGAGTGATTACAATAAAGACTGACTTTTCAGCTTTCTCCCTCCCACTGCTGTCTCTGCCATTTTAATTCTCCCAGTCTTAATTTTACTGTACCCCCTTGATCACTCTTGTCATGCTCATTATTTTATACCTCTTGTGCCATCCAACACCATTGAATGATTCCCTGTCCTCTACCCATCATGCTCTGCAGTCTGCTCCCCTGGGTTCTACGGGCACCGCTGCAGCCAGTCGTGCCCGCAGTGTGTGCACAGCACCGGGCCGTGCCATCACGTCACAGGCCACTGCGAGTGCCTGTCCGGCTTCTCTGGCTCTCTGTGCAACCAAGGCAAGTAGCCTTCCGGGCCTTTTTGACCTTTTCATGCCGTTTCACTTACAACAAGATTTATTCACTGTGAAGTTTTAGTTATTGCTGCTCGAAATTGAAAGCACAATTTACATCTGAAAACTTTGTAACGTTTTGTATTGACAGGAAAAAGAAAAGAAAAGTCTGTTTGTAGATGTTTTGAAATTGCATTAATTATTTTTGAGAAGTTAGAAGATAAAAAAAGCAAGACAGTACATTAGAGCAAAATCATCATGTTAAATGGTTAGTATATGCTTATACCTTAAGTACACCTACTAATAAAACTTAAGGGTTACTTTATATCTAAAAAGAAGTCCTGTCACAGCATTTTGAGAGGACACTATATACTATATTTATATATTTATATATTGTATATTGTCACCTGTGCAGTCCTCGCCGTGCTCTGTAGCTCTAATAGGATCAACGGATGACCTGCTGCCTCTCCCACTGGCATCTCAGCCCTGAAACTTTGAATAATAGCTGTAATCAGTCCACTCCAGACCAAGTAGGGGAAAAAAATCCACCTTCAACAGGATCCAGAATATTGCTGAGACCATTTTTTTTTCACACAAAGAATATGTCAAGTAATTGTTGGTGTTCTTCCTCCTCCTAAAAGAGAGCCGCTTTTACATTCCTCTCTACAAACACACAAAGAAACAACACATGAGCATGCCTTTTTTTTTCTTGTTAAATTTAAATTGAAGGCAACCAAGGAAACTTTTTCTTTGTGCTTCACTTCAAAGATGTTGTTTGAATCACACAGGAGGATCTTGCTGACAGGAACAAAGTTTGCAGCCCGTGTGAAGCTTCCATATAGATCCTCATTTCAGGCCGAGATGTATTTGATACAGGTGTTTTCACTTTTAGAAATCAATTTTCTGTCAATTTTCTCAGATAATGTACATTTTAGATGGATATATATGTCGGCGATTATGTTCTAAAGTAATCTTAACTAAGACATAATGTGTTGACACCATCACTGAACACAACTTGTAAAAAAAAATATAAAAGATATAACATAATATAAACTGTCTTTTATATGTCATGTCTACCATAACCATGAAAATGCAAAAAAAGACTTGTAAAGGGACTGCATCTTAAATCTCATCGATAAATTATTTGGATTGAAATGTTACATTTCTTAAGAGTAAATTAGTTTTCTGTCCTCTTATCCTCCAACAGATTGTCATATATGGACCCATGTGTGACAGTCATGTGATCATATTGGTCTTGTCAGTGGTTGCCGGCGTAGCTCCATCGCTGTGTTGAGGAAGACACACAAATGAACTGTAGATTTTACTTCTAATAATTTACCTTTTTTTTTAAATAAATTACTGAAACACAGTGGGGAATTTTTGAATTCTCTTTCATGGCTTTGAGCAATGTCTTACAAAATAAAAGTTTAATAGGTTAGCTGAAGGGAGAGGAAAAAGGGAAAAAAGCAGAGCCAGTCCTAATTTGTCAGACTATAATTACTGTTGAGCAGGCGTTAGGCCGCAGGGGACGAAGGTGGCCGACAACATGAACATTCTCCTCTCGTTGAGCCCCGTTGGCGTCCTCACTTGTCTTCTGTCCAGCACACAAAGTCCCGGCTTAATGAAGCTCTCCCGGTGTGCTGAGGCTTGAATCCCCAGAAGCGGCAGTATGGGGGAGCCAACCTCGTGGCCTAATGACAACCTGCTTCAAGGAGCTTGAAAGAGCTCTCAAGAAGAGGGGAAAGCCAGTTGAAATGTAATCATTAAAATCACCCCTCATGAAAATGAGTCAGACCCATCTCTTTCACAGCCAGCCGCCTTATCTGATATTTCTGACGCTGGGCTATTCTCTTTATGTGGGGTCTTTGATGTATCTGCTGCTGCTGCAGCTCCCTGATTCTGGTGCTTAGAAACACCTTGGTTCAATTTGTCTCGCAGCCCAACAAGAAAACACAATGGAGGTTTCATTGGAAATGACATCTTTTATTGAAGAGTGCCAGAGAGCATTTAAATATTAATTTCATAAAAAATGTATACAGTGGTCTGTGTACATGGTCTATTTTAATTCTGTCGCACATCACTCATTCCACTCTTGTGAGTGAAAATGGGGCAGTTGTGCCACAGGAGGCAGTGATTGACTCCTCCCTTTGTTTAAACAGTTCACTTCATGTCCACTCAAATAGAACAATATCATCCATTAGAGGAGTGTGTTTACACGACCTCTCACGAAATGAGTTTGTTTGTATGAGTGTACTCACTCTAATGTGTCCAAGTTTGGTGTCATAATGTTAATGGATTTTACTCGTCTTTGCATGTAAGTGAAAATATGCAGATTAGGGTCGTTCTGTGAAATCGTGTGTTTTGTGTTTCTGGGTTTGCAGTGTGTTCTAGTGGCAGGTTTGGGAGGGCCTGTGCTGAGATCTGCCTCTGTACCAACAACGGCACCTGCAACCCCATCGATGGCTCCTGCCAGTGCTTCCCCGGTTGGATAGGAGAGGATTGCTCTCACGGTATACTTTTTTCTCTACTTTATCATTTGTTTAATTCTCTTGTTTTCTCAGATTCTACCCTCTCATTGCCCGTCTCTACTCTTAATTTCTCTGCCACTTTTACTTTCATACTCATTAATCATGTTCATGACCCTACACATTCAGATACTTACCCTCACCCTCAGCCGTATGTAAAACAGATAGCTTGTTAAAATGATTGTTGTAATACATTATGCTCATTGATTTACAGCAATGTTGGCTAAAGATCATTAGAAGAGATTTGATCCACCCTGCCGCGGGATATTGATGTGTTTTCTATTGCCTTGACTACCTGAAGAATAAATAGTTTATGATCAGATGGATGTAACATTAACAGTGCTATTCTTTTAGTAATTCAACCTGACACAAATATCTGCTCAGAAATGACAGAAATTTGGCTTTTTCACGTAAGGATCACTCTGGATTTTGTGCAAGAACCTGTGTCAGGAAACAGTGAGATCTTCATTTTGTGTGGATGCATCTTTCCTCCTGTGTTAAAAGCTCCATGTTTGCATGCAAATCATACATGATGTGTTTAGAAAGTGTGTGACGATGAGTTTGACTGTGTCTCTGGCGTCTGCAGCCTGTCCCTCAGGGCACTGGGGCCCTGATTGTCTCAACTCGTGTAACTGTCACAATGGAGCCCAGTGCAGTGCCTATGATGGGGAGTGCAGGTGCAGCCCCGGCTGGACTGGACTCTACTGCACACAGCGTGAGTCTCTCCCATCCAGTTAGCAGACACACAGTGACATCTACTGGTTGGCCTGCAAAACTGCAGCAGATATTGAGTGGCAGATGTTTTTTTTTTTAGAGACAACTGGGTGGTATCAGCTTTTCATTCACAGTTTTTTAGATGGAACATCATCCAAATAACAGAAATGGTCACTTCATTAATTTGCTTATTATACATTCCAGTCATTCACCGAGGGATACTGCAGTTCATCAACATCAGTCCACCAATTTGAATTCCATTATCTTTCACCCCGAGGGGTTCATTCAGTCCTTTTTGTGGTGTCATGCTCTTTTGCATAAAATGGCCCTTGTCTTTGCAGCTTTTCACAGATTTATTTTTACTATTTCCATTTTCAGTGTTCTGTATCTCCCCCCCCCCCCCCCCATGTTATTTTAACACCATTACCAGATGTTCTGCTGAAGCAGGAAATGTTCCATTTCCATTCTTCCACATTTTCCCTTCTTGAGTATGCTGCAGAGACATTGAATGCTATTGATTTTCCTGTTCCCCTGCAATACAACCTTGACTCTTTATGTTGTCTCCCCCCCTCCTTTCCCAACATTTTATACATCTCTGTCCCAGGCTGTCCTTCAGGCTTCTACGGCAGGGACTGCTCTGAAGTCTGTCGCTGCCAAAACGGTGCAGACTGTGACCACATCAGTGGCCAGTGCGCTTGTCGAACAGGCTTCATTGGGACGAGCTGCGAGCAGAGTTGAGTAGGGCCGGCACATTTTAGCTTTAAACAAAATTACCCAGTGGATGAGTGCGCTTGTGTGTGTGTGTGTGTGTGTGTGTGTGTGTGTTGTATAAACACTTTGGCTCCCGCTCTCTAAGTGCTTTAATTTGGATGGATATAGTAATGCACCTCTCTCCCATGCAGAGTGTCCTGCTGGTACATTTGGATATGGCTGCCAGCAGCTGTGTGAGTGCCTGAACAATGCTACCTGTGACTATGTGACCGGGACATGTTACTGCAGCCCCGGATACAAAGGCATCCGCTGCGATCAAGGTGAGAGGTGATCGGGATGATCGAGGCTCTCCTCTGTATCGTCACTCCATTACAGATGTGTACACTGTGTTTAAACGAACCCACTCTGTGTGTGTTCTCTGTAGCAGCTCTGATGATGGAGGAGCTGAACCCGTACACAAAGATTAGCCCAGCGCGAGGCTCAGAACGTCAGTCTGCAGGGGCCGTCATGGGCATCATCTTCCTCCTCCTCATCATCATGGCCATGCTCAGTCTGTTTGTGTGGTACAGACAGAGGCAGAGGGACAAAGGCCATGAGATCCAACCCAGTGTTTCCTATACACAGGCCATGCACATTACCGACTACTCTCTGTCAGGTGAGATATTTTAGAGACTACATGAGCTTCCTATCGACAAATCTTACAAACTTTGTTGACAAATGAAATTGCTGTAAAAAAAAACGCTAAATTCTGCAATAAAAAATGTAGCGATGTAATAAAAAATTGATGGATAACAATGAAAGAGGAATTTCTCAAGCAACAGTACAACAAATTTGAGTTCCAGTCCCAAACAAAGTAGGAGAGTCAGTTTATGTTCTTGCATATTTGTGCTTTAAAGCTATTAGAAAAAAAAGTTCAAATACTTCTTTAACATAACTTGTTTAAATCTTCAGAGTGTGGCAGCACTGCAGCAATGAGGACCAGTGCTGCAGAGGTCAATCAGAGCGCCGGCAGCACGAGCAACAGCAGCAGCCAGTGCTTTTCCAACCCCAGTTATCACACTGTGGCTCAGTGCAACGTGGTCTCAACCATCTCCAGCAACCTGGACGGCACTCTGACCCTCAAAGTATGGCTGGCTGCTCTCCATGTGTGTTTTACATGAATCAAAGATTACATACATCAGTTTAAAAGCAACACCAAATTCTGCTCTTTCTCTCACAGTCGAGCACCCTGAAGAACAGAAACGGCTCAGACTGGAGAGCCTACTGTAACCTCAATGATATAGGTCAGTATTTCTCTCTCCTACCACATCACACAAAATATTTCCCTTTTTTTTTTTTTTTTTTGTTGGACTTTGCGGAACTGTGAGATCAAGGGCAAAGTCACATTTGTGGTTAGTTCAAACCTCATATAGGCTCCGGCCCTGACAAAGCCACCATGCTGTGAATGAAGATGAACCCGGGGTTTCTTGTTAGACATAACCTTTGCTCCGATTGTGATCAGATATGCTGGGGGGTGTGAGTGCAGAGGAGGCAGCCGTGCAGAGGTGAAAGGGTGGTCACTGTGGGCTCATTAGTCCTCTTTCATTTCCCCATGTGGTGCTTTGCTCTAAGACAGCTTACATTAGGTCAGATACTGCACTCTTAGATCGTGAATTATAGAAAATTAAGCGTGAGAGAAATATTACTCATAAATGATTAGTATTACTTAACTTGTAGTCTCCACCATGTTTCAGGAGGTGTTTCAACCAAATACTTTCTGTTGTACTTCAGCAGTGCAACTCTCACAGCTACTTCATATGGGGTGGAAACCATTTTTGACGTCGCTTTGACCGTGTAACTCATGACCTCTCCTGCTGAGTTATGTCCTTATTCTGTGCAAACTTTGCCTTTACTGGAATACTGACTGATACTTGGATTTATACCCACCCAAATGTGTGTGTGATAAACTTTTTTTGTCCTTTCTTGCAAATAGCGCTGTCTGCTGGCAGCGTCACTACGTTATAATTTGTGTATTTAATATTTATGTTGTGTCTTCAGAGTGTGGAGGGTTAGACAAGTGAGATTACATATTATGTTATTAGTTATATAAACATCATTCTGTATTTATGGAGGTTCAATTTATGTTGTGCAAACTAAGAGAGACAGTAACTGCTCGGCTTCTGTTCTCATCACTGCTAATTCACAAGCACAGTCGGATAAGTCTAGTGAAAAGTCCCTCAAGTTCAAAAGAAAGTCTGAGGCATTCATCCAACATTTGCTGTGTAAATGTGTTATTTCTGTCTTTTAATGCCTAATAATGTAGTTTTGTGTATTTCTATGTTTGTGTGAAACTCTGTTAATTGTGCTGCTGCCTGTCTCGGCCAGGACACTCTTGAAAAATAGTTTTTTTTTCCTGGTTAAATAAAATAAAAATACAACTGATGTTCTGACAAAATAGACTTGAAGAACCCTTGAAAGCTCATCTCTTCTTCTCCTCATCTTCTCGTCTTCTCCTCATCCTGTGTTGTTGTCTGGTAAATGTCCCATTAGGAATATAGTTGAGCTTGTGACTCTCAGAATGTGAAAGCTTTGATTGGATCTCAGAAAAATGAACACAGAGTTTGACTTCGATGAGATATTTTTGTCAATCGTTACATATTAGAGGGTTCATATGAGTTGTTCAACTTTGATGTTTGTTACAGATGTTCAACAGGGGGAGACACAGACACAGAGAGGCTCCAGAAAAGGTAAAGAACTGATGCTGTTATTGAACAGTGTTGGCGCATGTGTGTGTGTTTATGCTGCATGTAGAATCCTGTTCAGCTTCACCACTGTCGATATTCCAAAAATCCTTTTATGCTCAACAACCCACGTGTCAATTTCCCCTCTTGGTTTCTTTTCCCCTCTGAGACTTGGATTTCTCTGACCTAAAAATGTCTTCATATTCTCCATGAATTTATGTGAAAAATCTGTATACTTTGGACAAGATCATGGTGGGTTGAGGTTTTGTTCCCAACGGTAATTGTTCTCTGTGGCTCGTTGCCCAATACGTCATTTAGTCTCCCACACTGTGCAGTCGCTGGTGAATGTGAGGGACCCAAGGGTGTGAAGAGCGGTCTGAAGGAGCTCTGCTGCGGTCTCTAATGAGCCCTCTTATCAGACTGATGAGACGGTTATGGATGAGATAAGCCTTCCACTCTCTCCCCTTTGTACTCAGATTACTATACACCTCCATTAGTCACCTGTCAGATACAAAAGAAGTACAAGTGTCGGGTTGCTTGTATAGCTCAGTTGGTAGAGCAGGCACTTCATGTACAGTGGTTATACTCCTGGTTACTCTGGTCAGAGATTCCCAATCCTGACGCTGTTTGGTGCATGTCATTTCCCACTCTCTCTCTCTCTCTCTCTATCTATCTCTCTCTCTCTCTCTCTCTCTCTCTCTGTCCCACCAGGTTCTGGTGCCAATTTAAAGTAAAGCTTGTAGTGTTAATACCACTGCTTTGTAAGTGACCATATTATCATCCTTGTCCGTCCATGTCTCATGGCTACTACAGACTACACCAAGGCCTCCATGTGCAGCAACAGTGTCTGCTCCCTGAATAGTGAGAACCCGTATGCTACCATTAGAGACCCACCAGGGCTGGCCTGCAAGCACACAGAGAGCAGCTATGTTGAAATGAAGTCCCCCTCCCACCGCGAGGTGCCCTTTGGAGGCACCGCCACCCTCCTGGGCAGCGCCAGCAGGAATGTCTATGATGTGGGTGAGTGCGTTGTTGTTCAGGTGTGTGGAGCTCAGCAGGGTCCTGCTGCTCTGGTTACGCCCTCCCACTGTGAGCTTGTGCAGACTGTGTAAGCTGGATGAGAGGACATGTGAGCTTCCTGACTGTTGCATGCACCTCTCCTTTCTTCTTTTGACCCGGCCTTCTCTCCACGTTCTCACCTTCCTCTCCTACTTTTCTCCTTCCCTCCTTTCCCAAAACTCTCACAGAGCCAGCGGTAAGTGTCCTGCAGGGACCCAATGGAATGGCCACCGGCTTCTCGCAGAGCCCCTATGACCTTCCCCGCAGCAGCCACCTCCCCAGTCATTACGACATCCTCCCAATGCGTCACAGCCCCACACACACACCTCCTCCACCACCCCCAGAAAGCCCCAGTTCCCTGCTCTAGACGGGCACACACACCCTCTCTCTCCGCCTCGCTCAGACAGCGTGCCCGGCATCAAGGCAACTTTCAGAAAACGTTGAAGCGGCGGCCCACCCTCCGTCTCCGTGTGTGTTCAATTAGATACTGGGAAGTCAACATGGAGGGACAGCCTCCACACTTTGGCTCCCTCACTCGCACTTTTTCTGTGGTCCTGATGGAGGGAGGGTGAAGGAAAGAGTGTCCCACACACCAGCGACCATTCATCTGTTTTTATTTTCTTATAAAAACTGATCATTCAAACTGCTGCCCGGACTCTTTATGGACCTCCTGAAGTTGAACACGGTTATTCCAAATGCGCAGCATACAGGGATTGTTTGGACAGATTATTTACAGGGAGAGAGCGATCATCACGCTCAATTTTAGCTCATGATATCGGTTCACTAATCAAGGGCAACCGACTGTTTATAATGTCCCCTACACAGAAATGATTTTCTCCACAGGGAGGACTGTATGGCACCCTTGATCATTTCAAACGAGTGAGGTTTTTACCACAGGAAGACATCAGTGTCTTTGGATCTTCTCTGTGTGCAGCAGCTGCAGATCACAAAGCAGCTGACGCCGATCTTCTACTCTGAAGTAACAGAAAGTTCGCGCAAATATAGGCGACCTTTCTCTAAAACTTAAACATGGAAAAAGGGAAGAAGTCTGATAAAGCATGGACACGTTTTAAAATATTGTAATGGTCCTTTAATCACTGTTATCCAGTCATGATCACACACAGTAATTACTTAGCTGATCCCTGTGTGTAGCTTCTTTTAAGTGTGAACAAGGCCCGATGTTTCTGCAGATGCTTTCCGTTCACTAGTGTTCATGCAGTATTGCATCACTATGAGACACTCACAAGCAGTATAGGTCTTAAGACTTTTCCCCACATTGATGAGGTGATCAATCTTGTGTTTGTTTTCTATGTGAAAGCTTTTTATCTTGCAAAATGTCTTAGTTTACGTTTTTTAAGTACTGGGTGTTGAGAAGGGATTGCTTTGACCTTTTATGTTTGGTATTTATAAAGCTTTATTTATTAATTTATATAAGTGATGGTGACTTTTCTATCAGTGTGACACTAGAATAATAAAAAAAAAAGATAAGCATGATCAGATAATGGATACCCACTGATGTAGATAACACAATTTCTCTTCTTGTGAGATGATCAGTGTCATTTTGTGAACCATTTTTGAAGTTATTTAAGATGTCCTCTCTCACTCTTGCTGTCAGATTGTAAAATGAAAATAAGGTTTCATCTGACCAGTTCAAACACCACAAATTCCCCGTGAAGCATTTAAGTATAATGTAAAAAGTCAAATTCTAAAATAGTTTCTGTTTGTACCAGGCTAACTTATTTATATATAAAATAAAAGTTATTCATTCACTATGTGAATTCCATTTCATCCTCTGTAGAAGCAATAACATGTTGACAATCGATGCCCAGACAACAATGTTTCATTAGTGCTGGACATTTAGCCATCTTTGACCAGTGTGGTGACAGTGGATCATATTCTATGTGACTGTTTTTCCTCTGAAGAAGGTTTTGCTGTCATATCAATGCTGCTTGTTGTTTTGGTAAATAAGTTATAAATTAAAAACCTATTCTGCCATCAAAAACCTGTTTCGGTCACGTCAATACCCTTACTGCCCCTCGTAAAAACAACACGAGTGTTTGATTCAAGAATGAAGGATTTTACTTTTAACAAATACTAAATGTTATTACAGTGTGTTGTGCTCACAATCCTCTGACCTGTTTCTGCTCTCATGACACAAAATGTTCAGAAATTGTCGTGAGTCTGCGGGGGATAAAAAAAAGAATGGCGTCATAATATTCTCACAGGCGTCCAAGTTCTGTAAAACCTGTGATTTGAACGTGTTTGTTTCAAAGTGTATAAGTTTATCAGAGCTTCAGACCATTTTACTTTAGTTTACTTTATGAAGAATATAAATATGATATACACATCTCTTTACTTCTTTCATGCAGCTGTAGAAGTATTTGCCTTAATTTATCATTATCATTAAATTATATTGAGATGTTACTGGAAGAATAGATCCTACATAAATCAGAACTTGTTGCTTTTCTTAAATCGTTTTGTCTTATTATTTTCTGCTGATAAATTTGTGAGACAGGACTTGTACTTTAGGTGCGGTATATCTACACTTAGGTGTAAACTTTAACTTAAAGGATCTATTGTTGCATTAACAGTGAACTGAGAATTAATAGTGTATATGACTACAAAACTTTCTGGGTATACTTGAGTATTTTTAATGCTGGGAGCTATTTTCATTTGTTTTGTCGTTTAAATGAAAGGTTTCCTCACAGATGATGGATTCACTGACACATCCATATCTGTCCACACCTGTAGTCCATCATAACTTAGTAGTAATCATATCTGGACAGGATTTGGGTTCATACATAGAGAAGTGCAATGTATTCACTTGAATTAAGACTGTCTGTATAGGCCGGTTATTAAAATGCTGTTGAATAATGCTGAGGGAAACTGTAGGGACTTTCATGTTATAATGCAGGCCTCAGGCATAATCCTGTCTGCTAAACTCAGTCTGCCAGCTCTGTCTTTCAGCTCACTCTTTCAGCCCACTGGGAAAGGACTCAAAATGCTCTGACAGAGCTGCACCTCAGGTTTATTCTCATGACCTGGATGCTGACCCCCACCTGCTGCTGGATACCTGTCACTTTTAATTCAGTCTGACACCACAGCCAGGGAGGGGGTTGGGAGGGGGGTTTGTGAGGTGAGGAAAAATTAAGTGACCATAAAACATTTCCAAAAACAACTTCAAAATAAGTGACACATGACTGAGTACCTGTTAAAGATTGTATTGTCCCAATGAATCACTGTCATCAGGGCTTCAATCAGCTCTCAGAGTTAAAGTGCTTTTATTGAGGCATGTATCATTTGACTGCACTGTGCTGTGGGTGAGCAGAGCTCAGCTGCAGATCTTTATTGTGGTCACGTCCGGCTTCAGGAACTGTGAGAATCCATCAGACCAGAGACCAGATCTTTACTTAGCCATTCTTAATGCATAATCAGTATTCATCCCAGACTGGCGGATCATTTTCACCTCCTCTGTGTCTACAAAAGCTCCTTAAATCACATGTAGCGCCACATAAATCAACCCCACACAAATAGAATCAAATCTTAATCTGTAAAATGTATGAATGAATAAACATAGGATCTATTTATCAACAGTCTACTGTTTGCTGAACACGTTTTTATGAAAGGGTTATTTAAACTCACTGTTTATTTAAAAATTTGCTTGCTTATCTAAGTATATGCATATTTGAGTTTAAAATGTTCACCCATAGGGAAGACGTTTTTAAGTCACAATGGTGGCCTGCTGTAGACTTTTATTATACTGTATAGCTTTCATAAAGCTATAAGTTAGGGGTGTCTTTCAAGCCAAAAATCTTGGTAGGGTCGAGGGGGTCCTTCTCAGCAAATTCAGGAGAAAAAGCAATGAATTGAGAAAAATGAATGTGAACACCGCTATTCACCCCATCCGCCACCAGGTGGCAGACAAGAAGACCACGTGTGAAAGAGGAAGAAGTGATCACCGCTTAAAAGTGAGGAGGCAAACTATTGGTGATAGGGAACATCTTGTATACTGTCAATGGGAACATCAACGTCGTAATATGATGTATATGATTAAACTGCTTCCGTCAATCCTCTATAGATTTCTGTCATGCGTACCCGGTTCCATGGTGTAATGGTTAGCACTCTGGACTCTGAATCCAGCGATCCGAGTTCAAATCTCGGTGGGACCTAATTGTTTGCAGGTACAGGAGACCACAATTAGTGTTGTTATTGAAGAAAATGTTGTTGGGTAAGATGAATTATATACAACTGACAAAAAGTTTAAATAAATTCTAAATTGTGTGATCTGAAATTGTTTTGTAAAAGTGAAGATAAACAGCTAAAAAGAATAAAAAGAATTTGTGCTACTGTTCTTGGATTTGTTTATGAAATGGTGACCTCTTTGCAACAAGTCCAGCGTCACAACCAAGACAAGCCATCTCAGTTAAACCAAGTACACTCATAGTGCAGCTTCCTTAACCAATACGTGATGGTTTGTTGATGATGATGGATTCCCAAAAGTTTGTTTATTTATTTACTCAACAAATGCATTTCATCTTTGAGCTACACTGACCTCATCAAATACCCACACCAGTCAGTAAAGAGAGTAAGCTATTACCTAACACCATCAATAAAATATATATATATATAATAAAGATATGATGTTATATAAGAAAATGTTAAAGATATTAAGAGCTATGTCAAACGAATCGATGGATTAAGATGCACAGACATTGAAAATGATACAGCTGAATGTAATAAAGAAAATAACCTTCACAATGTTTGAAGAATTTGTGCTACTGTTCTTGGTTTTGTTTATGAAATGGTGACCTCTTTGCAACAAGTCCAGGGTCACAACCAAGACAAGCCATCTTAGTTAAACCAAGTACACTCATAGTGCAGCTTCCTTAACCAATACGTGATGGTTTCTTGTCAGTCTTGTCATTGGTTATCAGCTTTGATCTAGCTTTCTAGCCTACTTACTTCTAGCCTATAACCTTCTTTCAGACTACCAGTTACAATTTGCTCGGATAAATGTTTTCCAGCCTTACTGAATTTTTTTATTTTTTATAGTTAAAAGAAATCTATTCCTCTTGACCGTGAACACATAGCACCTAAAAGTTTGGCTCAAACTCATTTTAAAGCTCCTGTGAGGCGTTTAATAGCCTGTTACCAAACAGCCTAAAATTAAAACTAATGTCTGACCTATCTGAGCCCATCGGCGAGAGTAGCCTATTGATTATTCTGAAATAATTATTTTATGTCCGTCACCCCTGTCAAATGGTATAGGTGCTTTAAAAAAAAACATTTCTAGACTCACTTCTTGTCTGTTTCATGTTAAACATTTCAATTAAGTTTTATTATTTTTAATTAAGAAGGCTGTTCTGTCAGAAAGTATAACACTTTGTCAACAGGGGGCGCCAAAATCGACACCATCAAAAGATCCTCAAAGGGCTTTATGGTAAGATTTTCTTGATTCTTCTGCACGTATATTGACTGAATCTCTGTCCATAGCAAAATCCATGTTGCCCAAATTAACTAGAACTGCTGTCTCACAGATTGTTCATACTATCATGTGATTTGTCTTATTTTAAGCTCAATATAACACCTAATATGTGGTCTCCTTTGAATCCCCATGAAATGTCCTGAGTTTAAAAACACATCATTCTCTGTGTGTTACCTTTTAGTAAGGTAGGCTCAGTGATTTCTGTGTCTTGTTGTAAATAATTATCATTCACACTTTTTAAATGTCCTTGTTGTCTTGCATCTTCTTCTTCTTTTTGCAATGGTAGCATCACAAAGACAATCTTGCTGCTGCTGCTGTGGATTTCTGTCAGTCCCAGTTTGACAGCTGTGTTGTTGTTTTCTTTTTTGACAGGCCTTGATTTCAGGCTTCATCCTCCTCTTCTTGTTATGCGATGCAGTGAAACGCCTACAGATGCTGTCTGTTTTTTGATCCATAGCTCACATACAGAGATTTTCTCTGAGATGTGATGACAGTGTCATGGATTCATGTTTTAACTGAAGCTTTACAACATTTTCGTCAGTTAAGCGCTGACGTGTGAATAGCTATCGATCCATCGTGAAGGAAAAAGTATGTGGGATCATTACGACATAATCTAATTTTCTATCTGAATTATTTTGCAGATTAAACACTTGAAATCAAAAAGTATTTAAGCAAAAAAAAACTCCAGAGCTCACATGTAAAAAAAAGTTTGTTTATTTATTTACTCAACAAATGCATTTCATCTTTGAGCTACACTGACCTCATCAAATACCCACACCAGTCATAAAGAGAGTAAGCTATTACCTAACACCATCAATAAAATATATATATATAATAAAGATATGATGTCATATCAGAAAATGTTAAAGATATTAAGAGCTATGTCAAACGAATCAATGGATTAAGATGCACAGACATTGAAAAGGGATACAGCTGAATGTAATAAAGAAAATAACCTTCACAATGTTTATGCATTAACATCGTTTTTGACCTCAATGGAGGAATCTTACAGCATGTCAGACAAAAGCCAAAAGCAATGATGTAATCATGCTGTAATCATTCCTGCTGTTGTATTTAACATTAAGCTATCCTTCATTAACCTGTTCCCAATGCAAGAACAAGGGATTGGTCCTCATTCATTCTCATTTAGTACAAAATAGGACTCTAAAGTTGACCCAAAACTTTAACTCTGTCTCAGACAAATGATGGATTTATCTTCTAAAATTAGAATTTGTAGATCCACATTCCCTCTTTTTGTTACCGTCCCTCCAGTGCCATACAGCGCAGATAAACTGCCCAGGGAAACAAAGACGGAAAAGGACTCATACAGCTTTTAATGTATTTCTGCAAAGAATGAGGACTGTGTCCCCAATCACTAACACTGTAGGTGCCTCTACAGTACATCGACTTACCAGTATGAATAGAAGGAAAATGGCTGCAAGTACCCCAAAACTTGTTTCAATGCCCATATGGATTGCCTGCAATGCAGTCATTTTCCTTTTTAACTATTGTTTAAAACATACTGGAAATGTATCATTTGATATTAGTAGACAACTGAAACATTAAAACAGGAAGATGCACTCTCAAGACATCTTAAAAAAGGCAACCACAACCTCAAAGATGACTCAGCAAAAAGGATGAAAACAAAATACACCCCAGCCTTCTGCAGTCTTCCGGTGTTCTAATATAGTCATTCGTAAGTATCAAGAGAAGTGTATGTGTTAGAAATCACCACAGAGGGGCGCTAGAGAGCAAGACAGAAACTGAGCTGTATCGGCATACAGGTACTTCTCTACCCCTCTGAAATCTGAACCTGACGACAAATGATCATTCTCTGCAGCAGACTGACTTTAACTTCAATTATTTTATAACTACAGAACTTGCACATATCATTGCTAAAGCAGAGAGAAATGGTTAATTCTCTCTAAATCATTAAAGGTATTGTCCTTCATGTGAAATCATTTCACATTAAGAATTTCTGAAACTCTCACAGAGAATAAGTCTTGTGCCTTTTTAATGAAATTATATATATATACAAATGAAAAGAATAAAGGGTAACTGTTGTTACACAGGCTGACTTCAGTAAGTTTTAGGCTCAGTAGATAGAACTTTAACTGTTTTTAGGCCACCATATGTGAAGAAAGCTGATAGAGTGTGAGTGACAAAAAAAAAGCCAGTAGGCATTATTGCCAACTATTTAGACGAGTGAATTATGAAGGCTTATTTTATTAATTTTCATGTCCAAAATGCCAAACAGCCTTCTTGGTTTCCAGCTTCTTAAATGTGAGGATTTAAAAATGATCTCTCTCTTCCATGAAAGTTAACTGAGAATCTGTATTTCTTCAGCAATTAAAACAACAACACAACCAGTTTAGCTGGAACACGAAAAGTAGACATTATCAAATAAAATGAATGAATACTGTGCAGTAGCCTTTACCGTGTGCAGTGATGAGTTAGCCTATATGTTATGAAACAAAATGAAACAAATAAGCCACTAAAACATATTCTAGTAGGCTTACTTCTACAGTTGTTAACACCATCACATGCATGGCTCTGGATTATCTAAAACAATTACACACCAACTGTAAAAAAAGAAATAATAAAAATAACAATAAGCGACCCTGTACATGTTGACCTGTTGTTTGCTCTTCTGTGCAGCTGAGTGGTGGCAGTCTTTGTACATCCTAACATTTGCCTAATGTTTGTTTACAGCCTATGTCAAATGATGGTTTCTTCACACCTTCGGACGTCGGTCTTCAGTCACGGCTGCCTGCAGTGTCATCAATGACGTCAGTGAGGGTTGTAATCAGTCACGTGAACAGCGGTACAGGTCTGTGGATAAAGCGCTGCTCAGGTCTGTACGGTGTCGGGTTCGGACTTGTCTTACTGCGCTGTGAATTATGATTTTTTTTATTTTTTAAATATAAATGAGCACAGAGATAAACGAACAACTAAGCAGTGAGGAAAATACATCACCGGCTGAAAGCTTGCTTTTCGACGTGGGCTCATTATTCGACATCCTCTTTGAATCGTGCTGAGATGTGAGTAGATTCTTCTTTTATTGTGAATGATAACAAGAGACGCACACCCAGTCTGTAAAATCACCCTGTTTTTTATTTAGTTTATTCTTCTTTTTTTTGTATAAATCAGGAGATTTGTTTGTTTTTTTGTGATGATGGTTGTAGCGATATAAACATCTCTGTGACTGAGGCTGATTTAATTATTTGATGGTTTGTAACGATTATTAAACAGCACGGAACACGACCGGCTATATTATTGTTACATGCAATATAAGAATGATTTAATGCTTTATAGTGAGCATCTGTTTTTACATTTGCAGCTCGCCCATTGGCTACAATAAAGTCATAAGGCGTATTTCATTGCCTCCCATGTAGATGCTCCATAAGATGGCTTCTTGAGATGTGGGTACGAGAAAACCCCTTCGTAGTATTTTATGGTCGCTGTGGTCATTTGTTTTATATTTTTCAAAGGACTATATACTAGCTTTTTTTTTTTTTTTTTAGCAAACCAAATGCACTGAATGCAGGCATTGTAGGCTTATAATGTAGTTATCTTTCATATTTCGTTTGGCATGGAGTATGTTTTCCTAATCTCTCTGCTGTGTTTATGGGCGTGTGTGGTTTCCTCATCAAACAGAAGGGGTACCCCCTGTCAAACGTAAGGAATGCAAATGGCTGATGAGGGTTATGTTCGTGTTTAAGAGGGAACAGATGCTGAGTGAAATGTTGTGGTGGTGGTTGCCTCCCCAGATCAGGCTGCCCAGCCTCCCTCCCCCTCCCTGTTGTTACACAGCCCTTTAATCCCTGCATAGCCTGACTGACCGTCCAGCAGGGCTGCCTCTCTCCCTTGGGTCATCATTACACCAACGCTGTTGTTTGCAAAGCTTTTATTCCACTGCACAGCATACAGTGTATGGAGAGGGTTACAGTTCTAGATTTGATTGTCAAAAGTCTGTAAGACTGCTGGGGGGAAAGATGTGGGAAACAAAATGTTCCCTGCATGTTATATAAAGGTGCAGGATGTTAATAATCAATAATATAGCGTAGAAAGAGAAAAGCTTGTGTTTAACGTTCATATTGATATGAATATAGGCCTCATGCAAAAAGCACTTTGAAGTTATTATTCCACAGTTCCAGCTTTTTAGTTGTTAATATTATTGTCTTTAAGCAATTCCATATTTGAAAACAAATGTTGCGTTGAGAAGAAAGACTCCATTGTTTTACTTGATATGTAAAGTCATTCTACAAGGAAAAGGGCTTTAAAGTTAAGACACTTTCAGTTTAAATCGACGGCGCATGCTGTGAGAGCAGCAGGTACAGAAATGGGATGAGCGATGTTCTCAGATAGTGAGGGAGGACAATGTAAAGTTTACGGCTCTCTGACAGTGACATTCAAAAAAATGTTTTTAATGTTTGCAACATTATGGAACTATACCAGTGGTTAACAAATTACTGAAAATTTGTCAAGCTGACGGTTGGAAGTGACTCACAAAAAAAAAAAGTCATCGTGGTTAGAAAAAAAGGGAAGTTGACTTGTTAGCTGGAAAGAAGAGGAAATCCGCCATGTCCTTATTTGTGCAGGTTTAATGAAGAAAAACTGTGGTTAATGAAAAGATTGCAGTTTCTGGGGAGACCGTGAGTCACTCAGTTCCAGTCTTAACTTAACACAAGATTGCATGCAGTACGTGAGAGAGTTAGAAGCTTGTAGAAAATCATGTGGATGATAAAATATCAAGTCTGGTCCTATCATGTCTATTTATAGGTTTTCTGACTCTAAAGCAGGTCTCAAAGGATTTTTGAAGGCAAGTTCTTTTGGATTTAAAAACAGAGCAGGGAGTGAGATTTTTTTAAATAGTATTTCCATGTAGATTCACTGAAAAGGCCAAAAATATGTAGCTGTTAACTTTTACATTACAGATACATCTGTTGATATTTAAAACGTTTCATCCTCGGGCTGTTTCAGAGACTCCAATTTCAACAGAATACATATGTGAACTACACAGCCTATTAGTCGACCTGTATTTAACAAGAACAATGTTCCCTGCTCCTTTTATCTTCAGAGAAAGCGATGTTCAGTCTTCACTTCAGCACCCAGTTTTAATGTTGTTGCTATGGCGAGGATTAGATATGATTTTTAGGCCTCTGCTTCCTGCTGAGGGGGAGGAATAGATATAATGACTGTTGGAGCTGGAGATTATTTTTGTATTTAATCTTGAACTTTATTACATGACACATCTGCCATGCCATCAGACGTATAGCATCACTCATGCAGTGATCATCCACTGCTCTGCATGTTTTAGATGTTTCCCTCTTCCAACACACAAATGATCAGCTCATCGAGAAGATAAAAGTGCCTAAAAGATCAACTTGACTTTTACATATATGGAGCATTGTAATGGAACAGCAGTCTTAGAAAGCGTTATGTTTGCAGATAAAATATTATCTGCCATCCAAAAGTGTAATTAATTCATGTAAGTTTGTAGACATTTATTTCTATATTTTAATTTAAGCTCTATGCTCAAAACCACTTCCAACATGCACCAAAACACAAAGTCAAATTCCTTGCGTGTGTACGTGTACTTGGCAATAAACACCAATTCTGATTCTGATGAACATGGAAAACTTGCTTGACTCATAACTCATTTTGAATCAAACGTTGATGGAACAAAAGACGCAAAAGAAAAGCAAAACAAAGTGCTGCTGCACTGTGACATACTTTCGGCAATTTAATACAATCCATCGTTGAAAGAGATCAAAAGAGGCAGAAATGTTTTTGCAGTTTGGCAGGCTGAGTCATTGGGTTTACCCACTAGGCTCAAACACTGTGGAGCATGAAAACGCTCCATCAAAACAGCCATCAGCTAATCAGGGAACATTGGACATAAACACTCATAAACCCCCGCAGGCTGAAACACCCGAAGTCAACCAGCAACCTTGTGATGATGAGTCACCATTAAAAAGACCACTCTCCCAAATGTGCAAGGACAACAAGCTTATGAAACAGGAAATGTATTTGAATAAGTTATTGTTTTTTGATGTAGGCGTAGAAATCAAATAAATAAATTAAGGTTTCTCAGACTGACTGGATACAGATGTCTGAATCATACTCATCCCCTTAGCATGACTTTGTACGTGCATGTTTTTGGGTTTGGTTTTCTTTTTGGTTAGCGGTCAGTAACACAGCCTAAGCCTGTTAGCAGTGCTTAGCTTGCTGTTCCAACTCACTCGGCCACATAAGGGAACAGCGTCTCACACGATCAAAACCACCGCAAGCCAAAGTCCTAAGTGGGTGAGATATGGCCACCACTTTTTGGGGCCGTGGTTTCTGTTGCTGACAAATCCAGCTGGGACAAAGGGAGACAACTTTATGCTAACTCCTTCACATCCCAGTAGAGGAAATAATAGGCCACTGTTTATCAGTTAGCCCGTGAGTGTGGAGGAACTGCTGAGAGAGATAAAACAGGCTCTTCAGCTGAAGCACAAAAAGCTGGCCCTGTGCTGAGAGGGCTTGTCGGGCTACATGCTTTGTGATCAAGCTATAACAAGCTGACTCACAGGCGCTCCCTCTATTCTTTTCATTCCCATGACATTGTTGAGCTCAGAATATACATCGTCTGAATATTTCCTCCACTAATAACTCAGAAAAAGCTGTTTTTGCTGCACCGCATTGCATCCTCTCAGCATTTCCCAATTCTCAGAAATAGTTCTGGTACTTTTCCACCTCGCATACTTTTTCTGTATTCCTACAAAGGCATGTGTTTTATTTTACATGATTGGTCATGGCATATAGCAAGGTCAGTGGTCCTAAACACTCCCATATTTCATAGTGAAATATGGTGTTTTTGCAGACAGGAATGCATGCTGAATGCTTCCAGATGCTCTCATTACGTTTTTGTTATTTCTTCACTATAGCATACATTGTACAGTGTTTCCTATGATGAATGCAACAATTACAATGTGTTTAATTTTTTTTTTTTTTAGCTAGCCTAGTCTGCTCAGCAAGGTTGTTTCCTGATTGCAAATGTAAAATTGACACTTTTTTTTTTTTTTTTAGCGTAACCCTTCTCTTCTCTACTTTCAGCACAGTGTGTGGGAATGGGCAATGATGGAGGATAAAGGGCCTCGTGTAGCGGACTACTTTGTGGTTGCCGGTCTGACCGACTCGCCCAAGCCACTGGAGGAAGAGCTACACTTTGACGACGCTGGTCCCAAGTCAGTAAAAACCAAAGCCCCCATCACAGACGTAGCTGTGGTGATCCGTTCCCTGGGTGAGGAAATACCCCCGGGTTTCACCTGTGTGGAAAGCACCCCCTCAGGCCTGTCTGCAGAGCTCAATGGAGCCAGCCTTAGGGGCCCGCAAATCTTCTTGTGCTTCAAGCGAGGAAGAGATAAGCCTCCTCTGACAGATCTTGGGTAAGCAGTAATCCTTAGTCACTGACCCTTTACTCAACCAGTTCCACTAATCACTCCTCTGACTTGAGGATATAATAATCTGCTCTTAAACACATCCTCTTGTATGACATCTCGCAGTGAATCAAATCTTTCATTTTGTTAAACGATACAAAAACACAGGTAGTTACTCTTTCACTGCTTGGTATTTTAGGATTCTGTATGAGTGGAAGGAGAAGCTGAAGCCTGGATGTCACATAGTCCAGACCACACCCTCAGGGCGCCCTGCTAACATCAGCAGCTCCTCATCCCAACGCATCTACATCACCTACCGCCGCGCCCCGAAAAGCCAGCCCCACACTTCGCTGGCTGTCACTGATGTCTGCATCATCATCCCCGGCAAGGGGGAGACGCCCCCCCACACTTTCTGCAAGGTGGACAAGAACCTCAACAGCAGCATGGTGGGACAGAGCTCTGAGAACACATCTGTATCTGTAGCGTCAGCACATATTGAGGCAGGTTGTGATTGATCTGTGACGGTCTTTGTCTCTTCTTTTTGTTCCAGTGGGGATCCTCTGTCTACCTTTGTTACAAGAAGTCTCTGGCTAAAGCAAACACCATCTCATATAAAGCAGGTAAAGAAGTTGTATTAGTGGGTAAACCTTTCCAGAATCCTCAAGTAATTTGTTTTATGCAATGTCTGTTGTTTTTTTTTTTAACATATTAAGCCTTTAAATCAATCAATCAGCCTTTTTTTTAATTTGATATATAACCACATATACACAAGTCATGATTTCTGTGTTTGATTGATTGACTTTGCTGTATGTATATGTGTCCAGGTCTTCTGTGTAGGTACCCGGAAGAGGACTATGAATCCTTCCCACTGCCCGAGTCAGTGCCTATGTTCTGCTTGCCCATGGGGGCTACTATCGAGTGCTGGCCGGCACACACCAAACACTCTTTGCCCGTTTTTTCCACATTCGTACTGACAGGGGCCTCTGGAGAAAAGGTAATTATCAAAGCATTACAAATAAACATGTTGCTTTAAAATATGTTCATTAACTTTTAACTATTTTGTGTGCGTGAAATCTACAAATATTTTTTCTTTTAGCGGTCCCCTCCATCTTTATCCCCCCTTTGTCTTCCCTGGCCTTTGGTGTCCCTCGTGGATTAGTCTGTTGATGAACTGCAGATGTATTTTTGAGAATACGCGACAATCTTAATAACTTCTTAACTCCGACTTGAATCCTAAATAGCCTATGGGCTGTTGCAGGAATACTAAATGGCTGTTAGTCTTTGAAAGCAATGCAGCATGAAACATTTTTTTGCGGCTCATCTTTTGAATAATGGATAGCTCATGCAGCACTCAGGCTGGTGCAGAAGTTTCAGAAGCTGAATGCCTTGTGTGCTCACTTCCCCTTCTCTGCAACCTCTAGTCTGCCGACCAGTCTCCTGGCATTTCATATCTGGAATGAGTTGTTTACTTATTTGGGTGGAACAGCTTCAAAGGGCCGAGAATGATTGAGCTTATTTATTCTGATGGAAATTCTCTAGTGGAGCCCCCACAGCATCTTGCATGATTAGGCTCATCAATGGACCTCTGACTACTGTAGTTTGTGTCTTTTTGAAGTTTAAATCACTTTCACAGTTCCTTGTGTGTGCCTATTTGTGCATGTAGTAATATATTCTTAATTCCTGATATATTGAACCTTTACCTTGCAGGTATATGGAGCAGCCATCCAGTTCTATGAGCCTTACTCGGAGGAGAACCTGTCCGAGCGTCAGTGCTCACAGCTCGGCCTGCCAAGCTCTGATCTGGGACTTGATGGAACCAGGAGTGTTTACAACAACAAGAGCATCTGTCTGCTTTCCCACTGGCCCTTCTTCCAGTCCTTCAGGAGCTTTCTCACTTTCCTCTACCGATACTCCATCTCTGGACCGCATGCCCTCCCAATTGAAAAGTAAGCGATGTATTACGGATTCATTTTGCTCGCCAAAGCCAGAGTGAACTCCGTTTTAAGGATTCTGGTCTATTCTTAGTCCTGCTTTATTAAGTGATGATGTTTTCCCTCGCAGGCACATCTCTCACTTCATGCAAACGGTGCCATTCCCTTCAACGCAGAGACCACGCATCCTAGTGCAGGTGATTTAAAATGTGAAATATGATGAGTGAAGTAATGGCGTCACATCTGCATCTTCTCTTAAGTTGTTTTGACATGAATGTCTTAATAGTCATGAGCTTAATCCTAAACCCACTGAGCCTCTAATGCCCTGTTGCACTCCTGTGTGTCTTCCACAGCTGTCTCCACATGACAGCCTGATACTGAGCCAACCTGTCTCCTCCCCACTGCCCCTCAGGTAGCAAAAAGGAATATTAAAGCAAAAAGACATACTGTTTCGCAGCGTTCTTAATGTCAAACCATTAAGTGTATTATTGTGTGTGTTGGTGCTGTAGTGGTGGAAGCCTTTCCACGTTGCTGTTAAATCTGGGCCCAAAGAATGCAGCCACTCTGCTGGTGCTGGCTGTCACAGAGCACAAGATCCTGGTTCATTCTCTTCGTCCAGCTGTTCTCACCAGTGTTACAGAGGCACTTGTGTCCGTAAGTCTCCCCTTCTTTCTCTTTATTCACACATTTTTCTTATAATGACTCTTAAGAGGGTGGTCTTTAATTGGATTAAAGTTCCAACAGTGGATGTGGTTACAAGCAGAGCTTAATGAATACTAATCAGATGTATGCTCAACACAATAATCGTTCAAATTGAAGAGAAACTAACAATAACAATCTGCTTTGGTTACAAGATTCATCACACCTTCATACACAAAGATCTTAAAGGTGCATCTTATTGTTATCGCGGTAACCACTGAAAAGAAAATGTAAGGTCAGACACTCTCCACTGTTGGCCACCAAGACCCTGATCCTGTCAGGTATTAGAACTACGTCAGCATCCCTCTCTGTCCTGTAGTCAGAGCTGTATAGTTTAAGCACTTGTACATGCGCAGTCTTATTTTTTCTTCCTCTATGTATGATGTTTAAAAATGCTCTCTGTACGATGTCCCTAAATATTCTTGATAAGATCAAAAAGTGAAGATAATATGTCAGAAATCCGATCATTTAACTCAAAACCTGGAACACAGCACTATGGCGTTATAACATCATTTGAGCTTCCCGCTCTGGGCGTGCAACAGCTAAATGGCCACTGTTTGAATATGGTCAGTTTTGATGCTAAATCATGTCTCCTTCCTTTCAGATGATCTTTCCCTTCCACTGGCCGTGCCCCTACATCCCTCTGTGCCCGCTGGCGCTGGCCGATGTGCTCAGTGCCCCGTGTCCCTTTATCGTGGGTGTTGACTCCAGATACTTTGACCTCTACGTGCCCCCAGCCGACATAAGCTGTGTGGATCTGGACACCAACACAATCTCTCAGTGAGTGACCTCTAACCGCGACAGCTCTGTGATAGATGGCCAACTTCAACAGTTTAAAATCATCTTTCCTCAGTAAAGGCTTTTATAGGCTCTTTACAATGTTATCTGCATCTTCCAGTGAGAGTCTCTTATGTAACGATAGGAGCTGGAATGTGAATTATTCACACAGTACTCACATTTGGGGTACTGCTAGAGTCCCACATCCATTTACAAGCTTTTTGTGAAGATTAAAATGTCAGACCTTTTTTCCTACGAATCCATCTTCCTTCTTATATCAGTTCGCAGCGTTCTTGATTATCCTCCCTGTGTAACGAAAACCATATGGTGTGCTTTCAGAAAAGACGACAAGAAGGCTTTAACATGGAAAATCTTGCCCAGGAGAGCCTGCAAACATCTTCTGAACACTCTCAATAAAATTCATCAGCAGCTTACCGAAGGTGAGTCCAGTCTGATGCTGTATCATTGTGCTTTCATGAATAATTTAGGTCGAGTCTGTTGAGTCAGCCTGTACGGGGACATTTTAAAGAAAACTCAATGGATACTTACAATGTTATTTTAAACCAACCGATAATGTTGAGAGCTTCTCGGGAGATTTCCTGGAAGACGTGTCAATTAGTCCTGTGTTATCTCGAATTTCGCCTCTGGGGACCAAGATATATTATCTTATATCCACTCCTTTACAACCTACCTACCTCTACATTTACTAAACAAATGTATGATTCCCAGAGTTCCCCTAAATTCAAATGTCATCCTCATGTGGCCTCTTGTGTTGGGCTTTACTCAAGTATATCTGCAGAATAAACAACAGAAGAAGTATCTGTCTTTCTAACATGGACTTTTTCTGTAATGGTTAAAAACAAAAGCAAAACCAATCGCAGCCTAGAAAAGGCATTAGATAACATTTACCTTTGATGTTTTCTGCTATCATGATCCATTTCACTTGACCTGAAAAAATAATGATGTAATATCAGGTGGTCTATTTTTGGCCAGGGACCCTGAAACACAACAATACATCAAGAAATGAAGAACAATTGTTGGATAGCCTCTAAGTACACCTTTGCAGACGCTCTGATATGGAGTAGCTCTTTTCTTGTTGTTTTCCATGTACATTGAACATGTACTTGTCACAGGATGTTCAGCTGTCTTCAGCCAATGTGTAGTTTACTATGTGCTGGTTACATAGGAGTCACATTCAAACTATTTAGTTTCTCTTGTGAGTGTTTCAGTTTCACCTCTGCATATAATTTGTTTTGCTATTTTCTGTTTTTACAACCCCAACAAGTCTGTCTAATCAAGTTCTTTGAGTCAAGTTCTTCCTTAATTGAAGCGTTCCTTTTGTGTGCTCTCAGGTGGTCAGCTGAACCGTGAAGACGTGCAGATGGAGCACACGGTGACTGACAGCGAACTGGATGGTGGGAAGAGCCTCCAAACTCTGGAGCTGGAGATCCAAGAGGCCTTTCTGCGCTTCATGGCCGCCATCCTCCGAGGCTACCGCTCCTACCTTCTGCCCATCACACAGGCCCCCTCTGAGAAGACCACTGACGCCAGCTCCCTCTTTGACATCCAAGGTACACTCCAGCCTCAGTCTAGAACTTCTTGATGTATTTCATCACAAAAAACACGGACATGGTTGTTGTTGCAGCACCTTTATGTGATTTAGTGCAGGAGTTGGTCAGGAGGTTACGGTCTGAATTCTGCCACATCATAAAATTGCCTTAAATCCCTGCTTGTGATGACTCTGGTGATTTTAGAACAAACCTCAGTGGAAATTAGGCTCGGATGAAAAGTCAGCGAAACCACCATGATTAATAGCACATCTGGGTGCTCTTATGCAAGTGGAGCAGTGGAGAACAAGTTGTTTCATGTCATAGTGTCCATTTCCTTTAAATTCTGCATTATGAAACCGCTTTACGAGTGAATGTTAATTTTTCTTTTATATGTTATTAATGTCCACTTGTCATGTTCGTCATTACATTATGTGTTTTGCTTCACAGGCTTCCTAAAGAGCAGAGACCGCTCCAATCAGAGGTTTTACTCCCTCATGACCAAGACTCAAATGTTCAGTCGCTTCATAGAGGAGTGCTCCTTTGTCAGTGACAAAGACGCCAGCCTGGCTTTCTTCGACGAGTGTGTTGAAAAGGTGAGGTTTGTAAGCTGATCTTTGGAATGGATTTTTTTTTTGTCTCAGAGACAATTTATCAGAAGAGATGCCCCATTATGCTGTGTCGAGACAATTCCTCCAGTAACAATGTTTTAGTCTGAACTCCACCCGCCTGCAGAACAACAAAGCTAAAAGGGAAAGATTAATCACATGCTGTCCTCTCAAGCGCGATGTCTTATTTAGGGCTTTGTTTAATTTAAAAGAGCTAATAAGCAAATAACAGGAGCTGAATAGAAATAAACAAGGTGTAATTAACACTCCAACATCTCCCTCGAGCCTCTTTCAACGTCGGCACTAAGCTCTTAGCCTCCTAAATATCCTCTTTCCTTTCAGTGTTTTTTAAAAAGTGCTTCTCTTTCTCGTCCTCTTTTTGGTCTTTCCTCTTCTTCTTCTTCTTCTTCTGATTTTCTGCCTTTTTTTCCCCTTTTCTGCTCCTCTGTTTGTCATCATGCACCCTGCCTGGTAGCTATTCACCACTGGAGGAAAGGTAAGATACCAGAGCTTGTGTTGTAGTGTTCTGTTTTTCCCCCCTTTTTAAAAAAAAGCAGTCGTAGCATCAGGTTTGATCTCGATCAAAGTGTTTTCCTTTGTAATTCAAGCATGACTCAGCTCAGAGTTTTTAGTATGAGTGTGCTGACTTCAGCTGGATTACTTTGAAACAAAAAAGTGCATGGCAGCAAAAGGCTTGAATGTGAGGCCGTGCATTAGCCGTCGGTGTGTGTGTCAGCAATCTGCATTATTGAACCAGGTGCCATTAAAATTAAACACACAGAGAAGTAAGAACTGTAAGAGACTCTGAGGTGAGACGGAGACAGTGGGATTAATTATTTCTGCTTGCCCATCGCTGACTCTGTACACGTTTCTGGTTTGAAAAGATTCCGTGAAGTATTATATAAAGGTCTGACGAGGAAAGCCACGGGAAGAGTTGATAATCCATATTTGTCGAAATCAAATGAGTTTTGTCATTGAAATCCTGTTGAAGTGGACTAATCCTGATGATTTAGAGTGAATCATTTTGAAACAGCTTTTATTAACACAACCCGCCTACACGTTTTGTAACACACAAAACAACTTCCTCCCCTCCAAAAAAAAAACCCCAAAAAAAACAAAAACCTCTCTGCGCTTGCAAACTTGTGAAATCAGGATGTCAAATTCACATCCTGCAAGAACAGTAAGGGCTCCTGTATGAGTGGTCATTGTGGTCATTATTATCGGGAAGTGGAAGCATTGATCCATTTTGCTGCTGAGGTTGACAACAAGTGCGTGATTGAGAAATGCCTCGTGGGTGTAAAAGGAAGGGCAGCAAGCGGCGAAACACTGAGCAGAATCGAAGCAGGGGCAAATAGGTCAGAGGGAGTCCGTTGACTGAATCATCCACTCGACTGAGTGGAACAAACTCCTGTAACGCTTCAGCCTTGGGGAGCTATTCAGACGCTGCCATAATATTAATGTTTTAGTGAAGCTCAAGTCTGAGATAAGCTGGTAATCGATTTAGATAAGCCGAGTGACTGCACATCAGCATTTCTAGTTTTAATGATAGCCCAGGAAGCTATTCAGCGCTGATTTCCTCCTGCGAAAAAAAACCAAAACATGGGCTTAACCATGCAACACAAAGGAGTGATACCTCTGTGTGTGTTGTTTTAAATTGGGCTGTAGCGCTTTTACAGTTTTCTACGTCAGATCAATCAGCATGTCTGAGTTAAAGGAAATGCATTGCCTCCCAAGTGGTACTATTTAATGCTTGCCGTGTCCCTCGAGCAACATGACATTCATTTTGCCCAGATCACTGCGGCCTAGATTTATGTCGTCCTGGAGGATTCATAGGATCAAGCTGCCCTTTAGATAACTGGAGTGAAGGCACAGTCGTTTTTCTGATGTAAACGGACTCATTACCGACATCTGTTTGTCCTCAATGACCCTCATATCTGATCTGATCTGAGGTCTTACATAAGATCAGAAGCCCATGAGCCTCCTGGCACCATCAGCACATATGGATACATGTGTACAGTATAGCAAAGCTCAGAGTAAAAAGAAAAAAAAAGGAAAAACAGAGGGAGGATAACAGTATGTGTTTCTCTTGCAAACCAGATGGAGAGTGAACGCCCGGAGGAAACCAGACTGATCGAACTGGATGAATCACACTGCAGTGAGCACACAGTCTATGTCAACCCTCCAGAGCTGCCTCCACTGCCCCAAGGAGAGGAGCATCCTCTGTGCTATAGGTACCACACTGCACATCCATCTCTCAAAGACAAGATGTTTCATTCTTTTACCCTGTGCCTTACACAGACAAACTGTTCAAGAGCACCTCTAAACAACACAGTGGAGCTCCCAAAGGTGTTAAACAGCACAAATTCTCTCTATTGTTAAAGAATTTGTCACTTCTGATTTATTTGTAATCCAGAGCACATCTTTTTTTTTTTAATTCTTATATCAGAACTAAAACTTCCAGGGTGACTATTTGTTCTTGTCTGTTTTTTTTTTAATAATGCTTATGTTGGGTTGGTTTCTATTTTTGGTTGATGACTGACTATATGTCTTTTTGCAGCTACTCAGGCTTTCCTGTGTTGAATGCTGAGCTTCTGGAGCCACTGGAGGGACCAAATCCTTCGTCAGCAGGCATTGCTGCACGGCACAGCAGCCCAGCCAGCCCGACAGCGATCTTTAGACGCTCGAAACAGGTCAGTGGTATGAGTGATAAGATTATTTGAAAAGTATCTTATCACGATTACTTTTACTCTAGAAGTTAATAATTTATTGTTTCAGAAAAACTTTATACAATGACTCGTTTTCGCTGTTTGTCTTCAACCATTTTTCTGTTTTAAAACCATATACTTTATACAATAAATTGTTTAAATTCATGTCACATTTTATCCTCCTTGAGCTCTGTTTATATTTGGATTTTAAGAACCTCCGCTTGTTTCAATGCTGCATTCATTTCGCTTAGTGTTGAATACATTTTTACATTTGAATACAAAATGAGAATCTGCTCTCTGGAGGATGTTGAATCATCTTACATGTCATCTCTTTCAACACAGGAGATCAAATCAGCTCAAAGAATGGCCAAAACCCATTCAGCCATGCCTCAGATGTGGTCCAAGTGCCTGCTGCGTCACTGTTACGGCCTGTGGTTCATCTGCCTGTCAGGGTTTGTCGGCAGCTCCCACTCTAAGGTGCGGGCTCTGCGCACAGCTTACGACGTGCTGAGGAAGATGCAGGACAAGAAGCTGCAGGCTCCAGATGAGGTAAGACATGCACACAATTTTCTACATTTGTTTTCTATCATATGTTTATATATGTTATCCATACAATTTGTCACAGTGCAAATTCTTGATTTTCAAATCTTGATTTTTCATCCAAGGTGTGTTACCGTGTGCTGCTGCAGCTGTGTGGTCAATACAGCCAGCCCGTCCTGGCAGTCAGAGTGTTGTTTGAAATGAAGAAAGCTGGAGTTCACCCCAATGCCATCACCTATGGTTACTACAACAAGGTGGGTGCTATTTGTGTGTACATTCATTTAAGTCAGAAATCCAAAAAACTAATCAGGCTTAAAATCTGGAAAGTTAAGCTGATCCTGACAATGTGTGATTACATGAACTCTGTTTGTTCTTTGGTGCAGGCGGTGTTGGAGAGTACTTGGCCCTCCACCACCAGAGGTGGCTACTTTTTGTGGGGAAAGCTGAGGAACGTGGTCCTTGGAGTTCTCCAGTTCAAGCAGGCAGGGAGAAAACCGACTCCGCTCCAATATCCTCCGCTTTCAGGTAAGAAAACTAAAGTTCTGACTTCATGTCAATGTTCAGCTAGAAACACACTGAGGTTTTTCATTTGACCAGTGAAACCATCACAAACATCATTTCAATGATTTGAATTGGACTGTCACAATGTTGCCTCAGGTTTTCCAATAGGGGTCATGTGTGATATAATGTTGTAGATTGTGCAGAGAGTTGGACGTGAATGCACACATATTTATTCATGATATTCCAATCATATATCACAATGATTAAAACCATCAGAAATTAAAAACACATTCTTCTACACAAAAAAAAGACTCATCCATATTTAACATTGATTCTATTCATCAGCCAAAATATTTCCAAACATAAATGTGTTATTTAATCAGATACATAATTTGTTTAATTGCACATCAAAACAAAGCCGAAGACTATTAGGTCCTAAATTATTTTCAATTATTCAAATGATTTCTTTAGCTGTAGTTACTTTTCATTGCTGATAGACAGAAAGTAAAGGGGTTTTTCTAACCTCATGTGCTTCTTCATGAATAGAAATAGAGATGAGTGTGACCCTGTGGGAGCAGCTGCTTCTTCAGGGTTTCTCTCCCGGTCCCACAACAAGGTTTATCCTGACGCCAGCCTCCTAAAGCACATCTCCCAGCCTGCTTTTCTTTACAGACACTAATTAAATAGAGTGAAGAGGTTTTCCTGCCCCGGCAATCTCAGCACACAGGTTGCTCTTGATGTCTGTCCCTAATTCCCACAGCAGCCCAGTGAGACTTACATTACCATAATGGCAGATGCCTGAAGGGGTCTGAGGAAAACATGATGCTTTGCAGCATGATCTATATACTGGGACGTTTGTATTGAGTTAATTTAACCAAGAGGCTTATTTAAAGAACTCCAGAAGCGGAAACAATGTGAAGGAGAGAATGAAACTTTAGTTTTCTTCAGTGATTAACACTTCTTGAAATGTACCATTTAAAAAAAATCTAAATGTGCAGTTATTATTTATCATTCAGCCCTCGAACTGCTCTGCCTTCTGTTAAAAATAAGACAGAAAAGTGAAATGTTGATGTCTGGCTTTCTTTTATGTACAGTTCATAGCATCTAATTCATTCCAGCAGCTTTTAGACTACGATGAAAGTCACAGCTCCCGGTGTTTATGTAGTGATTTCATACCAGCTGGCTCTATGATCCTGTTTGTACTCCGTCTTTTGTTTTCACCTCTCATCCTCTCCCCTCTCTTTTATCTCCCTTTAGACGGCAGTGATCTTGACACTGTCAGTCACGGTAGCTTGGACAGTGCTAATGACTCTGCTGAGCGCGCCTCCATCGACACTGACTTCACTAAAATGGACTCCAGTGATGATGGATTAAGCACAGGTAAGGAGCCAAAAGCTCTGCTGCTTTGTTCTTCCTACTATTTCACTCCTACTTTCACTTCGCCACCATTGCTGCTCTTTTGTCAGCTTTTTTTCTTTTAAATCTAATTTGACGTTTGGTCTGATAACATTTCCAAATGAAAAGTGGCTAAACAGCATGCTTGTATAAATTTCCCTACATAAATGTCACTGCAGACAAAAGTTTTGTTTTGACATTATTGTGATCCACGCATGCTGCTTCCTGTTGATCAAACTCTAAATGATTCATAGCCATGTCATCTTATAACTGTTGTGTCCAAATGTTACAGCAGCTCATTTCAGCATTTTAGAAAGTCAAAGTAAAAGTATAGATAAGCCATTTATAAGATATTCAAACTGATAAGGATAATATAGGGAAATGCTCTAAGCTTACAACATGATTGTGAGAAATGTAATTAAGGCAATCTTAAGGAGCCATATAAATATTTAAACATTATCTGCAGGTGTTGAAATAATCTGCACAAAAAGATGCTCCTGTGTCTAAGACAAATAGAAGACAAAGTGGAGCAGTGAGTGATGAAACAATGCAAGCTTTTCTTTTACTTTTGCAGATTTGAACAGAAGGCTTTAACAAAAGAAAGTTCTATTTGCCGTGATAAAACTTTATTTTTTAGCCCCACATTTTGAAAGAGTCACAGGGAAAGTGAAATCTACAGGGATTTATAGCTATCATCAAACGCTTTCAGGTTCCACACCATCGATATCAGACATTTTGATCTGGCTCGCAGCTCCTTTTATCCCTGAGCGGAGTTAACCGTTGAGTAGAGCAGAAATTCCATGAGGTTAAAATAAATCACAGTGGAGGAGTTTTGTACTTTTTTTTTTCTCTTCCTGCAGTGTGACCTTGTGAATATGATGCATTTCAAAGACTCCATTCCTTGCTTGCTACTCCTGCTTTTCTATTCTGGGAGCGTTGCGTGTTGAAAAGCTGTAGGGGAATGTCACCACGCTCTGCTGAAGAATAACTCTTGAGATCAGTTGTTTCTTACAAAGCATCCATGGAGACTAAAATAAATACTAATTTTTTATTCACTCAGCTCTTTCGAGAACAGGAATGTAAGAAAAGGGGGAAAAAAAAGCAAGTCCCTCTTTTTTTTTCTGGAGAGTAAAGCTTCTTATCTCTTTCAGGTGGACAGTCAGACCAAGGCTACGACTCTCTGTCCAAAGAGGAGGAGAGGATGTGCGGTAGAGAGAGTGACAACACTCCACTGGTGGAGGACAAAGGGCTTAGGCAGTCCAGTGAGTTATAGATCGGCTTCTCTCTCTAATCTTTGACACCTAGTTTCTTCTTTCTGTGTAAATCACAGCTCACGGGCAGCAAAGTGAACGCTCTCTCTTTAAAAGCTGGGGCATCATATCACAGTGTGGGTGTGCTGTACTGTGTTCTCTATTCGTCCATTTGCTTTTATATTTGGATGTTTTTTATAAACACATTCTGCTGATGGATGAATGTGTTATGTAAGCAGGTCGTTGTTTGCACGACCGGATTTGTCTTAAATTGGGTTGCATATAACAACATGCTATGTCTGAAGCAATCCCCTTTCCTGCTGTAATTTAAACTAGTCCTTAATTCCTTGTTTTATAACACAGACATATTTTTAGATTGACAGATGTCTCTTAAGAAACCACACAACTGCTAATTTCAACTTCTCTGCACCACGGCAACTGTTTCATGTTGTTCTCAAAGTTTTTCCAGATGTAATCAGAAGAACACCTTGCATTAACAAAATCTGGTATTTTTTGTAACCGTCCATCGATTTTGCATGAAGGATTTATTGTGAGAGATTCTGATAGACTCAACAAATACTCAAACAAAACATTTGAGTTTCCTCTTAACGATTTGTGTCCTTTAAACCTTCAGCACCCGAGATCGAGGGTCCAATCAGCAGGACCTCTCCTTCCAGCGGAAGTTTCAAATCAACTGATTACAGTGCAGGTGAGTTTTATTAATAGATGGATAGATAAATACTTTATTCATCCCCTGGGGGAAATTCATAATTATTCATTTATAATGAAGTTTGTTAATAAGTTCAAGGTTCTTGATTGTCACATGCAGCTGCAGCAAGTTCAAACACAATGACATTACTTTTCTTTTATCAACCAGCTGCTCTAATACGAGTAAGGCTCAATAAGGCACATATAAACGTGACACAATACCTTGCAAACATAATATATAATATAATGTAACATTTTATAAAGTGCATCTGTAATGTAAATGGGCTATATTTAAAAAGGTGATTTTAAAATTGATAACAATTTTGCATTGAAGGCCACAGATGTCATTCTTAGTATAAGGAAGCTGACAGTCTTGCCATATTTGTTTTTGTTTTGATACAGGCAATGAGAACAGGCCAGTTTCCAGTCCGCCCAGTGATGCCATTCTATGTGGAGTTCAGTCAAAGACCGAGAGGCCAAAATCTCTGGACTTGTCTGGTGGACCTGGAAGTCTGAGGCTGACCGTCCCTCACCTTGTCTCAACAAAGCACCCTCACCTCACTGCTGACAGACTTCACGGGGTGGAGGAAGAGGACACAGAGACTGACAAACTGAATTGTGTGGTGGAGGACAATAGTGAATCAGAGAGGCATTCTGTGCCCAGAAAGAGGAGTGTCAGCTGCAGCGCTGGGACTGTGAGGAGGACAGGTATTGAGAGGGGGTTTGATCCCTTGTCGCTTCTGGCAACCGGTGCAGTGAAAGAGTGTGATCAGGAGAACAGCAGCACTCCCACGGCACGCCGCAACCTCGCAGACGAGATCGAGACGTACATGAACAATGGCAGCAGCCCCCTGAGCAGCCGTACACCGAGCATGGACCTGCAGAACCCCTCGAGCCCTTTGTTTCGCACCTCCTCTTCCCCTCACACATCCCCAAGACCTGCCACCCTGCTCAGATCCAACACCCACCTTCCTCTGTCTGTTAAATCCAAGGAGAGACTGCGGCCATCACCATCTCTTCCTCTCGGCGTCTCTGCCAAAGTCAGAGAAAGGCCTTCCTCCTTGGTGTCACCCTCGTCACCGACTCCCTCCAACTCATCGTTCTCCATGGACTCTCTGTTTACTCCGACTATGGACATTTTTAAGAGCAGCTTCATGTCCGCTGGAAAGGGCGTAGCTGAAAAGGCCAGCCGTCTATACTCTCGTCTGTCTTCTCAGACTTCATTAACACAGGTTAGTGCAGAATTCCTCACTTACCTACTCTTTGTAAACATAACTGATGGTAAAATAAACAATTAATATGTTCATCCTCTCGTGCAGGATACAAACTGTGACCGCATCAGTGTTCCTCACTGACTTCAGGGGAGGCAGACTGCTCCTCGCTGCTCGATAACGACTCCTGTCTGGACCCGGACGGCTTCACCTCCCCCCAGCACGGCGGCGTGTCCCGGCTCAGGAAGAGCCCTGTTGTGGGTCACGCAAACCTGGGCAGCCCAAGCACCCCAAACAGAGTGTTCAGACACAACTCCTTCTCTGGTCAGTTGAATTTTTTTAATCCATTTCCTGTATCACAAACATTGTTTCAATATTCATGTATCACACCTTTAACAAAAAAAAAAAAGGGTTTACAACGTGCTCTGGAATACAAGAAAGAAGAAAAGCACGAGAACACAAACACAAAAGAACATCATTTTCTCAAACATCATAAAAACCCAAGCAACACGAGAAGAGAGGATCGCAGAGAAAAAATTAAAAGAGATAAAACACATTACAACGGAGTCGAAATGAAATGCAAGCAATAAAAATAAATTGAGGATGTGAAGGCAACCAAAAAATGGGAAGAATATATAGAAATACGATAAGATAAAAAGTAAAAAGAAGATTTAAAAAAGGCAATAAGAAGACAACATCACATAAAAGCAAGTCTATTAAACAATGCTCCTAGTTCGATTTTTTATTTCATGTTTATTTGAGGAATCTTGTCCTATTTGCTGTAATAGAGCAACACATTTGTTTTTAAGTAGTCTGCTATCTTTTTATGAAAAAAACATCTCGGCGGCTTACAGCTGTGCTCATTAAAGCGCTGCTTTAACTGCGGTGGTGTTTTTTATTTCCCAGCAAATCACTTCTTGACAGTCTAAATTTAGAGGAAGAGAAGGGCTCGGTGATGGAGGGAGTCGGTGTTGTTCTGTGTGAAACTAGGCCAGCAGGCATGAGGGCTGATTCAGTGTGTAGGCTTCTCTGCTCTCAGCCACGTAGAGGCCCTTGTGCTAAACATAAAACTTGTGAACACGCACTCATACGCGTGCATGCACACTCCCAGGACACAACCACCTGCACTGCAAAACAAAAAAAAAACATGTCTGCTGATTGTACAGATATTCATAGCTTTGATACTTGTGTTAAATCTTGGCTTAGGCTTGGGTGTTTAATTGTCTAATCCTCCACTGACCCAGGTGGTTTGGCACTTCCCTCAAAAACTCCTCACACTCCTGATGCCTCCCCCGACAACAAACGCTTCCAACCTGTTCCTAATTACACCATAGAGGTAAGATACTCATACATAAAAGTCCTTTTGAGGAGATATGAATCAAACCATCACGACTAAAATGTCTAATTTCTCGTCCTGCTGCTGTAGGTGCAGATGTCAAGCTGTTCACTTTGTAAAACATGTGACTGTCTGGTGTATGATGAGGAGATCATGGCTGGCTGGACAGCAAACGACTCCAACCTCAATAGCACTTGTCCTTTCTGTGGCACGGCCTTCCTGCCTTTCCTCAATGTGGAAATCAAAGACCTGAGACCACAGAGGAGGTAAATGCTCCCTTTACTCAGTCCAGTATAGTATGAACAAAGTGTTTATTCACTTAATGTGCAAAATACTAAACACACACACACACATTCAAACACACACAAAGGAAATATTTAATCCCTGTGGCCTGTTTAAAGAGATCCACTCTGTGTTTCCCCTCAGGTCTTCTCAAGAAACTAATCCTGTTACAGAGGAGAACACGTCGGCGACACTCAATTCAGAGGCCGAAACGTCTGCAGCAGACGGTGCAGCCGAACCATCTCCGGCGCGTCTGCAGGAGCAGCAGGGCAGTGGAAGCACCGAGCCAGCTGATCCATCCTCTGCTCCAGTGACAGTGCCCTACCTGAGCCCTCTGGTCCTGTGGAAGGAGCTGGAGAGCCTCCTCGTTAACGAGGGCGACCAGGCCATCTCGTCCCCGTGCATCGTTGACCAACACCCAATAGTCTTCTGGAACCTCGTGTGGTACTTCAGAAGACTGGAGCTGCCAAGTAACTTGCCAGCCCTGATCCTGGCCTCCCAGCACTTTAACCATGGAAACCAGGTAAAGATACCCTGCTAACAATAAAGCCTTGTTTTTACCATAAAGATGATACACTCCTGGTTTTATTTGTTACATATGAGCAGGACTTCTTCTTGGCAGGAGAGTAGAGTTTATCTACTCATCTATATTAAGACAAGAAAGTTCATCTTTGTATTTCTGGAAATAAAGGTTATTCCCGTAAACCTTCTGTGTCTAGAGTTAAAAGAATATTACTTTAGTGACTCCTAGTGGTCATTTTAAAAAAGACACTGCTACACCATCGTATGCACAAAAGCATCACAGATAAAACCTAACCTGACTGAAAGTAAATATTTGAAGAGATATATAGGCATTAAAACATTAAAATTCTACACATTGGACTTTAAAACTCAGGGTGAGGACTAAATCATATGCTTGTTTTTCTTCTTGCAGACTCCTCAGAGCATCTCTTCCGAGGACAGTAAGCAGGTTCTTGTGAGGATCATGTGGGACAATCTAAAGTTGCACCAAGACAAAGTTCAACCCTGCTATGTCCTGTGGAACACACACTGTAAGTTTTTGGATGTGTTTACTGTTTACGGATTTGAGTTGTAGTTGAGTTCAAAAAGTGAAATTTCTTTTCCCGCATGTCATTACCCACTCTCTCCCTGGCTTCCTACTCGATCCACTGTCCTCTCAAATAAAGGCATAAAAAAGTGAAATTGCTTTCATTTAAAAAAAAAAAACTCTGCTGGTAACACTGGTGAGTTTGATGAAGGTCAGATATTTACATGCAAATTAAATAATGCATATGAAGTAACTAGAAGATCATGCATAATTCAAACAAGGATTCCTTTTAGTCACGCAGCCCTTATCAAGGCGAAACCCTCAGAGTTCATTTTTCAGGGATGGAGATGAATGAGTGTTTGATCAGTGAGACTTTTATCTCTGGCTTTCTGCAGGTGCCAACTCACTGGTTCGCTCGGGCTGTGTGAGGAAGGGCAGCTCTTCACTGTGGAGCTGCTGCAGGGCTTTGTGAGGAGCATTAAAAAGAGTGACCTCTATCAGCCCATGAGTCAAATCATCCAGCTGCTGGGGCCAGAGCTAGGTTTTAAAAGACAGCGGTGAGGAACCAAAGAAGTGATTGTAAATCTGTGTGTAAAAGATGATTATTAAGTGAAAAGTCTTGATTTACTTTCTTCTTTCTTTTCTGTTTTTAAGGAGTCTGTATAGAGATTTATTGAACCTTGCTCTGGTGTCTTTGGGCAAACACAACATTAATATCGGTAAGTAGAAGAAGAATAACCGTTTTTTGAATCGTAATAGCTGTTTGTCGGCATGTCAATCCTCAACCTTATGCAATTTGATGATTGCAAGAATTTCCTTTGACTCCGTCAGTCGGCCAAAGTTTCAATTTGTCCAATATTTGCTTTAAATACAAATACCTGAAAAGTAATGGCATTCTCATCAGCATCATCTGTACATTTTGTTTAGTGCTAGACAGCAAATGTTAGGCTGCTAACAAGCTTTAATAAGGCAGTCAAATTGTAAGCATGTGGTAAACTTCAGAATTGCCCAATATTACAGTATGTGTCTCCAGAGCCTGTTGGCAGGGCGATGTTAGCGTCTATCTCACCACTATGGCTGCATGTCTTATCTTACATTTCTACATTTCTTTATTTACTGTATATATGTGTATTAGTCATTTTTTAGCATTTATTGCATGGCCTTGCGTAACAGTCTTTACATTTCACTGAACATCTGTTTGAGCATGTGACAAATACAAGTCTTGAATCTTGAATCTTCGTTTTGAAGATGAAAGAACTGGTTTTGTCTTGAGTTGTCAACGACATGCTGTTCAGGACTGTTGAATTAGATACAATTATAAAAAAAAAAGCTGAAATGGGCTGGAGGTTACACATGAACCATAATTATCATCTACTACATAAATATTGTTTTCCTTCTGTTTTTTTGCAGATGCATTTGACCGAGAGTACAAGCTTGCATATGATCGCCTCACCCCCAATCTGGTCAAATTGACACACAACTGTGACAGGCCCCCTGGAGCAGGGGTCATGGAGTGCAGGAGAACTTTTGGAGAGCCCAGTCTGTGAACAAAAAAAATCTCTTTTTCTTTCCCACCAAGTATTTCCTTCAGACACTGTCTCCGTTTGATTTCTGGACTTAGACTCCAAACACTCAGGACCAGCTCACCTGACTGGAGCACACAGCTATGAAGCACAATGGGGAAAATGCCACTTAACGTTAAGCAACTGCCATGAGTTTCTTGTATACTGTTACAGCTGAGCGGGCATGAAGCGACAGGCCTTGTTTTTGTAAATATTATAATGCACACTGTATTTTCAGTATAACTATTGTCAAATGTTTGTACAGCTATTTTACAGTTTATTTTATGACTTTGTTTCTGTCAAAGCTGTGAGTCACGTATCTAAAGTCAGCGTGTTGCACATGTCAAAATTCCTATGTGGTCCTGGTGACCGTGTTAAGACTGTTGTTGAGTGTGTGTGTGTGTGTGTGTGTGTGTGTGTGTGTGTAGAAGAAGTAATTGCTTTCAGACCTTCATGTTTTTTTACAAAGCACTTTGGCAGGATGAGCTCTGTCCATTCATTCTCATTTACGTAACCCAGCCCAGCAGCCTACGCTTAAGTGACTTTTTATTTGACAGCTGCAGGACTAAATGTCCGGTCAAACATTCCACAACACACATTGAACTAAAGCAAAGACACTCCTCCTCGTCTGAACCCTGCGCATCCAGCAGGGTTGAACTTGTTTGACTAAATACACTAAACTCGATCAAAGAATTAGAAAGCTTCTCTTCTCAATTAATGCATATGCACAATCTTTGTTTATCTTCTTTTTTACATTGTATCAGAAAAAAAACAAAAAGGGAATAATACTTGCTTGATTTATTTCCATTTTATTTAAGCAATACTTTTTTTTAAACTGAGAAGTGAATAATGTATACGTTATATGGGACCACCAAGGATTGATTTCCTCGAAACAGTACAATCAAACTAATGGTAGATGAATATAAACTTATAACAATGTTTTCTTTTGGATATATCAACACTTTTATGAATAGAGAATTCACATTATTGACACATTAATGGACATATAACTATGTACAGAGTATGTGATTCTTCTTGATCTTCACTGTATTGTCTAGATGTCACTTTGAGACATTTGGACAGCGGTGCACTATAAAATGTGACAAACAGGACAGCAAAGGGCATTTTTAGACCCGTTTGCACTGAGTATACTTCATGCTAAGTAAACACAAAAGCTCTGCCCTGCCCTCATTTAAAACAACTTCCAAACAAAATGCGTGTGATGGGTCACTGTGTTTACTATGAACTGACAAAAACCTGCCATGGTGTGTTGAAGTATCACAGCTTATTCCTGAACGTCCTCACAGTAACGATGCTGGAACAAACACCAGACTCACAGCATGTACATTTGCATTATATTCACCTTGTAGGTTGGTACTTAAAAAAAAGCACTGATGACAAATACATAACTTGATGTCTACTTGTTGTTACTCAGTTTATCAATTCAAAAAATGTTAATGAAGTATTATTTATCATTTGTAACACAGATACTTATTTGTATGATTTTTATATTAAAAAAATGATTTCTTCCCTGACTAAGTCTAAAGTTTGCTGACATTTATGAATAAACACATTTCTTCTATGGATGTCGCTTTACATTATTTTCCAAGATGAGTACTTATGCTATGCCTGACATCGTTATATGAACTGATGAGCTCAAGCGAGCTCAGGTTATCCTTATGCTGATTTTAAATCAGTATTTGCACCAGTGTATACTTGCATTTTAATTTAAAAAAATCAAATTTACAAACTTCATAGCTTTTCAAAAAACTCTATATAACCTAAAAATTATGTCTCTTCTATTTTCTAAAAAGAGGAATATATTTATACACTAGTGTTCGTTCTGTCAAACTTTATTACACAAAAATGTGGATAATCTGATATAATCTTAAACAATATGTTAAAGCTGCACTTTTTACTAGAGTAAGAAGTATTAGAAAATGTTGTGTTAATTTCTGCTGACATACCAAACAGAACACTGTCTGCAATGCAAAGCACCTCCAGTAGCTGTCCATCCTTCATGAGATCAGCACATGTAGGAATTAAAAGTCTCTTTCTGATCACACCCTCAGATGGACACAGGGCAGGTAATGATGCGATCCTCCAGCATCACACTAAGAACCAGGAAGATAAAGTAGAGCAGGAACATGGTGAAACCCAGAGCCTTATTCATACTCCACTTGCAGGATGCAATTGAGATGATGACAAAGAGGAGCATGATGAAGAGAAGCACAATAGCACAGAAGAGTCCATTGCTGCTGACAGCCACTGGAGCAAAGTCGTGAAAGGACGAGTACAGGAGCCATGGGACTGGAAGACTGTTCAAATAAAGGGACAGAGAAAAAAACAAAAACAAATAGGACTTAGAAGAATTTCACCAACTAATCATTCTTGGGCCTTTTTTTCCCCCATCGTGACACATCAAACAATCAGAGCTCACCCCACAGTTATGTCAAAGATGTTACTGCCCACAGAGCTGGACACAGCCATGTCCCCCAGGCCTTTACGTGCCACAATCACACTGGTGATGAGGTCGGGGATGGATGTCCCTGCAGCCAGAATCGTCAGACCCATAATTTCCTCTGAGATGCCGATGGTCTCACCCACCTCAGGGGGAAACAAAGCTCAGAATGTACAACAGTTACAGAAACGGAAAACTACTCATAGTTTAAAAATGTCTGATTCAAAACGACACCAACTTTTTCCTTCTGTTTCTTTTTAAAGCATTCCCTGGCTCTTGGAGACTAAATGGAGATGTTACTTTAACTAACCTGGTGGGCCCACCACACCATGAGGTAGGAGAAAACACCAATCCACAGAATGGAGCCCAGGAAAGTGAACGCAAAGAATTTTCTGGATTTCTTTTGGATAAAGAAAGTGATGTAAAAATCAAAACACAACATTCCAGCCTTGAAGACACCATGGATGATCATATGAGGTGTGTGCGGGCCTTTACCTGGTTGCGGACATCTGGAACAGTGAGCCACAGAGGGAAGATTATGGGCAGCAGGAGGAGGTAGGTGGCTTGTTTCAGTGGTGTGTCAGGCCAGTTTAAAGACAGAGGCTCCTCTCCTTTCTCCTCCTCCTCACTTTCGTCTTCACTGGACTCATCGCTGTCTTCTTCACTGTCTTCATCGTCATCATCACTGTCAGAGTCTCCTGAGTCTCCTGATCCTCACATCCTCCTCCTGACACATCCTCCTAAAGACATCCCAGTGGACGACAGTAGAAGCAAAGGAGAAATAACAGAAAGAAATATCAATATAAAAAAACAGAGAAGAGGCCATCTGCCTGCCTGATGTTGTAGCTCCATCATGGACTCTTACATAGACAGCTACCAAAGACTGACTTCTGGGCTTTTTGATAACCTTCAGCATGTGGTTGGAGAGTACCTTCTTGTCCTCTGGCTGCTCCTTCTTCTTCGTTTCTGCAGCGGGGGCAGCCTCTGACTCTTCTGTCTGCTCTGTTTTCCCCACAGCATCTGTAAAAAGAACCTCCAGAATTGTGCACACTTCCCTCATGCTGCAACTTACGAGTTCAACTACCTATATCTAATAGTTCCATTGCCATTTTGATGACTTCAGTACCGACAATATGGAGAGTTGTAGGAATGATTTTTTATTGACTTTCATCATGTAGCATTGCTTGAAGTTGTTTTAAACTGTGGCCTGGAACTGTGGGGAAATTGTGTTTTATCTGTCCTACCTGTACACACAGGTCACAAACCTCCAGTACAGCAGAAAACTGATGGTTGAGGCACGACTTAGTTTTAGTGATCTTGTATCAATTAAATGAAGAACAATTAACCTGGATAGCTCTTCTTCCTTCTGTCACAGATCCATTTTGACTCATTCTGTTCACATGCTGAAGTCTTTATTTTTTATCAGTCCAGATGATGAGCAGCTTCCAGACTTTTCAGACTCTTTATAGGTAGACTCTAAAGGCTCAATGAAAGCTACCTGATTAGTGGATTCCCATCACATCCTCCAATTTACCTTCACTTTTGTCCTGAATTTTTCTCTCTGCTGTCCGTCTAGCCACATTATTCAGAGTGTCAGCCTTATCCTTAAATTTCCCTATGAACAATCAAACAAGCAAAGAAAATAATCTTAGACCTCTGTGATTAATAGCTCAGGCATGTTTTAAAAGTTGCATTAACTTCACACTTTCACAGTTAGAGGGCAAATGAGAAGTCTTACTTTGAATGAGTAAATATAGAGTAAATCACAGACACTTTCACATCAAAAGTGACGACACCATCATCATTCTTACTGCACCACAGAGCAAAGACATCAAAACCAAGAGTTCATCAAAGGGAAAAGCACAGGAGTCACTGTGCAGATTAATACTTTTGCTCTCAATCAAAATCATTCTAGACTACACATGAATTGGCTATTTTATCTAGGAAGCATATTTTTTCTTCCTTTTGATCCAATGACTCACTTTAAAAGCACACACCACAAGCAAGAATAATCAATAGCAGAGGTCAATACTGACAAACCATGCATTAGAGTAAACTTTAACTCTGCTGCTTCATTCAGGGTCTGTCAAACTTTCCTTGGCACCTTATCTTCTCTCTTTAGGTAAGTCGAGGGTACCACACACAGATATGTGTTCTTTTGCTTTGCCATATCTTGATGTCACCAGTCATCATAAAAGAACATGGGTTCAAGGAATGCTAGATACAAAAGCACCATTAAGAAGACATAAGCAAACAAGCGGAGAACTCCAGGAATACTACTGGGAGACACTGTACAGTACAGGAAGCCCAATGGCCAGTCCATCGTTTAAACAGGCAGCCCTTAATTGCAACTTTTAGCTTATCTTACATATTTTACTCATTTTGTTATGCCTGTAACTGAGTTTACAAGGTTTAATAGTCATTGATAATTTATTGATAATTAGGATTAAAATAATCTTTATGTTGGCAAAGACCATAAATCAATGGGAGTCTTTTTACATTTCACTGGCCCTTCAAATAGATCCCTCAACAGACTGAGGTGTGTATTTATCTGCTTATTATTAGTCTGGACTAAGTGCTGCCTTTGTTTAGGACACTTGGCTAATCCATTGTAGACCAGTGTAAGGGCAGACATTTCTCCACCATTGTGTTGATATGGTACTTACCCTCCCCCAGAGGGTCTAATGTGTGGATCATGAGCTGGAAGATGGTGTTTCTCATGGTGCTGTTGTGTAAAGAAGCTGAACTTCCCCCTCGCTGAAGGGAAGGCTTCAACTGAGGAAACACAGGTATATAATGATGATGTTGTTTTTGTGTTATTTTCATTTGCAGTTCAATAGTTGGTTGATTCTTTAATCTATCTCTGTCTTACCTTTAATCGATTCTTGTCATCTGGAGGAGGAGGAGGAGGGGCATTATCGTCTGCGTTCCCATTTATCTGTGTGCAACAATGTTTTTTTAGTTACAATAATTGGCAGAGATAGAAGTTGTTTAATTTATAGAGCTTAAATGTTAGAATACTGTACGCTATCATCTGTTGCATTGGTAACGTTCACCCTGGGGTCTTGTTAAACTTGCATATTAGTAAAAAGAAAAAACTGCAGACCATTTACAGGATTGTAATTTTGTGGAATAACACTATAGTGTGGTCATTTATTAAGTATTATCAACAGATGAAATAATTAAACATTGCACCTAAGGAACCCAGCTGTAGCAAATACCCTGAGTGTGCACGACAACTGTGAATGTACTTTGTATAAATGAAGCCTCAATCACACTTGCAGGGTTTAATACAGTATATGTTGATGCTACAGTTTGTAAAGAGCTGTAGCTCCTGAGGGATTAGTTTGATGCGGCTGATCAGCTTTGGTTCCTCAAGGCCTTAGTCACAGTCATTTTACCTTTTTGCTACAATTTGCATAAAACCCTGAAAGAAGGTTGGAGTAGAAATGTCATAAATTAGTAATGTAAGTGTCTGTTTTAAAAACCAATCACTCTGCTTTTGATAGTATAACAAAATAAGATTTAAAAAATATCAATTTGACAAAATAATTGCATTGGAGAATGTGCATCAGATGCCATATCTGACAGAATAACGTCCAATAATTAAAATCGAATATTTTGCGAAGTAGCACAATGGCTGTGAATGTTGTCCTTTGATTTTTTTTTTTTGCATTAAAAAAGATTGTGACAAAGTTGGCGATTTATGACCAGGGTCATGTTCTTTCTCAGGCATGCTTACCTTCTCAGATTCCTCCACAGCTATAATTCTGACAATGTTCTTGTGTTTGTGGAGTTGGGTCTTGAAGGCTCGCTCTATCTGCACATTAAACTTCATGAAGATCACGTAGAGAGAGTAACTGGTCACCAGCATCATGCTCTCCCACCACATTATCACATTATCCAAGAAGAAGATGATGAGTAAGATGAGGTCGAATATGTAGAAGGACACGTCTCTGAAAAGTGGCCACCAGGTTAGACGAAGAACCTCTCGCGAAAATAAAGCACACATTCCAATCACAAACAAAATGTTGAAAACTGCTGAGCCAACAATGGTGCCGATGCCCACGTTACTGTGGGCGATGAAGACCCCAATCAAGGAGGTGAAAAGCTCAGGAGCAGAGCCACCAGCAGCCATGAAGGTGGCTCCTGCCACATCGTCAGAGATGGCTAACTTGTCTGTGATTACTCCCAGAGCAGGAACAAAGAACTCATCACAAACGATCGCAAGTGACATGAACATGTACATCATCCCAATAACGTGAAGGATCACCCAACCTCGTCTGCGGTCTTCAACAGAAAATATATCTTCAGGGTACTCCCCCTTAATGTGAGGAGCTTCACCAGGAGGAGAAGGAGTGGAGGTTGTCACAGGAGGGGCTGGAGCTGGTGCCGGGGTCTCCAGTGGAGGATCAGGGGCCACAAAGATGCAATGCACAAAAGTCCGTTTTGTGGTTGAGGATATCGGAGATTCAGTGGTGATGGATGCATTCAAATCTGAAGTGGTAACAAAAGAATCAACCACAAGCATATCTGGTGTTGTTTGATCTGCGTTCTCCAATCCATGTGTTGCAGTGAGAACCTTCTCTCGCCCCCGAGTCTCTGCTGTAGTCTCCTCAACCTCCTCTGTTGAACCTTCTCCAAAATCCTCTCCAACCTGAGGCAGGGGAAAAGGTTTGTGCAGTCTGGCACTGGCGGTCAGCTGATAGAGGGTACAGAGAAAAACCCCAGAGAGAAGAAACAAAACCCTCCTAAGCTGCAGTCGCTTCCTTCTTATATACATTTCCTCCAAAGCAGTAATGCAAGCAGCTACACAGAATTAAGCAGAATGAATGGTCTTTGGTAGAGCGAAGGTCCACAGCAGACGGTCGGGTGACATGATCCAAAGCTTCAGGGTGATTCCTCCTACATCCTCAACTTCTTGGAAAACCCAGTCTATAATAATGAAAGGAAGCATCAGAGATAACATGACATTTAGACAGCCGGTGGCACAATAGTCGTGAATTTTTGAACAAAACTGAACTATTCAGACAATCTGAATTCTCAGTCATCAGGTGTTATTTAACTGCCAATTAAGAGCTGTCATGATCTATGTACACCCAGTAAAAACCCAGTAGACCAACACAAGCACATGCATAACATAAATGCACAGACAACTAGATAACAACTACAATGTGGTAGGGGGTTGGGGCTAAATCTATATTCATTACAAAAAGGAACAAAACAAAACCAAGCATTTTACTTACAGGGATGCACAGCTGGATATTGTGGCACAAGCTAAAGTCCAAACTGTTGCCAATGGCCAAAGGGTGAAGTAGGACACCGGACAAGTGTTCACAATGGATCAGCATAATACCTGAAGTCTTCTAAGAGGATTATGTGCATTGTCTTACTCTCACTTCATCATGAGCCTACCATAGGAATATTTCATTGAAATAAAAGTTGAGCTTTGGTCTGTTGCATAACAAAAACTTGAATGAAGCCATACATTTTGGAAGAAAATGCTGTTTATGTTACTGATTGTTCTTCCTGTCTGAATGACCTAATCTCTTTTCTGTCGTTTGAAAATATGAAATGCTCCTTAAGAGGTTCACCTCCTAGTTTCTAAAAAAGATGGCAGCCTATTATTACATGTGTAAATAATTTAACTTCTCTAGACCCAAACTGATATCCAATACACTAACTCTCTGAAGCAAGCTCCTTGAGAAGCATTTGTGCCTGTGGATGTATTTGTATGTATGTGTATAATTGTTTTCCTCTTTTTTCTCCTTGTACTTCCCTCCCAGTCCTATCTCTTAATTTGTGCATTTATCTGATATATCTTTTTATTCATCATAATCAATATTTTTTATTTTGTGTGTAAGTCTGTTAAGTATGGTTAAATGGTCCATTTTTTAAGTTTGCCTGTTTCCCTGTTTGTTTACTTGTTTTTTCTGATTGATTTTTTTTCTATTATTTTTCTGTTCAAATGCTTCCAGAGGAAAAGGGAAACAATTTAGATAGCTGATTTTTAATGTGTCAAACTAATTTGTTACAGTTTTCCAATATAAAGTATATACATTTAAGAAAGACATGTTATAGTTCCAAAACCTCTGTAAGCTTAACTGTACATGTTCATTGCTGTTTTTTTACACACTTCACGTGACACTGTTAATGCACAGAACATTAGACAAATCGAGTATTAGTATGTCTTTATTTAAGATTAAAATGTACTTTTATTGATCCCCGCAAGGGGAAATTCTGTTTCTGTAAGTCATGCAACACACACAGGCTGAAATATACACACATGCACATGCTATGGACATGCACTAATGGAGAGATCTCAGAGTGACAGAGCTGATGGGGTTTTGTGCCTTGCTCAAGGACACCTCGGCAGTGCTCAGGAAGGGATCTGGCACCTCTCCAGCTACCAGACCAACTTCCATTTTTTGTCCATGCCGGGACTTGAACAGGCGACCCTCCGGTTCCAACCCAAGTCCCTACAGACTGAGCTACTGCCACTCAAAGATACAAAACATTTAAAGAATCTATCACGATTATAAAAAATAACATGAAATATGGATATGAGCACTTTTATGAGAATTATAAAAGGATGTATATGTGTGTATGATTTATAAAAAAAAAATGTAATAGTTACCGGTAAGTACAAAGTATTCCGTTTTTTCATATTTTATTTTTTTTAATATAAAATATGAATTTTATAAATTTGGAGGAAAAAAATGTTTGTCCATTCGGCCACTTACATGTAAATGTGACATCTACTCACATATTTATATACAACAATTTAGTGTCAAGCTTATTTTTTAGGGACTTGTTATGTGGAAAAAGTTTAAGTCACTGGATGAATATTGAGCCTGAGTAAACCTCTAAAGTGGGCTGTCCTTATTCCTGCATCTGTATTTCAAATGCAATTTTCCCCCTAACAGAGACATTAACGTCATAAAATCAGTTGTGTGGAAAGCAATCAAAAACCTATTGTTTGAGCTGCTTACATATATTTCCAACATTTCATTGCAGTTTATATACATGAAACCTTTGGGAGCTTGCAGCACTGAAACAGCTGTATGAGGGAGAGAGGGGTAGTAGCCTGTATGTGGCCTTGAAATTTGTATTTTTTTTCTAAATTCTGCAACAATTACTTACTGAAACCTTTAGATACTTTGACCAGCAGAGTCACATCTAGCATTTCTATTGGCTCATGGTTAGCATTGCAATGCTTTTGTGATACAGGTCCAAAACATAACCATTTACTTGTTTGCATATACCGTAATAGTTACAGTTTATGCTTTGGTATTTGAATTTACATAGCAGATAATAGTCTATAAAACCACAAGAATAATTGCTATATATATATATATATATATATACACATATATATATACAGTATATATACTGTATATAGATAGACAGATTTAAAAATAGCATAAGCAATTTCAGAAACATTAGAATAAATGGACATGTTAAGAAATGTTAGCACACCCAAATTCATTACACAGGGCAAACGATGAATCTATAATGGAACATAAATCTTATCGCCTGGAAGATCAAGTAGAACAGTAACATGGTGAAACCTAGCACCTTACTCATCTTCCATTTACAGGATGCAACAGAGATGATAACAGAGAGGAGCGGGAAAAGGAGCAGCACCACGATACAGAAGAACCCACTGCTGCTCACAGGCACCGGAGCAAAACCACTGAAGGATGAAAGCAGGAGCCATGGAACTGCAAGACTTTTCAGAGGTAAAGACAGAAAAATAAAGAGGTAAACAACAGAATTTTCTTTCAATTATGACACAAGAGGTTATCAAAACTCACCCCAATGTGATACAAAAGATGTTACGGCCCATGGAGCTGGACACAGCCATGTCCCCCCGGCCTTTACGGGCCACAATCACACTGGTGATGAGGTCGGGCATGGACAACTCTGCAGCCAGAGGGGTCATTATGTGATCTGGTATGCCGATGGTCTCACCCACCTAAAATGAGAAGAAGCTGCAGAATTAGCTTCAGAAATGTTAAAATCAACTGATAAATAACAACCTTAACCTTTAATAAACAACGTTTTTGAGAAGAATTGAAATGAATATAAGAAAATGCGACACACTATTTTAATACCAAAATCACAGTGTTTTTTGCCCTCAAATTCCTGTTGATGTGCTCCATTTAAAAATCTGAAACTTGTCAAAAGAAAATAAACAGTGCAACTCATTTCTTTATTCACATTCACCATTTTACTACATGAACTCACCTGATGGGCCCACCACACCATGAAGTAGGAGAAAACAGCAATCCACAGAATCGAGCCCAGGAAGGTGATCACAACGAGTTTTCTGGATTTCTGTTTGTCAAAGGTATGAGAAGGCAAAAGACAGCGTTGATGCATTTAGAGGCCTCAGCTGATCACAAAGATGTGTGCGGGTCTTTACCTGGTTGCGGACATCTGGAATCGTGAGCCACAGAGGGAAGATTATGGGCAGCAGGAGGAGGTAGGTGGCTTGTTTAAGAAGTGTATCAGGCCAGTTTAAAGACAGAGGCCTATCCGTTGTCCCTTTTTCTTTCTCTTCCTCTCTTTCTTCTTTTACCAGATTTTCACAATTATTTTTAACAGAATCCCTCCCATCTTTATGAATATCATCTTCAGGACCTAGAACACTTTTAGAGTCTTCTGACCCATCCTGTCCTGTAGGAACACACTCCTAGGAAAATAAATGTTTTGTATTAATCATGTAAGCCGAGGTTGAACAAATATATGATAAAAGTCTACATTTTTATTTGCCTGACGTGGTAACCCTGTAAATTGGTTTATAAAAAGACAAGGGCTATTAAAGGTAAGGTGTGAGTACAAATGTGATGAGGGTTGAATTTTGATTTCTCTTTTACGAGGATTGTTGATGGGTTTCCTGTCACTAGTTTAACTGAGAGGAAACAAAAATGATGCATGCATGCAACTTTATGCACTAAAATGTGCATTTGTTGAGGATATGAAAATAAAACCAGGTGACTATATTACCACAAATATAAATAATACACATTTAACTTTTAATTCAAACTTATTGAGTGGGAAAAAAAAATCAGTGTTGTTCTGAAAGCTTTAACACAGTACAAAATGCAGCTATAATTGGATTTTTTTGAGTCCATGTTTGTCGAATGCTTGCAAAATGTTCCATGATCACTGCTTTATGGGATTTCACCCAACTTAAAAGAAAAAAGAAAAAGATGCAACAACTGCAGATTTATTAATTTTGTGGTTAAAATCCATTTGATGTGAGACAAGAACATGTGTCATAGCTGTACTTACCTTTTCCTGTTCCTCCACATCAAAAACCATCAAAATGTCCCTGTGGTTGTGGTGTTTCCTCTTGAAGGCTCTCTCTATCTGCACATTAAACTTCATGAAGATCACGTAGAGAGAGTAACTGGTCACCAGCATCATGCTCTCCCACCACGTGATGACATTATCCAAGAAGAAGATGATGAGTAAGATGAGGTCGAATATGTAGAAGGACACATCTCTGAAAAGTGGCCACCAGGTTAGACGAAGAACCTCTCGCGAAAACACAGCACACATTCCAATCACAAACAAAAGGTTGAAAGCTGCCGAGCAAACAATTTGACCAACACCCACATTGTTGTGGGCCAGGAAGACACCTATGATGGTGGCAAAAAACTTAGGAGCAGAACTGCCTGCAGCCATGAAGGTGGCTCCTGTCACCTCGTCAGAGATGGCCAACTTGTCTGTGATGACTTGCAGTGCAGGAACAAAGAACTCATCACAAACAATTGCAAGTGAAATGAACATGTACGTCATCCCAATAATGTGAAGGATCACCCAACCTCGTCCGCGGTCTTCAACAGAAAATAAGTCTGTGGGGTATTTACTCCTAACATATGGAACTGGGTCAGGTAAAGCAGGAGTGATGGTGGTCGCAGGCTCAGATGTTGCAGAGGGGCAATGAACAATAGTCTGTTTTGGACATGGAGAAGATTCAGTGAGGTCGGATTCTTGGTGATCTGAGGTATCCGGCTGATATACCGTATGCATCTGTGCTGTTGTTTGACCTGCAGACTCTAATCCATGGGCTGTCCTTAGAGTCTCCTCCTGTGAAGTCCCTTTTGTCATTTCCCCAACCCCTTCATCTGAATCCTCTCCAAAATCTTCTCCAACCCGAGGCGAGGGGAAAGTCTCATGCACACTTGCACTGATGGTCGGCTGGTAGAAGTTAAAGAGAAACGTCACAGAGAGGAGCAACAGGACCCGGCTCGGCTGTAGGCACTTCCTTCTTACACATTTCATTTTCTCCTGAAAGATGCTTGGTATCAGCTAGAAGAAAGCAAATAATAATAATATTAATAATAATAGTAAGAGCAGTTTCAACTTCATTTGGTTTCAGACAATGGAGGGAAACATACCACAACTTATATCTTATAACATCTCTTGGATGATAGTAACAATAACAATGGATTAAGTGACAATTAAGCAGCAGATGGAGCATGCAGCACTGATACATACACGCATCCAATTTTGTTTAGACAATAAAAAGTAGCCTGTTCAAGCATCTCGAATACTTGAAGTCATCTAAAACGATTACGTGCAATTATTGCAGTTCTACACTTAAACCAAACAGCACAGAAGAGGTTACAAAAATTGTTACATTGAGAGCTGGTTAATGTAAATAAAACTACAGAAGTCTGGTTGAGATTTTACCCTCAACAAGTCGAGTCTTTTCCAACCCTTACCGTAATAATCTGAGCAGCTCACAAGACAAAAACAACTTCTGTTGACACAAACCTTGGCCTCAGACAAGGGTCTTCTTTTTTTTCGCGTCGCAATTTGAATTATAGTGACTAATTGCAGGATTAATAAGACCAAGAAAAAATCCTAAATGTATATTGCGCATCAGCCTGTTGAATTTATTTTTTTCAAGTCCAATTATGTAAATAGCCACATGGGAACTATTCATTCTAAGTACATTGTTTTCAACCGGACACCATTCCCGTGGTGCACATGACAATACAAACTGTGGATGGCCAGTGAAACCCTGAAAGGCACGTATGAATGTAGTGTTTTGTGGTATTTAGCCATTTTACATCGTCAAATTAAGGACGGTCATCTTGTCACGTTTTGGGACAGTGTGTAGAACTTCTCCTGGGTTGTTATTATGACGAATCTCTACAAAATAATGGCGTTAGTTAGCCGAGCAGCTAACACGTTAGCCTCTACTCTAGCCCTCCACTGTGACGAGTTCTTCCTTTAAAGCTGTCAACATTGTAATAATAATAATAATAATAATAATAATAATATTGATTTTTTTATAACGCTTTTCTAGGAACCCAAAGACGCTTTGACAAAATGTAAAACCATAAAAAAATAAAAAATGAAAAAACGACCTTAAAAAAAATTCTTACTTTAATACTCCGATAAGAAATGGTGACGATGTTAAAATGTTACTCTTGAAAAGCAAAATTTAATAAAATATACTTAAATAAATACAAAAAATATATATGAAAAAACTGAATACTTTGTACTTACCGGTAACTTTTTATTTTTTTATAAATCATACACACATACATCCTTTTATAATTCTCCTAAATGTGCTCATAGCCATATTTCATGTTATTTTTTTTATAATCGTAATAGATGTTTTGTATCTTTGATTGTGAAATAAAGACATACTAATTCTCGATATAATAAATATTATTACCCCAAGACATGATAACGTTGCTCTGTTGTGATTACAAATATGATCTTGTTTCTTTTCATGTAGTGGGAGAGCACCGGAGGATCATTTAGGATCTACTGAATTTGTGAAACACAAAGCAGTGAGCCATGCCTACCGTGGTGTTGATGGACGTGTCTCTGTCCATGACACGGCCGGTGTCTGTGGATGGCAGCGAGGAGTTTCAGAGGAAGAACCTGGCTGTCCACGGGTTAAACATGTTGTTTGAACACATGGCGTCAAACTACCGCCTGGAGTTCACTTCACTGATGGCCTTCTCTTCTCTCTGGGAGCTCTTGGTGCCTTTCACCAGAGATTACAATGCACTACAGGTAAAGTGAGCTTCTTGACTTAATCAAACATGTTTCTGAATCGCTACTTTGAGTGTGGCCTCAGAGAAAAGTTTTCTTGTTTTAGGTGACATGGAGAAAAACGCTTTCATGCATTATTTTTTTTGTGTGTGTGTGCAGGAGGCTCTAAGCAACCTGGAAGACTATGACAAGACCTGTGTGGAATCAGCTATGCAGGGAGTTAGTAACGTGGTACAGCAGGAGTGGGGCAGTGCCTGTCCCTGTCAGGTAATTTGGTCCTTTAAACAATGTTAACCTAACTCTGAATTTATAAAACTACATGTTTGTGTAGGTCAAATCGTCCATCCAACACAAGATTCTATTTGTGTATCTCCTTCCGTCGTCCTGTAGGTGGTGCTGGTCACTGATGGCTCTCTGGGTATTGGAAAGGGTTCCCTTCGTTACTCCCTCCAAACACTGAAGCTGCGTGGAGACGACAAGAAGTTCCCACTGCCTTTCCCTTTTCCTACCAAGCTTTTCATCATGTGTGTAGCCAATGCAGAGGAGGTACCAAATCACTTCGCAGTTCATTTTACTGACAAATAATATAAATGCGACACTACAACTATTCTGACTAAATATTGTTGTGTCATCTAAAAATGTAAACTTACATTTGTAATTGCAGTTACAGATGACTGATGCCATGGACAACTTGGAGGAGCTACTTCAGCTCAGTGGAGGGGATGGACAGATCTTCACTATGGACGGACCACTTTGCATGAAGAGTGTACAGGCCATGTTTGGGTATGACCCTAACTTGGTGAATAATCTCGAGGGGGGGGGGATATACTTTTTTGTTTACTACGTTATCTTTTGATATTGTATGTCTTATTTTGTCTCCAGGAGGCTGATAGATCATGCATACTCCCCCTTCCATGCTGTCTTGCACTGTGGGAACTTATCCTCAGATGTTCAGGTTTTCCCTCGACCTGAGCCTATTGTAATGGATGAGGAGGTTGATCCCATGCCCAGAGCTGTCAATTCAGGTACGATACTGGCTTCAGTTAAATAAGTGAAAGTGATCATTTCTGCATTTTCCCTTTTTTTTTTTTTTAATCACACCTTATTCTGCTCATTTCATTTCAGATTTGGAAATTTTTGGCTTCATTGAAATTGCTGACATTTCCAGCCCCCCTGTTATATCCAGACACCTGGTGTTGCCTATTGCTGTGAACAAAGGTTAGTGTTGTAAACTTGCTGTGCAGCATGTTTAGGGCTCATAGCTTGGTGTAACAGAAAATATCCAGATTCTGTTAATGGTTGTTTTGAACTGATTTTCACATGCACTGTTTGTCCCCACTTTATATAACATTGAATGTGTTCTTCACCACTTCAAGAAGACTCTGTTCCCTGTGTTTGTCAACAGGTCAACAGAACATCTCACACTGTGCTTTCAATAGTACAAATTATAGTGAACAGAAAAACATGAACGTTTTAAAGGCATGATATTATTAATATGCTTGTTTTTTTAACTTAGCTTCAGAGGTGGATGATGTTGGTACCGGAGCCACAGATGAGCTTGAGGAGGAACCCTCTGCCAGTCAGATGGCAGGCAAAAGTCCAAACTTTTGTGTTCTGTTACATGGCAGTCTTAAAGTTGAGGGCATGGTGGCGCTGGTCCAGCTGGGGTGAGATACATCAGCGTTAATTTAATTTAATACCTTTTGATTTCATGATAACTGATTTCTGTTTTATTACATTTAAATATTCAGCCACATGCAGGGTGAAATATTGAATACATTGTATGATATTTTGGGCTTTGACCTAAATCCTGTTCACTTTTTCACAGGCCAGAGTGGTATGGCATGCTGTACTCCCAAGCAGACAGCAAGAAGAAGTCCAATCTGATGATGTCCCTATTCGAGCCCGGTCCAGATCCTCTGCCTTGGCTGGCAAGATCTCACATTTAGGACCAATATCAGGTAACCCCTCTCCCCTTTCACGACATGTGTTCTGTCTGAAAAACAAAACAGCATGTTTTCTCAATAACACAACTTATATGTCAAGTCTACAGGCTGTGTTAAGCATAATGTGAATTATATATTTGCTATTTCCTTACTCTTGAAGACATAATCTTATTACAGTATAAACTATTTGTGATTTTGAAATACCTTGCATTTAGTGTAACTTATGACAAACTAATCAATGAGTAGGTAAATGAGCATTTATTACTGAAGAGCTAAGGCCTCTCTGAATGTGTATATAGTACAGCAGTTAATTATCATGTAAGAATGCTTCATAATGCTGTTGACTTCACTCTGATGTCTTATATTTCAGAGGCTGCTGAAAACCCCTACGGTGAGGATGATAGTAAGAGTCCTTTCCCCGTGCAGCCCTCGGCCAAACGAAGCTATGCACAGAATGTCACTGTGTGGATTAAAGCCAGCGGACTGCAGGTACTCTAGAGCTCCCAGCATTGAAGCTCAGTTGTTTGTTTAGGACTTTTAAGAAACTGTACTTGGTGGGGTCATTTTTGTAGAATGTGTCTTCAGACTTTGCATCCCAGAAGTGCATGTGCCATGTTGTTTCAGACAGATTAGAGGTAATGTCCCATAATGGAGTGCAGCAAAGACCCTTTAACTATTTGTACCCAGTTGTACGAGTGTGACAATATGAAGTGTGATTAATAGTCTTCATTGACTCTAGACTGATGTGCAGAAGATCCTGAGGAATGCAAGGAAATTGCCGGACAAAACTCAAACCTTCTATAAAGTAAGTTGACCTGAATTTGCTCCGAACTTTGAGGTTATTCAATGCTTACTTCAAAGTCCTATTCTGGGGATCATGGAGGGTAAATAATGCTGATATTTCCCAACGTAAGATATAACTTGAGACCCTTTAATAACCGTGAGAATTTAACCTCTCCATGACTAATCCTCGCCCCTGGGTCTCCATAGATGTGCATGTCATTATGTGTTTGCATAAAAAAAGGAAGTCATTAAGTTTCCTCTGTGAGTCACATTTTTCGGTTGTTATTTTCTTTTTCTTTTCATCAGGAGCTGAACCGTCTACGGAAAGCTGCCCTGGCTTTCGGTTTCTGGGAGCTCCTTAAGGGAGTTGCTGAACTGCTGGAGAGAGAGTGCACCCTGCTGCCGGACTCTGCCCATCCCGACGCCGCTTTTCAGCTCTCGCACGCAGCACAGCAGCTCAAACTGGCCAGCACTGGTGACTCCCAGTATGCCGCGTTTGACCACAACATTGTTGCCATGCACACTGACTTTTCAACCTGAGCGACGTTGGAACTGGTGAAAATATGGCAGCCTCAGCCTGTGTGGACCAATGTGGAAATTTCACAAGCGTGTATTGCATTTAGTTCATAGAAGTCGTTATTTGGCGGCTTTGAGGACCTGTTCGTGGAATCTTGAATGAGTCATACATTCATAACAGCTCAAAAATGACAAGTAACACATCATGTGTTTGTAAATGTTCAGGTGTACAGATTTTATACATGTTTCTTTGTAAGTTCTTTTCACAAATAACCACATTAAAAATACTTCAGTGTCACATATCTGCCGGGAAAGACAGTAAATGCTGGCATTTAAAAGGTAGGTAACAAATATCAAAATTACAAAAAAGAAAGGAATACAAGCAAAACATTTTACAGGTTTTTTTTAAGCATGTGTTACATATAATGCTCTGTTAGTTAGCATTCACCTGGATCATTTCCCCTGAGGTTTGTGGAACATCTAGAAATCTGGGATGTAACAAATACAGTAGGTGTTCAAACTGTTGTTGCGTTCTTATTTTATACGGAGTACTGGCTTTTAAATGACAACTGCAGTTTGCATGTTTCAATCCATACAGCAGAGAATACTAACTCCACAAAAGGGAAGAAGTGTCAAATAGGATGTGGAGTTTTATGGCTTTCTACAGAACCTTAAGAAACAGAGAAAGAGATCTCAATCACCAGTCTATCAATGACATGTAATATTGCATCGTACATGGGGTTTTCATCCATAAACTTCATTATTATAGTGGAAACAAACATGCGGCTGTAAATGATTTAACTGGAACACGACGTATGAGAATCGTTTCAAAGACTTCTCCAGGCAGCAAAGGTGTCAGAAGTGTCATCAGAGATGGACCTCAATTTGACTTCCTCTTCATACGGAAACGCTTCTTCCTTTGCTTGTAAAGATGACGGAAGTTGATAACAAGCCCTGAAGGCAGATAGGGAGGAGGGTGGTTATTAGTAAAGGCTGATATCAGACCAAATGTGTCAACACTTAAAAAAGAACTTTCTATCTCGGGACTTACCCAGAAACATGAGAACAAGATAAATATGCAGGAAGTACGAGAAGCTCACAGAGGTACCGAAAGCTTTTGGCAGAGGAATGCTGAAGAGTTTGGTCTCATCAAACAAAGAGATGGATTGTATCACAGCAACCGCTACATGGGATGGAGAGATTTGATCAATTTAAGCACATGTTAAGAGAAGAAGAATAATTAAGTTGATAAGTGAACCGCTTTACCTTCAGCTAAAACACCTAATGGGTACAGTGGAATCCAGACTGTGTATCGCAGCCATGTCAGAGTTTTCCACTCAGTATTGAAACAGCCCAGCATGTAAAACGGATACCTGAAATTGTAGGATAATGTATAGAGTAGAAAACAAAGGAAAGTTCCAACTAATCAGTTAAAACAAGGCAGGATGAACAAGAGTCCATCTTCATAACCATGTAGCATAAACAACAAACGCTATACTGATTCTAGTAACATCGAGTGCAGCACCAGCTGCCTGGAAAACGCTCACCTGTGACTTGTGTCAGGTTGAGTTAGTCACTACTAGAAGTGACTGAAAGTGATGCTGACAGACTGAGCTCATTCAAACAATGCTCTTCACTGACAGTGTGCTTTTTCATGCAAACAATTAATGCAGCAGATGCCATGCAGCAAACACCCTTTTGTAGATTGTTAATGTGCTAATGTTTTGTTGGCCTGATCTATACAATATAAATAAATGTTATTTGGCGATCACTGCGTACTAAATGGATCAAATGTTTAGTTTGATCAAATAAACAAAACTAGGTTAACTCTACTGACGAACCAAAAAAAGGAAAAAAATTCTCACATTTGGGAACTTCGGTTCTAAACTTCTTATAACTTTGACAGATAAACGTATGACAGTTTCAGATTGTATGCCTTTAGTTTGATATACTGACTTGTTTTTTAAAAGTTGTTGCTTCACTTTTTGAATTCAATTAATTGGTTGATGCAAAAAGGTCAACAAATATGTTAAAAATATTTTAATTTGTAAACCTTGGACAATAAAATTGTCCATTTGTATAACTTTTGATGTGATTTTTAGAATATTGGCTCTATTCATAGGATTAAGAGCCCGACAGATTAATCGTCCAGCCGATAATATGGGCAGATAGCTGAAACCTATCGATCGACTGTAGGTATCAGCTCCTTTTAAAGCAGATGTATGCTGATTTTACTAGATTTATTCACCAGTCAAACCGCATTTAATTTTGAGTATCGTTGTATTAAACTAGCAGCTCTCTTTCTAGCTCTCACCAGAAGAGGGTACTATATGTATTACCAAAAGCATAATCTCTCTCCAGAGTTTCAAGGGGTGATGCACATACACGCATGGTTCCTTCCCAGTTGAGTGACCATCTTGTCTTCATTATAATTTTTCCACCAGTGTTTAATAACTGTATTTGGGGGATCAACACAAAAAATGGTATATCTATCTTTACAGATCGAAGATAGATCTAAGGAAGATATCTGCCGATATCGCTCATGTTTTTCTCTTCCTCATCAATATCGGTATCGGCCCCAAAAATCGCATATTGATCAGGCCCCAACAGGATTATGCTGACAATTTGAATGGATAATCAATCTTTGTAGAGTTCATTTACATAGCTGTTCACCATGAGCACTGACAAGGCACACCAAACTTACCTAAAAATCTCTATAGCGCTCCACAGATAGAAAACAAAGAACACCACGGGCTTGTTATGCATTTCCTCCAAACTACCAAAAATGATGAACAGGATAAAGTTTCTGCCAACCACCTTGTAGAGAAACAAAACACACAAAAGCACTCAATAATACATTAGTTACAGCACTTCTATTATATTTCATTACATCGGTTACATGCATATTTTAAATTGTGCTGCTGTGCAGGTGTCGGTAAAAAACTAAACCCTGGCAAATACCTGTATGAGAGTTGGAAAGACAGCAGTCCGCACCACACCAAAAGCAGCATTTAAGACTTCTACTGCTGCCAGGATCTGGCAGAAGAACATTACATCCGATATGGTGTGAAATGTGTCGTAGAGAGAATCTGAAATGAAAGTAGAGTTTCAAAGGAAAGGATTTTTGAAGAAACGGATCAATGAAGAGAAAACTTAAGCCACAGCAGTGTCCTTACCTGCGCCGAAGATAAAGAGCCGAACAGTCATGTTGAAAAAGATCCATGAAAAACCAAGGAACTGGACCAGGTTGTACATGAACAAAAATCCAGTTGTTAGGCTGACAAACCCTGAAACATTTCAGAAGAAAAATAAAGATTGAGGCAATGACAAAAAGTAGCCTCCAAACAATGTCTTTCAATAAAAAATAAAACAGTTTGACTTTGAAAGAGCATGCTTGCTTCTTGGTGGATTTGTACTCACCCTCTTCTTTATGCCTTGATGCCTTCAGCCTGTTCCTTTTCTCCTCCTTTTCAAAGGAAAGTAAAACATTTATTCATTTTGTGCTCAGTTTTTGTCTTTAATATAAAGTGTAAAACTTGACTTCTGGCACATTCAACAGTATTGACATTATTTAGTATTCAACAACTTTTGAATGCACAGGTTTGAACATCACACCTTTTCCCTGATCTCCATCTCAGCGTCTGATTCGTCCAACCAGCGATCAAAGTCAGGTGACAGGAAGACTGGTTTGCGCTCCTGTGCGGTCAGTCTTTCCCACCAGCCCCGCTGCTCTTTACGCACAGTAATATTCACCTGCCGCTGAGTGGACTTATAGCTCACCTGAATACAGGTTCAATAAGTGAACGCAGTCAGAAAGATGAAATGGCATAAGTAAGAAACAAGCATCATATATAATCATTAAAGAGTAAAAAAACAGACATACCTCTGGCTTTACTGGTGAATGAAACTCCAAGCTGAATTCATATTCATTTTGTCCTTTTGCACCGTGACCCTGAGCTACACAAGAAATATCACAATGTCACAAATCATCAACTTTAAATAATAATAATATTCATGGTCAAATTGAAGCCTTTAGATGTCTTATACCACAGTGCTCTTCGCTTTCTCACAGGCGACAGATTTCAAACTCATCATTGTGACCTTTATCGTTCTGTAGGCTGGTCCTCGTTGGGTCGACGAAGAAAGCAGCACAGTATTTTGTTTATTTACAAGGCACTCATAGGTAAACTCCCTTCTTACCATCTTACTACTCTCCTGTCCATAAACATATCGAGCCATTCGACAAGGTCTCAAAACTGGATAACTTTGAAAACACCGAGGTTTAGAACTGAATGGGGAAAGACTGCCTTTAGTGTTGCTGCACCCAGTATGTGGAATGACCTTCAGAGGACAGCTAAGTTGCCCTCTCTTGTTTCACACAGTGTTTTCAAAAGACCTCGTGTCCAAAACTACCTCAGGAAGGAAATTGCAACCGTTTCACAATGTGAATTCATTTTAAACGGACATGGTTTACAAATGTGAATATGTGTTTCAGTGTCCAGATGCTATTATTGTTAACTGTTAATATGTTTATATTTGTGCTGCTTCTGTTTTTGTATTGCTGCAGGGCAAACCCCCTGGAAAAGAGACCCTAGGCCTCAGTGGGTCCTCCCTGCTAAAATAAAGGATAAATAAAAAAAATGATCAGAAAATGTTCCTCACCTGTAAAGTGAAGCACTTTTTCATTTACATGCACGTCAATATTCTGCAAAAAAAAGACAGGAAAAGATAGATGATGAGCTTACTTCCTTCCTCTTTAGGGTGAGAAATTAATACTCACTGCAAAACTGCAAACAAGACACTATTTAAAAAAAAACAAAAAAAACAAAAACAACATCTTCAGTAGTGAATTAACAGCTAGAGTCCTATCTGTATTGGAATAAACTGGAGGAAGTGTTTCACAATCTCTCAGATCACCTCGTGTTCAAGGTACAGCTCACTGTCTTATCAACAGAATGAACACTAGTCTGATATAAAGCACAAACTATGTGGCTGTAATGCTGTTTAAAAGTGTGCTGCAAAGAAGGGCCCGTTTTGTGACTTTAACTTTTGGGGGAAAAAGTGACGTTATTGGTTATGGAAACACCTTTCCTGCACCTGCCTGTATTCTAACAGGGGTAATAATGATGACGAGTCCACTTCGTCGTCAAACCTGCACCACGAAGATCTCTGTTAATCATTCAGTATGCAAAGTGCTACCAGCGTTATTTGCATTATTTGATACAAATAAAAAGGCACACGGCTTGCTCAGCACTTCTCAACAGGTGGTGTTTGCCCAGTAATACTTGTGTTAGCTCACCTGAGCGTCTGTCAGCTCCACTCGCAGGTAAACGTCTTCATGGCGTTGAGCCCAGTAAACCAGCGGTGTTAGCGGCATTTTACAGTTTGTTTGTTTTTTCAGACCTTTGTTTGTTTTTAAAAAAGCACCACGCTGAGGAGACAATGAATGAAGCCGCTTTGCTTCATGCTAGCAGCCCCTTTTCAGGCTTCAGCATTAACCCAGAATATTCTGTCAGCGTGAGCGACGTGCTCACGCAAGAGCCGTCTCAATCGTGCTCTCCTCTGATTGGCTGGCTGATTACTGTGTACGGAAGTGATTGTACACTTGGGTTTAAGCCGTTTATTACAGCAGCGCGACACGACTGCTCCTCGATCCTGTAGCGGTGATGTGTCAATATGCAGACAGAGGATCATGTCTTTTCTAAAAACTGATTTGTCGAAGTCCGCCGGGACATTTTGTGTACTTGTGGGCGTGACGGGAAGCGTTGCAGCTTTGAAACTGCCTCTATTGGTTTCCCAACTCCTCCAACTTCCTGGGGTGAGCTCCGTCAAGTTGTTGTTGTTGTTGTTGTTGCATACATTGTCTATGGCAGGGGTGGACGGCCCCCATCCACCCTCAACGTGGCCCTCAGGTCAATTTTTACACATCAATTAATTGGAAACATGAAGAAAAACATGACACAATCTGCCATGAAATCATGAAAACCAGAAATATGTCCATGATAATATTTGATCACTGGTATATGTTGAGTTAAATTTGAGACATAATTGACTGTAATCGTTAATTTGGCCCCCTGGCAGTGAGATTTAAATGAATGTGGCCCCCTGCTGTGAAAGAAGTTGCCCATCCCTGGTCTGTGGGAAGCAGCACGTTGTGCCTCTGGCTTGAAAAGTGTTTCTTCTGGAGTGTACTGCTACAAGAGAAGTTAAAGGAAGTTATGAAATGATTATTTAAGTGACTTTATTCTGTTGAAAGTGATTGGTATAGGAGCTTTTGTTCTGTTACAATGACAAACATTTGCAAAGGGGCTTATGATTACATAACAGAGCTACTGACACCATATGAGCCGTCCTCAGGTGGGGGGGTCTCCAGATTCCCTCAATTCTTTTAAATCCCTTCTTTAAACATACTTTTACAGACTTGCTTTTATGTGATGTCGTCTTCTTAATGTCTTTTCTTACTGGTTTTACTTTCTTTTACTTCTTACTGTCCTTTTATTTATGCTCTTATCTTAACTCCTCTTATGTTTTAACTTTGTTGTTTCTTATCTTACTTACTTTGTCTATTTATGTTTCATATTTATATTTACTTTTTTTTTTATCAATATTGTAGGTTTTTTTTTATCCTTTAACCGCTTGTTTCTATTTATTTTACTGCTCTAACCTTCTTAGAGGTTATTATCTTTTTATTTGCTTTTAGCTCTTTTAGTTTCTTACATCTTTTCAAATCGTTGTTCCTCTTGGTCTCAGCTTGTGTTGTTGGGTTCTTGTTTTTCCTGGGTTCTTATAATGTTCTTGTGATGGTCGGGTTATATACAGTTGCAGGAAAAAGTATGTGAACCCTTTGGAATTTCCTAGTTTTCTGATTAAATTGGTCATAAAATGTGTTCTGATCTTCATCTAAGTCTCAACAATAGACAAACACAGTCTTCTTAAACTAATACCACACAGACAATGATATGTTTTCATGTTTTTATTGAACACAACATGTAAACATTCACAGTGCAGGGTGGAAAAAGTATGTGAACCCCTAGGCTAATGACTTCTCACAGAGCTAATTGGAGTCAGGAGTCAGCCAACCTGGTGTCCAATCAATGAGACGAGATTGGAGGTGTTGGTTAAAGCTGCCCTGCCCTATGAAAAACACACTCCAGTTTTGAGTTTGCTATTCTCAAGAAGCATTGCCTGATGTGAACATGCCTCGCACAAAAGCGCTGTCAGAAGACCTACGATTAAGAATTGTTGACTTGCATAAAGCTGGAAAGGGTTACAAAAGAATCTCTAAAAGCCTTGATGTTCATCAGTCCACGGTAAGACAAATTGTCTATAAATGGAGAAAGTTCAGCACTGCTGCTACTCTCCCTAGAAGTGGCCGTCCTGTAAAGATGACTGCAAGAGCACAGCGCAGAATGCTGAATGAGGTGATGAAGAATCCAAGAGTGTCAGCTAAAGACTTACAAATCTCTGGCACAAGCTAACATCTCTGTTGACAAATCTACGATACATAAAAACATTAAACAAGAATGGAGTTCATGGTGAGGACACCACAGAGAAAGCCGCTGCTGTCTAAAAAAACACATTGCTGCACGCTTGATGCTTGCAGAAACACATTGCTGCACGCTTGATGTTTGCAGAAGAGCACCTGGATGTTCCACAGCACTACTGGCAAAACATCCTGTGGACAGATGAAACCAAAGGTGAGTTCTTGGGAAGGAACACACAACACTATGTGTGGAGAAAGAAAGGCACAGCACACCAACATCAAAACCTCATCCCAACTGTGAAGTATGGTGGAGGGGGCATCATGATTTGGGGCTGCTTTGCTGCATCGGGGCCTGGACAGATTGCTATCATCGGCGGAAAAATGAATTCCCAAGTTTATCAAGACATTTTGCAGGAAAACTTAAGGCCATCTGTCCACCAATTGAAGCTCGACAGAAGATGGGTGATGCAACAGGACAACGACCCAAAGCACAGAAGTAAATCAACAACAGAAGAAAATACGCCTTCTGGAGTGGCCCAGTCAGAGTCTTGACCTCAACCCAATAGAGATGCTGTGGCATAACCTCAAGAGAGCGATTCACACCAGACAGCCCAAGAATATTGCTGAACTGAAAAAGTTTTGTAAAGAGGAACGGTCCAAAGTTCCTCCTGACCGTTGTGCAGGTCTGATCTGCAACTACAGGAAACGTTTGGTTGAGGTTATTGCTGCCAAAGGAGGGTCAACCAGTTAACCAAGGGTTCACATACTTTTTCCACCCTGCACTGTGAATGTTTACATCTTGTGTTCAGTGAAAACATATAATTGTTTGTGTGGTATTAGTTTAAGCAGACTGTGTTTGTCTATTGTTGTGACTTAGATGAAGATCGGAACACATTTTATGGCCAATTTATAATAATAATGACTTTATTTATATAGCACCTTTTAAAAAAAAAAAAGTGCTTTGACAAACGGCAAGAACAAAGCAAACTAAACCAAACACAGAAGAACACAAACAACAGCAAGAACAAACAAATGCAAAATAATTAAATACAATTCAACAGAAAAGAACCCATATTGCACAATACCCAACAGACATATAAATAAAACCCGACCATTATAAGAAAACTAGGAAATTCCAAAGGGTTCACATACTTTTTCTTGCAACTGTATGTGTGTTGGGTATCGTGCACTATGGGTTCCATTTATGTTCTGCTGTGTTTGGCTAAGCTTGCTTTGTTCTTGTTTTTGCTGTTTGTCAAAGCACTTTGTAAACCTGTAAAAAGGTGCTATATAAATAAAGTTATTATGATTGTGATTATACAGTGAAGTGGCCTTGTTTCAAATGTGACTCTTTGTTAAAGGTCATATGGTCCTGATGAAGTCAATACTCCATGCCCAGTGATATGCAATTGTGAGCTCCCCTTTCTGTGAATTTTGGACAAATAAGTTGTTTAATAAAAAAAAACTAAGATCAGTTGCTTACCCTTTGAGGCATTATCATCTTCTTTCTTAACCTTTTCAATACTGCAGCATATCTATAACAATGTTAGTTTGACTGTTTTGTTTTATGGTTTAGGTGGATGTGAAAGTGGTTACCACAGAGCATGCCCAACACTTCTACAATTCTGAAGAGGTTTCAGTTAAAACCTACCGTGACAAGGACGAGTGGGAGGTAATGGAACAAATGAATCAAATATACTATTACAGCCATTATTTGCGGTCACACATTATTGGGTGGTAAAATAATCCTAACACTGATGTGTGAATTAATTATATTTTCTTTTTTATATATAAAAGAACAATACATTTGCAGTGTTTTCCATTGTATGCTGTGTTTCTGCCACTCCTTTTGTGCCTTAGAAATAAAACAAATAAAGACTGCTGTAATCAAAATACACTGAATGAAAAATGTGTGGCAGTAGTTATCAAGTAATCAAAAGTTCCAGTTGCTGAGGTCACACGTATTTTGAAACATTAAAACATGTTCAAGTGCCAGAAAAGATTGAGAAACTCTGGTCTGAAGTGTCTGCATTCCAGAAAGGAAGTGAGCAATCTTTGGATGTATGCTTCATTGCATTTCTTTGTTCTAGCTGTGGACTCAGAGATCTGACCCTGTGCTGCACATTGAGCTACGGCGCTGGGCAGATCTATTCCTCATCGCCCCTCTTGATGCAAACACTCTTGGAAAGATTTCTAATGGCATATGTGACAATCTACTGGTGAGGATTTTAAATTGGTAATCAATTACCTGGAAATTGTTGTGGATTATTATCTAAAATCATTTCCTTGTTGATTAATCTTTTCATTGGCAGACATGTGTGGTCAGAGCATGGGATACCAGTCGCCCTCTTATCTTCTGCCCTGCCATGAACACGGCCATGTGGCAGCATCCTGTTACTGCCCAGCAGGTATCCAGGCTGACAGAGTTTGGATATGTGGAAATCCCCTGCATTTCCAAGAAGCTAGTGTGTGGAGATGAAGGTGTGTTTCAATACCAGTTAAAAAAAAAACAGCAACAAAAAAAACAAACAAGAAAAGATAAGCATCTACCAGTATTTACATGACCCTGTCAGTTTGACAAACACAATAACAATAAAAGGAAACATTAAATGTGACAATACAGGAGCAGTTAAAGAACTGTCTTTCTGTAGATTCTTGTTGCATAATAGTATTTAAATCCATATTTATGCCAAATCTAAAATGTTATTCAGTTGCTAGATGTTGGAACCATGCAAAGGACAAACCTAGTAAACCTGTATACGTAGAAGATACCTGAAAAATATTCAACTCTGTTTGCTTTAGACAGGTTTTTTTTTTTCTGCAATTTTGCCTGCTTAAAGCTTTGCCCCCCCCATTATCATAACACACTGTAACATGATGATAAAATGAAACATCTTTTGACAGCATGTCTCTATAAAGTACAGTAAATACTGAATATTCCCAGGGGTTTACAATCCCTATGAATGATCTTCAACCGTTATCCTGAAGAGTCAGCAAGTACTGTTATTTTTCAATCTGTTGAAAAAAATAATATCGAGTTCAGCCAGGGTTCATTGAAAAAAAGTTTTGTCCTAACAACACTTCCCTTCACATGATTGTTTCATTCATGGACTCAGAGTATTTTTAGGTTTTCAAAATGATGTGAGGTTTATGCAAAAGCTAAATTGCTGTCCTGAATAATGCCCAGGGGAGAATACACTTCTGTACACGTGGTTCTCCACACTTCATGCAAGGTTGCACACTTTCTGTTTACTTCATTGACCTTGTGAACGTCTGTCACAATTCTTGGGACTTTAATTGAAGTTTCTAATTCCGGTTAGAGTATTTGCTCCACTGTAAGACCATTATTAATACCGTAATAATTTCACAAGTCAACTGATTGTATTTTTTAAGATCTTGGTATGCCACTCTAGACTTTTTGTACCTGCACAAACTAATGTCAAACTTTAGAGTACATTATTTTTTCAAGAACATCGTTCATAGATTCAAGCACAAATTTTTTTTTTATTTTTTTATCTATTTTTGATCCACCAACAAAAGTAGTAAAACTTTATAAATGAAAGTTCTTTTTTGGGGGTTAAACAAACCATGGATCAGCTACCTAAGACTAGAAATATTGAGTCTTTAGCAGTGACTTCCAGTCAGGGCTAATAGATGTATTCTTGAAATGTTTTACTTGGAATCAATGGCGGCTTGAGGTGCTGACTTTGCCGTGACAGCATAATAGGATAAGTACAAGCCAGTTAGCTGAACAACCGATTAAAGGTTTGGGCGCAGATTTAGATATGCATACCCCGTGAGTGAACAAAAGACCATGTTCATCAAGCTGTTAGTAAGAACTGTAAAAATATTTTTTATATGAATGTTTCCAATTGATTGAATTAGATAGATTATGCCATACATAAGGTGTTTTTGTAACTGTATGTCTGTGCTTTGCTGCAGGTAAAGGGGCTATGGCAGAGGTGTCAACTATTGTAAGTGTTGTCAAACAGCATCTTCCGAAACCAGATGAGTCACCTGAGGACATTTCACATCCTATTGTAGAGTCACCTGGCACCAAAGACAAATAGACTGTGTTGAAACGTTCAAAGCCCTACACACCTATTTGTCACCTATATGTAACTGCTATAATGATAAACTGTTAATGAAACAGTGTCTCTGTGGGTTTTCATTCTTGACTCTGCAGACATACGTCTTATACCCAGTCTCAGAGGATTGTCTCAGGCAAAGACTGCTCATCATGTGTTATCATTCATACAAGATATGGGTTATTACAATAGACTGTAGAAAAGATGAAGTCTCACCTCACCCATTGCTTTCTGTAGAGCTGTTATGAATCCCAACAATCGATCAATCTTACTAGAAATGCTTTCTCCATCTAACTCTACATCAGTCTTGGCAACAGGCAAATAAGAGTCAAGGCTCACCTTAATCCTCACAGGAAGCAGCTACAATGCCCTCACCACTCACTCAACTTAGTCCCAGCCATAATCTTGCAAATGTATGGATAATTCTATAACCTAAATGGATGGGCTATAACCCCTCTTCCCCCATGCTAATTTTAATGTGTGAACCAGGCTGTAAACATGTTTATTTCTGTGGGAAAATGAATAATTAGAGACCCAATGGGCATTCTTTTGCAGCCGAATTCAGGTGGACACTCAAGGCATGGTAGTTTTTATGCACTTCCTCATTGGCTTCATTTTTTTTTTTTTTACACCAGAGGTTGTGGCTTGGTTATTACTCATTATTGTTTATCAAAAAGTAACAGTTAACAGATTTTTCTTTGACAATTTGTTCTTTATGATTTGTTTGCATGCTCCTGCAACTTGATTTACAGATGACACCCTTTTTTTGTGTCACGCTTCATGGGAGACTCCCTTAATAAGTGTGGGTGCAGGCAGCTCATTGGGTCATAAAGCATGTATGGCTGTAAATCAAAAGGTCATTCTAAGGTGACTCTGCCTTGTTTCTTCATACATTTGTGGCACTATGTTTGCCACTATGTTTGCCACTTCACACCCCCGATAAACTCACACAGTTGTTTTCAGCCATGTTGTAAACAATCTTGACTTGGATTGCATGAGTGTTTACAATCATTTATTTGCAGTCTTCTGTAAATTGTACCTACGGCCTCATCTAATTCTAAGCATTGCTTGACCCGCGTGAAAGTCTTGTAGGCTAAAACCAAAAAAAAACATCAGTGGACGTTGTTAATAAAGTCCGCCTGTTTGCAGAGATATTTAACCCCCTAAAATTAAGAGTATAAAGCACACCCTTGTCCTTGTTCTCAAAAGGAAATTGGCAAGGAAGTAGTGTGTTATTGCAAGTATTGTGATAAGACTGAGATTTTATGGACAGTTTAACAAACCTGTTCATGCTACTGCTCCACTTGGCTCTTCAAATTTAAAGATTGGTACCTCTGAATTTCTCACTGTTTTTTTTTATACAGCTAAACAAACCATGTGTTTTTGTACTCATCAACAACAATATGTCATGTATGGTAATCACTTAATTGTGCATGTAAAAGTCATTACACACAAGTTTGATAATGTCAACCTTCATTATGCGAACAATATTCTTCTTATTTGAGTCTGCGTGAAGCTGTCATGGGTCCTCGGGGGTTAATTATAAGATACAAAGCAGCGGAAATTCTTTCCCGCAAGGCATGATAACAGACTGGCTTTACTGCAGGACACGTTACATGAAAATGTCAGCTGATGAATTAATGCCCTAAACTCAATGGCTCTAACTTATTATTAGGGTCCTATTTTAAGACATACATTATTATTTCATTTGTACAGACACTATTTATTCATTTTTTTAAACGTCTTCATATTTGTTGCTTAAATGTTTTCAAATGTATGCTGAGGAGACGTAGATGTATTTTACGACATGCTCTAAAATGTGGCTCTGAAAGCCAACGGTCAAAGGTTATGACACCCAAGGTTCCCATCCTATCAGATGTGTTTATCTTTGAGAAAATCTTCTCGCAGGGTGAAAGGTACTCGTCTGGATTGCGTCAAGAGAAGACAGACAAGAGAATGTCAAACTGAGCCAGTAAATGCTTTGTTTATTCTAGTGAGTGGAAACACACGCGACTTTAAAGTTGTGATAAATGGAGAGGAAGAGAGCTTTGTAGGTGAGAATCTTGGAGGTTTCTCTTCTCTGCAGTGTTACCATGTTGAACAATGAGTACTAGACATGACGATGGTCTTAACAAAAGGTACAAATAAATACCTAATCCTTATCTATAGACAGAAATAATTAAGTTGTAAAACAGGCTTAAAATGACAAAAATGATGTCAGTGCAGGTGTAATAAAGCTGCTAGTTAAATGTTTCTTGGCAGTGACACGCCTTTAATTCTTTTACAGAACTCTGGAAAAAAAACATTATAACTTCCTGATCCCATGAATTGTTGGTGACTCAGACTTTGTTGTTTTTTGTGTAAATTTATACTTCAGCTCACAGAACTTCAAACATTAAAATAAATTTCCCTAGGGAGGGAAATCATTTATTTATCACCAAGGTGAAGACAAACATGCCCTTTGTTATGCTCTCTAGATAGTTCTGTTTTATCTTGGTTCGTTTCTTTTCTCACTTTATCCAAGGTAGGCAGATGGAAATTTGGTTTGCAAATAAGCGTGGGCATTGATACTGTTTAGCTGTTGAAGTTGCAGCACATGGAGTCATGTGAATGGCTGTCTAAAAAAAAAAAGCAAAAAAACATCCTTCCCTCAGCCACAACTTGTCTTGCTGCCATTGGCTAATGTGTGATTTGTTAATGATGCCACAGCAACATTACATCACCCACACTAGAGAGGGGAGTGTCAGCGAGGCCTTGACAGCTCTACGGTCTGCAGTCTGTAGGCTCGCTCACTGGGAATAAACCAACATGTTCTTACAACAACTATGGACCAACCATCTAAAACCTGAGATGCCAGACTGCAAACTGAAGTAGACAAACGTAGACTGTAAAGACGAAACATAAGACTATTTAATACCTGTTCATCAAAACATGTTTACTTTTAAGATCTTTCTGTACAGTTTCTAAAAGGATATGATATCACTCTCTCAGCTCTAGCAAACCACTTTTTTTGTGATCTGCAAAATATGCAGGACATCCTGTAAATCCTAATCATTATTATAATACTAATAGTATTATATTAGTGTTTTTGTACAGTGAACTGAATGCACAGCGGCTGAAGATATTTTTGAAAACAAAGCGTGTATATTTTTTGTAGAAGTTTTGTAGAATAAATAAATAAAAATCTACAAGAGACTCCTCCAGCTGCAAAACAACTCAATCACCATCCCTGCCGTTACACTGTACTTCACTCTCACTCGTGATGAACCACTAATCGTTAGTATGACCTTCTAGAAAGCTAAATAATAAACGGATGCAACACAAACTATTATAACTGGTCTACATCTCAACTTTAGACTGACATCTTTCAGATATCACAGACTCTATTTAATGAAGTAATTGAAATGAAGAGACCTGAGAACTAGGGGCGCTGGTTTTACTCAGTTGTTTAAAGCAGGGACCCCATGAGGCTACAGTCCACGTCCATACTGTAGGTTTTTAATGAGTGTCTGTCTGACACAGATTTCTGCTGGCAGTTCATGTTTTCACATGGATTTATGGTGTTTAATAAGTGTTTGGCTCAGACTTCTAGGACTCTTATCAGACGGTATGATAAGTGTCTTGCACAGGACTCTTGTCGCTTGCCGGCTGCAGGTGTTGTCCCTTTTCAACTTCTGGCCTTCTGTTGATGTTACTTTGCTTTAGAACTCAGTTGATTACACCATGTAGTATAATATTCAACACACACTGTCTCTACTAATTAACCTATGGTGAATCTATAAAGCGCAGGGTCTTCTACTCAGTAACATAATAGTTTTCACAACACATGACACAAACATTACATATTAAGATATATATTTTACTACAGAGGTTTGTGTTGAAACGTTTACATCTAAGTGAAGAAGTTACTTGAAGTGTTATAGGTTCAAATTTAGAAGGTTTAAATAAGAGAAGGTGTGAGGTACTTTGGAAGCTTTGATATTTAGCTTTTTAATGTTGTGCACCTAGCTTCTGCTTTTTATGAAGTATTCTGCAAATGAAACAATTCAGTCCACAACATTTAAAACAATAATAAGCTAGATAATGCACAAACGACATAAAATAGGAGGTAAAATATGGCTGTTGTAAGCAAGCTTTATGCAGATGAAGTTGATTACAAGCTTAGAATTTCATATTACCATCAAGTGGTATAGCAGGTTTGTTAATTGCGTAGCACTTCAGTAAACATGAAATTTGCACAGACATACCATACATATAGTCAGACGCCCACATTGCACAAGGACTTCTTTCCAGTGTATTGTCCAAAGAAATGAAATGACATTTACACATCACATCTGTATAACAGTATGTTGTTCCTTCTGTCAACCCGCGTGTACATTCAGGTGCACATATGAGTCTCTTGTGTATTGCAGCTCTGGCGTCAGTCTCCAGGCTCCTCATGTTGTTTTCGGCCTCTGGGAATGTTTAGCAGTGTTTCATCAGAAACTAAAAACCGGCTCTGCTCCCTGCATGTGTCACCATACCTCATCCTATACTTCGTATTTGTTATGTGTACTTAAGGTTATTTATGTTATGTATTTTAATTTATTATTTTTACTTAATATCATGTTTCTGTATTTTTTGTTAAATCTTATTCTTTAACATATTGAATCTTCTCTGTGATTGTTTATGGTTTGTTTTAGTGGTTTTTTTTAAATGTCTTCTTTTAATGCCTTGTTTTTGCCTTTGTCATGATGCTTTTGATGTCTCGTGTTTGCACTTTGCAGTAATTGCAGTGGATAACCTTGTTAAAGGACAAACGAACAGTTCACAGTGAAATGATTTTAATTTGTGCTGCTGGTCTATGTTAAGTATGTGTTACAATCAGCCTGCATTATTTGCTTTATATCCAGCACACAGAATACAATGTTAATATCCCAAGAGTACGACAGCTTCTTATTTGAGATCATTCGTTTAAGGTAATAATAGGTTCAACTACCTTCTTTATGTTTGTTATGGAAACGTACATATTTGAATAGATGAGTCCAATATTTATTATGCAAAATGATGCCGCCAGTCACTATTTGCCAAAGTATTCGAAGATACAAGGCAACAAATCCATTTAATGAAAAATCTGAATGTGTTTTTAAACTGTGTAATCATTCACTAACTTGGTGAGCTGCAACAGGGGGGATGTTTAAGAATGTCTGAGAACCATTTCCTCTTTCCAAAAGCGTTTTGTCTCAAAAAGCTGCACCACTATCTGTATGGCCTTTAAAGATAAGAATCACATCTTACTACAGGAGATGTTTAATTCATAATATCTGCCATACATTTTTTAATATTTGTGTTTCTGTACCCATGTGGCACACAGATAGCCCCTTGATGCTCTGTGTTGGTTGGCCTTAAGCTGTAACACCATGGTAACTGGAAATGGGGGAGATGTGAACGCGCTCCACAGAGACATTTCCTGCCTTCAGTCAAACCCCGCCTGACAGTCGTCTCTTTACCTGCGAGGCCACAGGGACTGATGAAAGCCACTAACTTGTCTAGACTAAACTGTGGCAGTCCCATGGGACGCATGCATTAGCTTCCAACTCACAGGTGGAGAGGGACAGGTATGATGCAAGAGCAACGAGAGATGGGCTCATTTAATAGGCAAATGAAGCAAGGAGAATAATTTAAGTTCATAAAAAAAAAATAATAATAAACGTGAGTGCCTCTTTCTTTCTGTAATGCCAGGACAAGTCTTTGGTTCAAATTAAGAGTGAATTAATTAGCCAATGTTGTTACATGATAATGGGAATTGGTTATGGAAAGGAGAGGCGGTGAAACACAATGTGACTGACATAGGCTGACCTGCTTTTAACTCTGGTCAGCTAAAGTCAACCATTAACTACATTGGATGAGATCAACACGTGGTGATCTGTGTTGGAACCTTGCTTCATAGGAGTGTTTCGTCCAAGCTTTTCACATACAGCTCATTTCACTCTTGAATTCTAGCTCTGTGCTCCTTTAAGGGTTTAGCATGCAAAATGTGTCCACAACGGTCTGAATACAGCACTGGACCTTTTTAGCCTCACGCAAGCCCAACTGTGCATTTTTCAAGGGAAACATATTGATCTGCTGTTTCTTAAAACCTATTTTATTGTATCAGTTCTAACTAGATTTGATAATTACAGTTGAACACACTTAACATTTCTTTGCCATGGATAGCTCGAGATTGAAACAATGCATGATTTTAGCCACTGTTGTTGATGTAGAGGCTGGTTTTTGTAAAATCATTAAAAAAAAAATGTGTATTAACTGTTTAAATAATCGATGGACTACTAATAAGCAATGATCAAACTAAAATGTCCTCAAATTCTGTTAACTTCCATGGACTAGCCTATAACATAAAATGACATATTGACATATTTCTTATTTGTGACCACCAGGGAATAACCAAAAGGGACTACAAGTCTTGTTTGGGGACAAGAGATAATAAAGTAACTTAGACACGAGAACAATGTAAATGAAAATGATAACACACGTGTCTTGTAGGCAAATAAATAAATAAATAAAAAAAGACTCTTCGTTCACTTAGGTGGCATTAGCAGCCAGCTGGCAGCCTGACATCAGGACACAGCCAATAAATGTGAGGATGTGAGCAGCGGGAAAACATCACATGTGTAGAAAACAAGCCATGGATGACAGAGTGTGTGACTCCGCCTATTGATCAAAGACCATCCTCCTCTTTTGTCTTTTCTTCAGTTTGTTAACTTCTCCAAAAGCCGCGTGGACTTCGCGCGAGCCGCTCGAGCACTCTTTTGGCTGGCCTTCGTTTCACTTCGTGGAATTGTGTCGCATCCGGTCTGACCGAGTCCACGAACAAGAGGAGACCTTTCCCACCCCCCCCCCCCCACCCCCACCGGGTATTTTCCACGAGTTTCGTTTCATGGACACTCTGTGGAAATCATTTGTGTTCATGATAGCAGCGAGGTAAGGAGAACAATTTTGACTGTTTCATCTTTAAATGTCCAAACCAGCAGAACGCCTAATGCAGATTGTGAAACGGATAGTCTGTGCTGTGGTTTATTGTTTACCTTGGTGAACCCACTAAAGTGTCTCCGAGGAAATAATGACAGACTATGGAACTGTTTCATGTAGCCAACGAAACGCAACATTCCGTCAAAGTGTGTGTTTTAACCATTTTAACCCCAAAGTGTGGGTTTCAAGTTTGACCGTCCTGGACAGCTGCGTTCACAGCCTGTATGGAAATTACTCGCACTGAGGTCGAGCTCTTGCGCGTATTATATTTTCATATTATTTGCGTCTTAATGATTAAAGCAGGCTATTTATATGGGCGACACAACAAGCTTTTGGGTTCCAATGTAACTGCATTTCTCAACTGGCTGTCAAAGAACACAAGTTCCGTTTTTATGTCTGAACGCGAATCCTTGTGACCAGATCAATGTGCCCAAAATGATCTGTCGACGTGACCATTGCAACATCTTCAAACCTAATAAAATATTTAAAGTTAATTGTATTGTCGGCGGCTTGAATTTAAGCATTTACGCATGAATTGAAGTGGCCTTCTCACTCTTTTCTCACTCTTTTCTCACATGCTTGTAGAGGGTGTGACTGTCAGTTTAGACGGTTGAGACCATGAGACACTCTCCATCACTTTTAAACCACAGAGTAGGGAGTAGGCTACGCACACACACACACACACACACACACACACACACACACACACACACGCTACACACACGCACAGATAGCGCGTTCACAGTTCTGCACTAAGCCCATCTCTATTTGAAGATTGAAGGCATTATTTTGTACATCTCTGAAAAGGTGTGAGCAGGAAGAACTGATAACATCTGGTAACTATGGAGATTTTTGGGGCAAACCAGTTTACATACTTTTTGTATGTTTTCAGTTCATGGAGGAATAAAACAGCTATTATGATGTAGGCCTACGCATTCATGCACTTGTGGATCATTTACAAACAGTGTTGCACCATTAAGATCTTCTGATTAGCACTCAGCCCTGCAAGTGTCTGAAACTTCATCCGGTTTTTAGATGGTCTGTGTGGGTTTCTAGTCATATTTTAGGGTTCATTTCAGTGCATCTTTATCACAGCCCCACACCCCATTTGCTCCAGATACTGTCGTCACTTGTTTTTTCTGTTTTCATTCTGTTTGCGATGTTGACCACAAGTTCTTCAATATACTGTTTTCAAATGACTTTTGGAGGAGTGTATGAAAAAAAGAACTATGGTATGCCTTAAGGTCTGTGCTAAAAATAATAATGATAAATGAAGTGTCTGGCCACAGAACAAACGCAAGGCAGAAAAGCACTTGACCTCAAGATTCAAGATGTTTATTTTCACTCTGAATGTAGGTACAAACGTGTGAATCATTTTTGGCGCGTAAACGTAAAATATATCTGTTATTTGGTTAATTTGAAGTTAAGCTGATCTCTATGATGTGATAGTGGTGAGTGACACATTAACACATGATTCAAACTGCAAGATAACAGTATCAGAGCTGCACGGGTGTGTCGCTATTTCGTTTTTTAAGAAATTAGTCAAAACAATAATTTGTACTGGTGGGGGCTGTAACTTTAGAGCGGGTTTTTATTGTCGCATGCGACAGCTTCCCGACAGACATTTTCTGTCTCTAGGAAATGTTCTCATTCTCACTCCCTCTCGTTGATTTTATTCCTTGTATTTCTTGTGAATCATCCTCTCGTACACTCTCAGAGCTCTCCGCCAATGTGCATCAGCTGATAAGGCTGTATGTGATATACATGTGATAAGCCACAAGATTAGTAATGGTCGAGGAAATGCCTTAAGTGAGGTTGTTATCAAATCTCGACCGCTTTTGTGTGTGCAAAGTGTTTGTTTGTCTGCTATGTCAAATCGGATTTCTGAAGTGGGAGTTTATTCAAGCGTATTAAAAAGACTGATCCCTTGAAGAAGTCCTGGTAATTCAATTATAACTGTGTCAAATCTTTGTTTTTAACTTCTCAGGTCTGGTGCCGATTCAGTGCACTATCAAAGCAGAGTTTCTACACTATGAGCAGCCAGTCCATCCCAAGCCACGTTGACCCATTGTTCGGAAGAAAGATGCCATTGTATGATGGGACCATTTCATCTGCAGGACTGTCGAAACCCCAAACTATGTCTGATTTGCGTGGCGGGCATACCTTGCAGTATAGCGGGGCCTGTTTTCCTTATGACCCAAGAGGAAAAGAAGCGGCAGAGTTCACTCCTCCTTGGAGAAAGACTCCTCTGCTTTATGACAGAAATCCTATGAGTCACCTCTCTGGCCGGGAGGGACAAAACCACATCATTTACAGCAATTCTTCAGAAGAAGGCCATCCCTCCTCCTGCATCAAGCTGCAGTAAAACAGGGCTTTACATTATACACTAAAAGTCCTAGGATGAGCAGTCCTGCAGCTGCTACACCAGGGACTAGTAGAAAACAAAAAAATGGAACTGAGAAATTATCGCCCCCCTCTGAAAACACAATTTACTTAGCCATTCCTAAACCAGTTTATGGACTAAGCCCTTGTTGTAGTGAATTGGGTTGTGTGATAGGACATCAGTACAGTGTGGATCATGGTTCTCCGAGGATACCAAAACAAGTGTATGAACATGAGTGGATGCAAACTGATGCTCACTACACTGAGAGAGGAAAAGCACAAGACGCAATGCTGCAACAGAGAGGTTTACCGTGTGAGCCCAGTGCAGAGGCACTGAGGAGGATGACAGTGGGGACATACAGCCCAGGTAGAGATAGGACCTTTCCTGCTATGATTGATCCAAACTACAGCAGCTACCCCTTCGCCCTACCGCACACTTTGTTTGGTTCTTTAAGTGAGCAGGGCCAGCGTATACAGACTTCTCCCAGAGGCTACCCCAGCTTCTACCCCTCCCACCCTACATACGAGCATATGACCTCAGAGGTTTATCAGGAACATTCTCCCATGTCCAAATATGGCCAGCTAACACAGCAACCGATGTTTTACTACCCTCAGGCAAATGTGGAGGTAGAAAATAGGACACAGTGTAAAGATATTGGCAGCAAGCAGAGAGAAGATGTCCCTGTTATTCTTAAACATTCAATCTCCGACCACAGAGAGCATTACATGGTTCCCCAGTCGCTTCATGGTAAAATCCCTCTGCCTTTGTCTGATGAAACTTTGCATAATCATTCCCTCATGCACGGTTTTAACCATCAAGCTTTTGCAGTTCCTGGACTTCACTCAAACACAAACCAGATAAGACAGCTCTTGAATTCTAATCACAGAAATGTTTCTCCATCAAGATCATACATAGATCACCCTATGACCACTGCAAGCAACCTACGTAAGGACAGACCCAACGCAAACCTGCCCCAAACCACTTCACCATTTCATGTGAATCAAACTAGTCCTTCAAGGGGTACAAGCCAACCCGGTATCTCGCCATCCAGCATTGAAGTTAACAGATTTTACCCCCCGCTCACTGGCCTACACATAGACCGACCCGTCCTTCCACCGACTGCCTTGAACGCGAATCAACTCCGGGACTATTCCTCCTTTGAAGCTCAGGTTAAGTGTCCAATGCAGGCAAAAGGTCTTCCTGTTTCCTCATGGGCATGGCTGCCCCGGCCCCTCCATCACAGCTCAGGGTTAGTCCAAACATCTTTACCAGATAGTGTAAATGTCCCAAAAATAATTTATTCCCCTGCTGATACACCAGGAAAAAACATCCAGTGCCATATGTCCAGTCCAAGCACTGCTGTTCCTAAGAAATGCCTAAAGAGAAGTATGTCTCACTCATCTTCCCCTGTCAAAATAGAAAAAGAGGATCGGGAATTATATCAGACGGATCTCTTTAAGAAAAGACAAAAGGTGAAAATGGAGAATATACAAGAGAAAAACAAAAGTGACTCTTGTATGCCGATTATTGACAATGTCTTCAGTCTGGCACCTTACCAAGCATACCTGCAGGCCCCAGGACTGCTATTTCCCGGCAGAGTGTCTCAGATAATCGCACATTCGTCTGAGCACCGGGAGGTGAAAAGCAGGCCAGACATCAAAGAGAAAAAGCTATGTCAGGATAAACAGCAGCCTGAAGTCTGTCTACTTTCCGAAGAAGTCTGTGCAGATACTCCAACAGAGAACCCTGGTGTAGAAATGATTGAACTTGAAAATATAAAAGTGGAAAAAGTAGATCCGTCAGACAAGGACAACTCTCTTATTGCGAGGGACTGCAGCAAAGAAATGATCCAAAAGGAGTCCAAAGGTACTGATTCTGATCCTGATGAACTTGAAGCTAAACCCTTACAGGAAGAGCAAAAAGAGGCTGCTGATGTGTCTAAACCTGGTGAAGAGACTGCACTGATGAATATATTGGGTCAGGATGATGCATTAACACCTTGGGAAAAGTGGTCACCATTAAACCTAACCCCAACACATCCTCTCAACTACTTGAGAACAGACTCAAATTCAAAAATATTCCTCCCCAGTGTCTGAAACTTTCCAGTTACAAAATTGTTTTCCATGGTATAAACCATTCTAGCCCTGTTCTGCCTCTTGAAAAGACTCCTGTAAAACCAATGACTGAATTTGTACCAAAACCTGAGCCCCAAACACCAGTCCGCAAGCACTTCTTTGAGTTGCACCATTCTCTCTGCAAGCTTGTATCCAAATCTGTTCTGGTTCCTTCAAAGCATGACCTCAAGACCTGGTTGTCCCAGCTTGAACTGAGTGGACCAGCATCTCCGCCAACAAAAGTCAAGAAGATTTCCTGCTTGTTTGGGATAAAAGGCAGAGAGGTTTGGCTTACTGAGGAGATGAAGTCCGCCCTCCACACGCTCCTGGAGCGGCTGAGGGAGTATACGGCTCAGGAACGTTGTCCATTCCCTCATGTCATGCGAACAGGGGCGGTGTTCCTCCCCATGCTGGTGGTGAAGGAGCTGCTGTTTCCGACTGTTCAGGGCAGCCTCATCGACCAGGTCCTGCAGGAGCACAAAGTGGAGCTGCGACCCACCACGCTCTCGGAAGAAAAAATCCTCATCCAGCTCCACAAACGAGCCTGTTCGTCCAGGCTCCGGAAACTGATGTCGCTCAAGCACCTGCCTGACATCTACGCCGACGTGGTCAACCTGATGTACTACACCTGTGTCTGCAAACACCTGGGTGAGTGAATGTTTACATCAGAGTTACCAAGGTAACATAACAAGTGAATATTGAGTAAATAAGTTCAATCAGGAGAGACAATTGAATAAAGACAATTATTTATTACAATCAAATATGGAAACGTTCCTTCACAGAAATAATTTTGGCGCTTGGACTCTATGGGTAGAATGTGTAGAATGACAATTCTTAGCAAGGTCAGAATAAATTCCCCCCCCCCCATGGAGTCCAGACACTGGTGGTGGTGAAGCTGATGACTTGATGAGACCAGATGGGATGAGAAATGATGGATGATGATTCTGCGAGATGGCGGTGTTGGGGAGTGGAGGGGCGCACAAAACGTCAGCATACTACGGGAGAGAAAGAATCATATTTAAAAGGGGAGCAGTACGATGATAGGGCGGAACACCATGCCATTGGTTAGATGAGTACCGCTGACGATACAGCTGATTAACCAATGACAGCCCACAGAAGATGAAAGCTCAAGAATGACAGCGGAAACGAGAGTAAAGCAGTTATATAGTCTTCCTTACTGAAGTTACGCTAGAGCTTCATTAAGTAAATGGGTATTACAGTTTTAATGTTTTAATCCTTTAAAAAATGTTGATATGTGTTTTCTTAATAAGTCTTTCCTTAGGATGTTGGTTCAGAAGTTTGTCTTCTTTGTGTGATCAAGACAAATAATGTAGAGGTGCTGCATTTGGTAACAGTAAAACAGAAAATGATGGAAGCAACTACTTGTTTGACCAACACTGAAGTAAAAAAAGGGTCCAAGAAGGAGGCTGAAAATGAACGAATAATGAACATGTATTCAAGGAGCGAAAGGACTGGGTCTCCATATTTCATACCTTTTAAAAAAAATAATAATAATAATTAAAAAAAACATGACCTGACCATTATTGGCCAATATCCATTAGTTTTGAAACTGCTCCGGACAAGTGATAACTTCAGCAGATACAACATAAAGGTTTGTAGAATTAGAGCATACTGTATTTGACAGTGTTGGTGTTTAAGATGGATTCATAAACTCTTCTGGGATTGTATCCAAAATGAATAAATCCTTTTAAATTGATCAAATAATGGTATCAAATGAAGTATAGGGTTTGTTGGTATTCTCTTCATCTGTTACACATCCATACATTATCTTTTTAAATGTTGTACAACTACTTAAGCAGTTCAGGGAAGCGTCTTTAAAAAAATATTGCTTTCAACCTCAGCATGAATCAGCTTGAAAAAAAGCAAGGTCATCTTATTTCTCACGACTTACTGTAGTATGATACTCTGTGGAATTTCAGTCTCAGGTACTGAAACTCTTTCAGGTCAAATATACCAATGTTCTCGACATAACGTCGGTGCATTTGACCTTTTTCTATAATTGAACCCTGTGTTATTTACTGTGAAGAACAGCACTTCCTTATTCTAGATTTCTAGAATCCCCATTGAGTGCGGTATGCAGCTTCATATTTAGACTGTTAACTGTAACATTGTAAACCTACAAAACACAATTGGTTATCTTATAACTCATTAGCCCCTTTAGAGAATCATTGAAAAGGAATGGCAAAACACTTCAATGTTCTGTATAAAATCCATTTATTTTTTCCAGAATCAACCTCACCTGATGGCCAAAAGAAAGTCCAGGTATATTTACTTTTTACGTTGATCCTTAGTCTCACTCCTCTTTGCTTTTCTGATTAAAAAGCAGAAAACTTCTCCTTACTTTCTGTAACTAATCACAATAACTTGCATGATTCTTTTATTCTTGGTATAGGATGGTTGGGAAAATATGCACCAAGCCGGGGCCATTTGTGGGAACACTCCTTGATTTGTTGATTGCAGTAATATACCTCTAAAGTCTGTGACGCAGACTGTTGGATCACATTACCAGAGGAAGGAAGTGACAGTCACGTGTAATGTGTAAAAAAAAAAAAAAAAAACACTCCTTGGGTTGGGGACAAGTTCATGTTTTTAGAAGATGATGATTATCATCTTTTAACCGACCACTTCCCTTTAAAGCATTTTTGCTGCTTAGTCGAAGGGGGAAGTTGATCTTAACAATTTGTGATAAAACAGTTTAGCACCAGTGTGTGTTGAAATGACTGGAAACAAATCCAATGAAAAGATCAAAACCAACAAGAGGTTTCTCTGTTACGCCATACTTTGTCCCAATATGTGTATACCCAGTATACATTTCCTTTTTTAAAGACTCCGGGACTTCCTTGCTCAGAAAGACGCTTTGTTCAGCAAATGTTCCTCAAATTGTGTTTTTAGTGAGATATATTTGTTGCTGTAGTATTTTTGTCCTATTGTGCCGACTAGGGTTATCATATTATCATGATACCAGACCTTTAAAGTAAAATATACCAGTAAAAATGAAACGTTATTGATTCCTGTTTTGTTACTACAGCAGAAATAAAAGTCCTAGGCTCGCAGTACTAATTCATTTCAGGTTGCCATGGTTTTTGTTGAATAAAGGCGATGTTCTTTCTTTCACTCACGGTAGCATTGAGTTAAAATCTCACTGAAGATCCAACGGGTTTTCAGAGCTTTGGTACTCTTTGATGCTGTCATTATCAAAGTAACAGATTGCATCATTTTAAATCTTGTGTTATCAAAAAGTATCAAAGTGCTGAACATTTTGACAACCATATTGCCCATTACACTTTTTCTAGTGTTGTAGTCAAAACCCAAACTAACCAAGACAAATACAAATCTAGTTATGAAAGAATTGAAGTTATTAGTTCTTTCCTCTTAATCACAGTAATGACATGAGAAAGCCTATCAGTGCTGGTCTTGACCGGTCTTGATTTAAAATCGCCTAGTCTAAGACGGAGACCTTCGACAAGTGAGACCAAGACCCATTTCGAGTACTACAACTCTGTTTAATCATAATAAGGTGTGGCTCATATGTGAACCTAAAACGTTTTTGGATTAGAATATGTGTGTTGCCATATATTGGTAAGCCGTATGCGGCTTTGCTAGCATGGGCAATGATTTAAAGGATCGTTAATCTTTAGTTTTTCTGGTCTTTTCATTGGATATGTTACCTTTAAGGAAAACCAAGAATATCACCAGATGTTTCCTTTCAATCAATGTAACGCTGTGTCCTTCACTTCTTTTGCCTTTCCTTTTTTTGGCACATGCATTTACTTTTATTTACTGAATTGAACTTGATTGAATTTTCACTCACAGCTTACATTATTAACTGTTCACATGATTTTTGGAGCACTTGGGTATCTGAACATTTCCCTTGTCTGTTTCTTCTTTACATCCCATCACTGGAGGTATCTCTGAATTTTCCCAGCCTTGTGTGTTTACTCTCACAGCCTTCTTTTCTCTCTCTTTTAAAAAGGGTGCCTCGTGGTAGTGGATCATGCTGTCCAATAACCATGTCTGCTGATGTTCATAGAATAGTGTCTCATTGTTCAGGTGTGCTGTTGGAGGTGCTATGGGAGCATTGATCTCTCAACCTGTGTTTAGCGGTGTTGGACTTTGTGGTTGCTGGCTTGCTTTTAGGGAGCAATCTGTTTGGAAACAGCTTCTTTTAATCATGTCATGCAACATTTTGAACACCTACCTGTATCTAATCAAACTAAATACATTCTATTAACACTTACCTTCCTGTTTTTCCAGGAACCTTATATCTAGCATGTTTTTTTCCCCTCTTCATTTTAATCTCCCCTAATTGCTCTCATCATCCCTGTTTTGCAGGATTAAAAATGGACGATTCTGTTTTCAAAGAAAAAGATGACGGTTGTGAGGAATCTATCAGCTGCAGGAGCCCTATGTTTTCAGACACCACAGTGTCACCAGCCTCGCTTGCAGAGTTGCACCCACAGAGACACCCGAATGAGGAAGCTAATGTGAACAAGAATAGAACCAAAACCAGGGTGAAGACCAGCTCCAGGCGCATGTTTCTCGACAACAGTATGTCAGATGAGGAAGAGGCAGATGACACAGAAAAGACTGTGGAGGTAGGTGTTTTTAATGCTGAAGCAGAGCAGGACTCTTCTTTGAGCACAACTTCTGATAATTCATGGACCTGTCCTTTAACTGTGGACGAACTTTCCTCATCTCCAAGTGACATTGAAGCAGAGGAGTCCTCTAGTCCTGATACTCAGTACTCTCCACCAGATAAATCTCTGGTTAGATCCAAAAAATGTTCAGGCGTGATTCTCAAACTGAGACGAATGTTAAGCAAAGATCTAAACAGGAAAACTGCCTGCTACCAAGCCATCTCGGACTCAGGGACACGTGTTGATCCTTCTCGGACTGATGATAGGGATGGAGAAGTGAGCAGCGAGATGGAGCTTCACCGGCAGACTCCCAGGATGACCCACAGGTGGCAGAGAACAGGAAACTTCTGCCCCGCCTTAAGACCCATCAGCAGCTCTTCAAAAAGAAAGCACAGATCGCTTTTAAAGATCAAATACTGTCCCTACTTGTCCGCCTGCCACAGCGCCGAAACCAGGAAACGATGGGGTGCTGCGTTCGGCTGTTCAGAGGGCACGCATGGCCATGAGGTTATACTACCCGGACCTAGTGGGTAAGAGGATTCTACATCTGTATGAAGAAGATGACAAATCAGAAGTGTGGTACAGAGGAGAAGTGATGCGTATCCATGAGGCCCACACCAACCCTCTAAAGACAATATTTGAGGTCCAGTACGACAGCGAGCCGGAGTGGAAGTACTACCTGGAGCTGATGATAGATTATAAAAAAGGCTGGCTGAAAATAGATGACTAGTTGCGCCACAAAAACATCCAGGTGTTTTTTTTTTTTTTTTTTGGTTTAAAGCGCATAATTCATTGACTTGTCATTAAATCCATGGCGATGACAGCATGATAAGCCTTAAATATCTTTCTGGCCTCCTCAGGAAAAGACGTTTGACTGGATCGGTTTTTCTATTGAGGTTATATTCTTTGTTACCTAAGAGCTTCAGGGTGCATTTAAGGAAACAACTACAGCAAACGTACAGCATTCTGTTCATGTTCTGGTAAAGTGCTCATCAATATGAAGCATTAACAAATGGCCTTTCTGTTGTATTCAATATTGAGACTGTAATGTGAGACAGGGTTGACTGTTTATATTTAAAAATGTTCAAAAAGGTTTCCCTCACACTTCTAAATTATTAGCGACTTTGACTGTAAGGATTTATGTCCAACTGTGTGAGCCACGTGTGTTTACAGTAATATATTGCCTGAGGTGGATGTCATAGCAGTGATTTTTTTTACCATGATGATTGTTGTTTTGATTGTAACTGATGCTAGGCAGGCATTCAGGAGGTTCAGTATGAAGCTCCTCAACAGTTGTTTTTTTTATGACAGTCAGAGATATGCCCCTGCCATTGTTGTGAATTACTGTGAACCTTGCCACTTTAACCTTATGCCTTATTTTGTATAATTTTCTTATACATGTGTTCATAAAAAAATGAAAACATCATTCCCATTGTTGTCTTTCATAAATGTTTTTCATGCTTTTATTTTATTTTGGACTATTTGAAGGGTCATCATTCTCACCTCTGATGTCTATATTAGCAGATAAAACCTTAAGAGTCAACATGCAACAAGAACATCAAGAATTAAGAGTCTGGCAAGTCAAATCTATTCTGTCCTGTCACTGAATGAAACTGGTTCAGATTGTCAAAAGCAATGGGCTGAGAGTTTTTTTTTTTTCCACCACAAGTACATAACACTACTTTAAAATGAGCAGTCCTTTTAGTTCACACTGCCTCTGAAGTAACACCTAAAACAGAAAGTAAAAATGTCATTATCTTTACCCCCATCATGTGGCTGGATTTTTAATGACAAATTCCCTTTAAACTGTCAAAATTGTTTCTCATTTTGAAAGCAGTGTTTCCAGTGACTTCTGAACTGATTATCACATTTCATGCGTTTTAAAAGCATAGTTAAGAAAACTTTGACTGTGCACTACTTAATGAAAGCTGCTGCTGCCACAAAAAAAAGAAATGGTATTCATTATCAAACAACCACCCATGCCAGAATGATGTTTGCAACATTTTTTACTTTAATATTTTCTCCAAAACAGACAACTAATTTTCCCCACATTTTTACACTAACAGGAAATCAAACAGATCTGATAGCATAAAGAAAAGATATGTAGAAAAGTATTAAAAGTTTTTGGATGTCTCGATGTTATGTTGGTAGCTGCTTCGGTTACTTCAAACGTTATGTCAAAATGTAAATGAACTACTAGCAGACAGGATGAAAACAGATTGATCCCTGGAGACCATATTAGCTTGATGATCACACAGCTATGGCTGGTGTGTTACCTGCAAGGGAGCGGAGAGGGGAAAAAAGCTCATGTTTTGTTACCATCCATTCAATTTATGTCATCATCGCTTTGTGACTTTGGAGACAAAATTAATTCAGAAGTGACATCATACAAACAAACACTCGATCTTTATCATACAATCTGTGAGTAAACGTTGTGCATAAAACCTTTTTTTTTTTTTTTTTTTTTTGGCGAAAATCAAATAATTCAATGAAATGTACCAAATTAAATCCATTCACTTCCGGAAGACACAGCTCTGCCAGTCTGTAGTACAGTACATTTCAAATACATCAGAGATGTTGGGGTAATTAACATGACTGAGACCAAATCTACACTAATGACTCACACAAAACTCCCAAAAAAGAGATTTCTCATGACATTTATTCAAATAAACAATACAGTTTATAATTTGCTAGGATAAAATAATAAGTTTGAACACATAAGAAGCATTTTGGGAGAGAATACCCCAAAGATCTGAAACTGGGTTAAAGGATGTGTTTTAATGAAAGCCGACACTTTGGTGTCATCTTCTAACTTGCATCAGTGCCTTTATATTCATGTCTCCTTCAGTCAATCTTGTGAAGACCACCATATTGCAGAGACATGAACGAGCATTTACAAGCAGAGAACTTGACACCCAGAGCAACCACCACATAGAACAATGCAAACCTGGAGGGGCACTGACATTTCAATGTCAGATACTCAACCCATGTGCGAAAAATACAGTCTTTAATGCAAAAGCATAATGTTATAAAACAGTCCTACAACCTTAAGAAGTTTGCCCTTTATTCCTCATCTGCCTAAAGATCACGCAAGTCTATCTGTGAAGCTTGGTTTAAAGCAATGGTCGGTCTCACTGCAAAGTAAGAGATTTCTTCAGAGGCATGGCAAATGTCAGCCCCACACCCTTCAAAGTTCCCACTGCAAGGGTGATGCAAATGCCTGAACCTGTTTGACAGTGATCCAGCTCATTTAGCAGCACTACAGAGCAGTGCAGGCATTACATTCTATTACCCCCCTTCATTCCCCAACAAGGTGCAAGCTGAGCTTTAAGAGGGCAACCTCAAGCCACATCGGGAAAGAGAGAAAAGAAGAAGAAAAAAAAGAGTGAATGTCACTCAGTTTGGCTCTTGCAAATAATTACAAGGTCTTAAATGTTAAACACCTCTAAAAACGACAAAGGGGGTACGGCAACAGGGTTAGAATAGAGGGACTCAGGGCTGGAGTATTCTACCTTACCTTTGAACTGTAAAAGTTATTCTGCTCTCACTTTTCTATATCGTCCTTGCACGTCTTCCTTTATCTGATCATTTGGCAACTAAGAGAAATTCTATCGGTCCCCATGTAGAGTTACAGATGGGATGTAACTTGTGCACTGCTCTGACGAGACTGAGGACGACAGGTCGAATGCCTTATTGCCAAAGACCTCCAAGCTCCCACATACTATGGAGGGGGTAAACAGACCCAACCTAATTGGCAAAAGTACACCTTTTTCAATATGGTAAAGAATAAATATGTAAAAATTATGCAAACACGTGCCACTCTTGCTCTTTAACTTCCATGCATATGGACTATTTACAAATTGAAAAATACAGACTTACTATTTTGTTCTTTTGATTTTTTTTTTTTTCTTCTCCCTTCCTGAAATGTCTTTGCCTCTTTGCAATCAGCCTATCAACATTTTGCCACACCAGACAAGGATCTCACCATATATTGCAGACATGGCCAGGACAATTAAAGCTGTGTTGAAAAAAAAAATAAAACATGTTCACACTCAAGGGAAAACAAAAGTCAAAATCAAAACGGAAAGATTCACAAGCAAAAAAAAAAAAGAAAGGAAAAAAATTAATATCAGGTCAGGTTCAGGGGAGGTGTTACAATACAAGCCAAAAGGTTTGTATTTGTTTAAGATGGAATTCTGCTTTCTCGAGACTCCACTCTGTTGCTAACAATACTGTAGTACACTCTTTTATTACTCTACCTTTTATTTAAATATAATTTACTTTGAAGATTTTGTTAAACAAATCCAGGAAAAAATGATGCAAAAGTGGTTTGTTTGCCAGAGAGGCGGCAGAAGGCCCGTGCTGCCCTGTTAAATTGCATCAGCGCTCTAGTTTGTCAAGATACTCAAGAGTCCTTTGCATTGGGACGTGTCCTCAATCCTCAATGTACTCCCACAGGTCCTTCTCATAGCCTTCATGCACGTGCTGTAGCAGCACTCTTCGCCTGCTCTCACAGTATCTGGAGAAATGGAAAAACAATAGTCAGAATCCAAGAACCCACAACCCCAACCATGGCAGGTGGTGACTCTTCCCACTCTCACCTGTACTTGTCTTGTACTTTCTGCTTGATGTCCTGCAAGGAATCCTGGGAGATGTCCCGCTCTAAGTAGCCAGAGAGCACCTCCGTGGCATTTTCCAGGTCTGCCTGGTTGTTCTGATAACCAAAAAATGTATAAATATTATTGTTCTTTGTCACAGAATGGATTAACACAGTGGTTCTCAAACTATGGTACCACGGGTGATACGCGGGCTCCCTGTGGTGGTACCCAAAGGCATCTCCACAATATATATATATATATATATATAAAAAAACAACTCAATTATATCACAGTCGAGATGAACATTTAACACTAACTCTTTTGAAAATGGTATTTATAAAAATGTAACTAGTTCTAAAATCGCTCCAGTAGTTTCTGTCATGGATCATTTGCTTAAATAGATGAAATTTCAGCCTAAAAGTTTCCCCATGTTACATACCTCAAAAATAATGGACTGGTTGTTCTTCTTGAGGTAGAAGGCAAAGACGTAAGTGAACATGAGTGTGGAGCGACACTGGCACAGCACATCCACAGCCTTCTTCAGAAACTGCACCTCGATCCAGGACATGTTGTGCTGCTGCATCTCCTCCATCTTCTGCTTGACCTGAGCGTAGAGCTTGTGCTCAAAGCGCAGACTCTGCATGTGGTTCATGTAGCGGTTGCAGTAGAATAGGTACCTCTGCAAGGCTGCCCTGGAGCGCTGCTCAAAAAGCATAAAACTGACTTTACTCAAACATGATCAACGTGACTTTTACAACAATTAATCTTTGACCACTGACCACTTGAGGTAAGACACCATTCAGACACTGTGTTTGAGGTAAGACACATTTCATCAGAATTAAACCAACTTAATTGTTTGCCATAGTGAAGCAGATATTTATCATGAAGCTGAGACTGTCAGGAGTTTTAATTTTCAATTGTGTTACCAATGCATAAATTACGGAATCTTTTTCTTACCTCTTGAGCATCTCTGGCTGCCTTGGCATCATCTTCATTGTAGCGATTGCAGTTGTACCTGAAACATCATTGCAGGGTGAGAACCATCAACAATATTTCCTTCACACTTAAACACAAAATCAGGGTCCGAAATCAACTTTTTTTTTACTCACCGGCCAAGGTGGTGGGTAGATAAAATAAAAAATTGGAGTTGAACACCACATAAGCAGACTGTTCATTATTGGACGTGTGTATCTCTGACTTCTCCTGCGGTTCAGGTCGTAAGTGAAAAGTGGAGCATGCATTTAGCGTGCTCTGTATGTTCAGTGTTGCACTAAAAGTAAATGGGTGCCCGTGGTGCTCCGGTATGTGTGCGCGCACCAATGTATGTTGGCATTTCGTAGTGTGCCCCGCAAGGCTCCAATCATGCAAACAGCACAGTAGTGAAAAGTATCTACAGTCTATCTAAGTATCAAATGCAGGGCTCGACATTATAACTGGCCCGGATGAATGATTGACAGAGTCCGGGCCAGCTGACTGCACGTTCAGCTGGCCCGCTCAGGCCAGTAAAAATATGGCCTGGAAAAAAATAGACTGTAACACATTCTCAATTTCACAGCGCTATCCTGTCATACCGTTGTTTTGTCAGTAATTATTTTAAAAACGTTGCGCTAATAACTGCTACAGCATCTATGTATCAAGTGCTCGAACTTGTGTGTCACAGTTGAAAGGCACCCGACGGCTTCACTGCTGACTCCCCTGTGAGCGCGCTCGCTACTCTCAAATTGTACACTCACACACAGATTTTAGCGCAGGATTTCTCTACGGTTTTAAAACCATCAGATCCCGACAAAAGCCGAGCTTAAATCAGGATTCAAAGGAAAAAATCACCCGAAGAGTCAAGAGTGACAGCAGGGCATGGCGAAAACAGAACGGAGAAAAGTTTCAGCCACAGTGACAGACAGCTGGAGGAGCTGGAACATGCTGCAGCTAAATTTCCCCTTAAAGTTAAACACTGGATCCTGGTAAAGATAAAAGTTATTCACAAAGCATCTTAGCCATTAAGAGAGCTCCTAAAGTAAAGCTCTAAGGATGAAGAGTTTCTCACAGAGAAGAAAGAAGGAGAGAAAGGTGATCATAACAATTCCAGCTCTATCACAGCCTCATATTAACATCAGTCAGATTAAGTAGACTCTAACAGTTGCCAGCATGGTGAATAAACATGAGCACATAAATATAAGAAAAATACAAAATATTTGATATAATTAGAACTCAATTAATTAAATAAAAGTTGTAATTTAATCTTGCATGAGAATGGTTTAAGAGTAAATTGGTGACTGTTATTTTTTTTAATCAAAAGTAACGTTCCTGGGCCAGCGGTTACAATGGTCGGGCCAGTGATCCTTGAAAACTAGTGGCCCGGAGGGCACTTAATACTTTTTATACATGACTGATGGGTATAAATATTTACTCTTTAATTTAATTTGCTCCCCAAACCTTGGTGAGTGTCAATTTTAGACCCTGCATACAAACATATTATTCTAAATCTCCATCAATTTAAAAGTATTTTCGCTGCAGGTGTCAGATGTGTATTAAGTTGATTATGTAAACACCCAGATGATGCAATCAACAAAAAAGACATACCTAAAGAATGTTCATACACTGATCTGAAAGTAACACTACTTTTTTTCTAAGTTCTCACCAAGCTGAGCCGTGGGGTTCCCATGGACCCAGGCAGACCCAGCAGAACTCGGCTTTGCAGTTCTGGTTCCGACAAACCATGTGATTGCAGCCTCCATCTTTTTCAATGGTCACATGGCATTTAGGACACTCCTGTAAGCAGATGAGAGGGAGGCCATTTTTAAGTCTCTCACAAAAGTGATGGAACAAATCAAACTCAAGCTAAAAACAAGCAGTTCAAAAATGTAATGTATTTAGGGTGATCACATTGATTCCAGAGCAACAGAAACTAAGAGAGCAACACTACGTTTGACCCTTACCTTTGTATTTGCTGCAATCCAGTTTGAAGTTTCACTGTCATCATCACATTTCTTAATCCATTTCCTCAGCCACTACAAAATAAGTTAACAAAAGTTAGAAATATTGTTTACAATGGATGCTTATGTTGACAGAACCTGACTTGAGATGCAGTGGAATAGGTTATATTTTCGGTGAAAGGGTTAAAATACTCTTGTTTGGCTTACCTTACACTTGACAGGATCATGCCAATTCTCTCCACAGTTGAAGCTTCACCAAAAGGAGGAATCACAAGACAAAATCACATAATGTTATGGAAGTACAAATTATAATAAAAAGTTGACATTTAAATACTGTTGCTTACACTGATTCACAAACAAAATCTCTTACCAGAACTGACGTCCACACTTGCACCGCACTGGCTTGGCATCTGGATACTGGACTTTGACAACATGATGGCAGTCTGGTGCCGGGCACCACTTTAACAGTCGATTGCACTTCAAGGAGCAATGAAAGTAAAGATGTAGAATCAAATCATAATTTTACTTAGAATAGCATATTTCCCTGCTATTCTAAGAGGTGCATACATATCAAAATAACATCATAATTGACGCTGTGAAGCTGTAGGTTTATCATGTTGTTAAGAAGGAAAAAGATGTCAAAGCTTACCTCTACAAAACTATTCGTTATTAAATGCTGGTACTTCAACTTTACTTTTGAATCTGTTATGAGGCGCCTGTAGGAGAAGTCAAATCATTTCTTAGTTGGAATGAAACAACATCTCGCAATTCAATTAAAAATTGGTACAAATGCGGACTATATATAAATTCATTTGACAATCCTCAATACTGTTTTTCACCAGCAGAGTGTGCTGTCTGCTTTTGGCTTCTCTTGTTCAGCCTTAAGGATTCAGGCTGATGATTAATAAAGATTCAAACCAGTTGTAATGACAAAACTTTAAAAAAAAAAAAAAAGAAATGTGAATGAAAACTTGTGTTAATCGGAAGTTGAGAGATTCAGAGTCCTCTCTATGCTTCAATGCCAGAACCACAGGCTACAACTTGGTTTGTTCTATAAATGTGTTTATTTGATTTAGAATGTTAAATCCCTTTATATTACACAAAAAAAAATCTAAAATGTATTTTGTATGATATTATCAGTATCAGATTTTATAAAGAAACGTGCCTGTTTTTAAGTCACTATACAACCTCCAAATTGAAAAGTACGACTTATTTATAAAGGAAAATTAGTAATGAACCCAACATCTTGAAAGGTATCATATCGCCAGTAGAGTGTATCGTAACATCCCTATTTATAAGTCTTTGTTGAATAAAATGGCTGACTTTGGATAATAGTTTCCTTACTTCAAATTTAGTGTACAGTTTACCTTCCAATCAATAATGCAGCCTCATTGGCAATCATTTCCTAAGTAGCTCAATAAAGGAAAACTGTAAATTGACATTACAGCAGTAAAATTCATTTACATGCTGATATTAGTTTTGTAGTGACAGCACATTTGGTAATGATAAAACTAACAGTTAAGTGCAGGCTACAAACTGAGAGATAAGGAAGGCAATTCAATATAGAATATTGACATGAGAAGCATGTGTGTAATGCACCTAAACTGATCTGTTGAACATAATTAGATCTCTTGCTAGCTGGTCAGATCAGAATGTAGGTTAAGACAATTACTGTCAGCTTAACAGCTAGTAAAGGAGATTAGAGTCTATTCTCTCAAAATGAAGGTTTGTGTGTATATACAGTATATATTGGATATAAGGGCTACCAATTATACCTTCACTGCATTGTTATATTATACGACTATTCAAGACACTTGTATTGTACAACTGCAACATTAAACAGATCTTTACAGCAAATGTAACAAATGAAAAAACAATATTTTTTCCAGTAGATGGCTATTTAATCACATCTCTGTATGTTGGTCATAAAAAAGATAGAATTTCAATTAAGTAAAAAAAAAAAACATGCAGTATTATTTTTTCCTGCCCTTTTCACTACCAGTCTGTGCTATTCAAATGATCCATTTGGATCACAGGTGACCAGCATTTAAAATAGATTGAAATGAATGAAAAAGAAACAAATACTCACATGACTGTGTTGTCATCGACCAAAATGTCACAACTATGAGCAGGACAAGAAATGGTCTGTGAAGAAAATACAGATCATTAGTCATTCACATAGTTATTGAAGGAATAACAGTGACGATCAGTGCCTCCTACCCATTAAACAATTATAGTGAGTACCTGTCCCATTCCTTCTTCAATGATTTTGGTGGTCAGGTAATCTCCCCAGCACTGCATGCAGAACTTGTGTCCACACTCCAGGCCTGTAAAATACTGTGAGAGAGGAGCACCTCGTGAGTAAGGCAAACTAGATAGATGTGATATATTAAGCTTTGAGGACTATTTCACTTTTAACTGATCAAATAACCAACACATTATGTATTGCTCTACAACCCCAAACTATTTATGTTCTGTATTAAAATCTGTGTTGTCAACTAATCAACTTTCTTTCTGATTTGGAAAATAACAACAATAAATATTGTAGCTCACACACTTAGCCACCTAGCCTCAATGATATACTATTACGATGCATCAGGTGTTTGTGTTGCAAGTGATTACATCAGATTTCTGTGTTGCTTGTTGTGGTAACAATATACTCTTCAATAGCTATGGAAGCTACTAATGCAGCTTTTCCATTACAAAAGCAGGCGAAACTGAGATCCTCCACTTATCCTCCAAACAATCAAAGTGTTTCTGTATGTATTCTGCTCAGCTGCTCTGATACACTGTGGTCACCCTGGATTTACAATGACAAAAGTCTGAACAAAACTGATCTTTTCAGATTCACTAAGCACACACTAAATCCATATAAAGAAACATATTTCTGTGGTCTTGATTAAGAAAAATAAATGCATCAATCAGATGTTTAGCTGACCGTGGAAACACATGCGCTTCCTGCCACTGCAAGATACTGGTTAGCTTTTTACAATAGCTATTTTACCTGCTTATCTTTCATGGGGTTGAGTGCAGTGGCCAGAGAGACATTACTCTTAAAATAAAATCCAAAACTTAAGGCTAGAAATGTTCAGACCTCTGAGACCTGACTCCTGATATTGCTTGATTTACTTTATTTCTTTGTCACCTTCTCTCTGGATGTATGTCGTTTTCTCCCCTTAAGTAGTCGCAAAAAAGAAAAACAAGTCCTTAGAGGCTAGCCTATGTCAACAGATATAAGGTTTAAACTTTAATCTTACTTTAAAGAACTCAGATGAATCATGTATGCTGTATATGTACCTCGTTCTTGATCATTTGAAATTTTAATGACAATGTACTATGGCACATTAACAATGAAATAAAAAAATGTTTGAAGACCACTGAAAGTATTTGTTTGTGATTCTATCACTACCATCGAAAAGATAGAATGCATGGTGGCCATGAATAGATCAACCTGATCTACAAACATCAACCCTTCATTACATTCTGTTCACAAAGTAAAATACTGTGGGTAGCTTATTTCAAAGTGTGGAAGTACTTTTTATTTCAAACTTTAGCTATTTTCACTTTATATCAATGGTACGTGATTTTCCAAAAATTTGCATTTCTTCTTTTGTTTTTTGGGACAAAAAAAAAATCATAATTTTCCATTTGATGTAGAAATTGATCAGCAACAACAATTGAAAACTCTTTCACTTCTAAACAATCCTGAAAGAGTTTTTCCACAATGTACTTTATTACCTAGCATGCCCTGACATTCTCCAATCCCAACTCAAACGCATCAAGCCATCAGCAGGTAAAGGGATATCTGTCTCAGCTAAAAATCCAACTTAATTCCATGATTGGTGGGCAACTCACACATCTAAAACCAGTGTACTAATGAAGGATTTATTTTAAAAGAAAACGACAATAGTCAATACTGAGAATTCAGTTAAAAAGTTTGTCTCTGTTTTTACAGTATAGAGTATACAGTCTATATATATATAGGCAGTATTTCTTGCACATCATCAACAGCTAATGTCATCATCTTGTTATGTTAAGCTACTTCACCTCTTCTTGACTTGCTAGTTATCTTTTTAGTTGAGGCAGTTAAAATAGCCCTGAAATAATCATTTGAACAAAGGATTTAACGTCATTGCAGTGCTGCTTCAGTTAGAGTTCCCCCTGCATAACAGAAGTTAAAATGTGCCCTTAATGCCCATGGCCATATTAAGCCAAGATGTAGTTTTATGTTCAACAAAATCTCTATTGAAATAGCGCAACTTAGACCTGAACACATTCAGCAGCAATTTCTGGTGTCGTAATGGGACTCACGGAGTTCGGGAAGTTCAGATAGCAGATCTGACATGGCATGTCCTGTGCCGACGATCTAGTGTTGATTGGAGGACGGATGCGAGGCTTCTTACTGGGGTTAATGACATGACACTCGGAGAAAAGCTTGTCAAGATTGCCATCAAAATACCTGCATATAATGAGACAAAGACAAAAGAAAACAGTGTTACAAAGGCTTGGAGACATTTGTCTTCCCAGGAGCATCTCAGCCAACAGATTTTGTTAGCTGTCAGAAGACAAGTAGTAAAGGGCCTCAGAGGTTCTTACCTTTCCATTAGTTTTTCCTTATCCCAGTTGAAGTGACTGAGAAGGATACGCGTTATTGTTGCAGGATTCTAAAAGAAAAAGATACATATAATTTAATTTTCAATCTTCACATTAATATCCAAGAAAAAGTTGAAAAATCTTACATGAAAAATCCTTTCCTTGACATTTCTACAATTCCAATCCTACTAAAGACTAACTCTTTTTGGACATGTTCATGCAATAGGTTTTTTTAGATACTTAAAAGCTGAGTGCTTGACCAGAAGTGCAGTTTGAAAATGGTAAACTGAAATAAAATCAAGTAGTGCCTTAATATAGCTTGAGACTAAAGGGGCCTCACTTGCATTTATTTTTACTGTCCCTACAGTCATAGTGTTGGGCATGGACAAAATTAAAAAATAAAATTGGAAAACACCTTTCTTTACAGTGAAACTAATAAAATGTCACCACAATTTACTGCCACACAAAGTAGCCAGATGCACATGATGCATGGAGAAACCACATGTGGTACATCCTTGTCACCAAATGATGAGGAAAGTCTGACAGTCCTGAGTTGTGAATGAAAGGGAAGGAAAACAAAAAAGGAAAGCCATCCACTGAAAAAGTACAAGTAATAACTTAAATAATAAATATATTCTGTAGCTGCTGCATATCTAGTGTATCTTAGTTACAAAGGCTATCTGTAGCAGTATGACATGAGACTGTGCTGCAGCACTCATTTTTCTTTACATTCTGTTAAACCAAAAACATTTTTGCATTGTGTTTGATCACACTTTGCTCGGACTAATGATAAAATATGGATGAAAAGTCAAATAGAAATCACATAAATCTACTCCCCTCTTGAGTTTGCAAAAACTTAACACTGTTGTTAACAAACGGTGTATTGTTGGCTCATCATTTGTCCAACAAACCAATATATAGCTTTATCTAAATGACCAAAAGGGTGCCTAAACACGTTCTCAGGTGCACACTGTAACAGGAAGAAACCACGAACATTTAATCAGAAGTCCGTGGCACACTGAAAATAACTTTACTATATTTTATTTGCCACAGACTTTTGTTTTAAACAAATTTATAGTTTTTATTTTATGGGCAGTAAATTGTGAAAAACATCTCTTTGTCTAGCTACCGATGTTGCTATATTGAGGTATACTGCACTAATAGGGTTAAGAGCAATCAGTAGTCTATCTGAAATACCTGGCTACTCCAATAATTATTAGTTTCTCAGACCTGCAGTAAAAAGACATTCTATTCATCGCATGCTAAAATTGGTCCACCAGTGAAATACGTAATGGTACAGTGCTACTATTTCACCGTTTAAACAATGCATTCAGTGACTGTTTCTAAGCCATCAGAGGACAAGATAAGAAAACGGTATCAATGTTAACGTTCGCACACAAACTCACACACCCAATGCCCATTTCACTTCATCCTGATGCAACTAGGGGTGAGAATATCGGGGTAATTCATGACTAAGTACAGTATTGATAATGAGAGTGTCACTTTACACCACAGACACTGTCATGTTAAGATATATTATTAGTGCAATTAAAGGGGAAAACCTTTATTATATAAAAAATAACCTTCACGAGCCGATGTCAGACTTTCTAATCAGTTGCCTTCAGTTTACCGAACACAACAAAGCTTGTTTTCATTCATTATCTTACAGCTGTCGTGAGTAGTATGTTGAACTGAATTTCTACTATTTTGTCTACACAAACTGATACAAATGAGGGAACTTATTACAAATACCTATTTATAAATTATAAGGAATTGTAAATACCTATGAACAATGTTCAATTTACTTGGTCTGTTTGTCTCATTAAAGTTTTCAATGCAATTCTTCGCACTGCATGAAGTCTCTCAATGTGAAACAATAGATACCCCCCCCCCACCCCCTGCAACTTTGCCCCAAAGAAAGTACTGTGGCAGGCACAACCACTAAATATTTACAAAAAAACAAATCTTACATTCTCCACATTTAAACGTCATATACACAGAGTACAAATGCATTGATTTACTTTGAAAAAGAATGTGACAATGTACAGATTTAGTGGATATTCCTAAACCCTATTTTTAGACGAATCACCATGTCAGTGCTGCCATGAGGCTATATACTATATATAATGTATCTTTAGGTTATAGGGGATGATTTAACTTAAATTATGACTAATGCATGAATTCTATCGTGTATAAAAATCCAACGCAATTTAATGAAAACGTAATTGGTTACAAGGCCTTATCAGGACCACTTTCCATTTTATTCTGTAACCAAGTTAAGTGAGAGGAAATGGAGGCCCATGTTAACGACAAAACCAAGGGCTCCACAGAGTTTCCCCTGGCCTCTAATTTAAGATGTACTGCAGCTGAATCCAGACAATGAATCTAGTTCGTGAGATTTATTTTTAACAGTTTGCAGACAAAAAAAAAAAAAAGCACACGTTCACGTCTGCACAAGTTAACCAGCGTTTAACTTTGCAAAGCACCTCGATGACCAAGCCTTTCGTCCAGCATCAAATAATGACAACGCTTAATGTTATTAAGACAACATTAGTGACGCTCAGCATGCGATAAAACTCTCCTTTTTACCGACTGTGGTCGTCTCATTATGTAAACTAGGGACGTTTTTTTGCTTTTTCCGGTTAGGGGGGGCACTAGGGTTACCGATTATTTAGCAGTGGTAGCTAAATTGGAAGCTAACACTAGCTTAGCAAACGTTTTCTGCCAACTTCTCAACCGGGATAAGGCTACTTCCTGGAATAGAATATGAAATTAAGGTGGTATTTTTGAATGTAAATACTTAACATTAAAACATGCAATCGTGTTAAATGTACAGCACACATGCAAGTAAGGTATATTAAGTACAAAAAAATGATTAATGTTAATTTTAGCACTAATTTGAAACAGCCAACTTCCAGCAAGTAAACTACTCCTAAAAAAAAAAAAAAAAAAATGCTAACAGCTAAGCTAACGTCCACGGCCCTTATAAAGCGCTTCACCCGAGTCTGGACCCCGGTGTTTCCTGACGCTGAAATACCAAAAAAAAATACCTACCTGGATGACCTCGTTGACCTCCCTGATACACTCCACCATATGCTGGAGGATCTGCTCGGCGGTCAAAACCTCGAAGCGGTAGTCCTCCTCCTCTTCCTCGCCGGGGCCGTGGCCACCGCCGCCAGTTTCGCCGCACTCGTCTCGCTCCCCACCGGCCACCACGGGATCGACCAACTCCACCTCCCCGAGCTCCAGGGTGTCGTCCTCGGGCTCCTCTTCGGCGCTGTCCTCGCTACATTCCTCTTCTTCGTCGTCGTATTCATAGTTATAACCCTCGTCTGAGTCCATTCCTAGGGGGGGGGGTGTTATCAACTTGTGACAATCACACCTAAAAAGGGTCTACAGTGTGAGAAATGTTGGTTGCGGAACCATACGGAAAAAAACCCAAATTTTTTATCCCGTGCCTGTTTTTCAGCTGCAGTGAAAATAACAACAAAACGTCGCCGCTGCTAAGCCAACAAAGAGACACCGCGTCACTGACTGACGACGCGCTTACGTCACATGGGCTGTACTATACTGCCCTACAAAGGCAAAAGGCAGTAACTTCAATTTTTTTTTTTTTAAATTAGTTTTTCTCATTTTTGGAACATTACAGATGTGCTTTATTATGTGGACAGATATCTTGAGTCAAATGTAGGTTGTATTTGCCTTAACTTCCAAAAGTTTATTGTGCTGAGGCATTATCATAGCCCATGAAGTTCTACTGAGATGTGATTATTGCTGGTTGAAAACTTAACCCAATTCCCGCCTAGATGACTTGAAATATAGTCAGTAACTTTATTTATTTTTTTTTTATTAGTTTTTCTCATTTTTGGAACATTACAGATGTGTTTTATTATGTGGACAGATATCTTGAGTCAAATGTGTTGTTTTTTGTTTTTTTTAGAAAATAGTAGGTTGTATTTGCCTTAACTTCCAAAAGTTTCTTGTGCAGAGGCATTATCATAGTCCATGAAGTTCTACTGAGACGTGATTATTGCTGGTTGAAAAATTAAAGCCAATTCCCGCCTAGATGACTTGAAATATAGTCAGTAACTTTAATTTTTGATAGTCTCTCAGGAGACTTGATTTTCTTGAAGATGGCCGTGTCCAGACGCCATCCGGGTTGCTCCCTGTGAAAGCCCTGGAGAAACCAAGGCAGAGTGCAGTAACTTCACTCATCAGGGTCTTTGTCTTTGTACTGCAGCATTCAGGAACGCTCAAACTGAGTTAAGGTCTTCTGCCTTTGTTTTACTGCAGATCAAAGTGAAGTTACTGTTTCACTGCAGTGGCGTTAAGGTGTTATGTCTTTGTTTTAATATCTGTCATCAAGCACTTCTGACACACACAGTAACTTGACTAAAGTGTAGCAAAGAAATAGTGTTTGGTTGTGTTATTTTAACAATGCAACAAAGTGAAATACAGTATCAAATGGAAGTTAATGCCTTTTGCCTTGCCATGACCCCGTTATTATTGTACAGGCAATGAAAAAGGCAGAGTACCTTAACCTCCAAATAAGGGTCAAGGGTCATGTTTGAGCTAAAGATTTATATGAACATTAATAACCTCATTAAAAAGACAACGAATTGCCACATTTCCAATATTCTGCATGCAACTCATTTGGCTGCACAACAAAAAGACTTTAAAGTCATTTGTCTTAGTTCTACACTCTTTTGCCTTTGTAGGGCAGAAAGCATTGCAATCCACAGCAGCTAAATGTACTCGAAACTATTTTTCTCACATTCAAATTGTTTCAAAACAAAACAGAAATGAAAAAAATAAAAATAAACCACGTGTTTATTTTCACTCTGGCGGTCACTGGTAGTCAGCAACGTGACAAAACCATAAAACATTTCCCCTTCATATACTGTTGGTATGGGTGACGGTAAGAAGAAGAAAAAAAAATCCTCTAGGATAAATAAACTATATGCGATTTGATCAGCAACTTTAATGTTTTACTGGTGTTTTAACTTTACCCAACCCTTATTCATTAGAAGACACAGACACGATCTGTGAAGCTGAGGCTATCTAGCCACTTGTTCATCATGAATACTTAATTTCAAACAGACCTTTATGCAACCTGCAAAATGTGTGAGGAACTCAAATCGCATTTTAATAGACTAGACTAGAGGAAATGTATTACAATAAAAAAAGGCGCACCTTTTGGCCCTAGTCACGTGACCGCATCGTCCTGAGCACATGACTTGCTGGATGGTTGACACCACAGTATTTGCTGTACTACCTGCCATCGCAGGACTACGCAGCCATGCATAAGGGACTACAAACTCATCCGAATTTTTATTTTCTTTTATTATCCATTCTGCAGGTGGGCTTAACACAGTGGAGGCAGTATGGCCATTACCCCAGACTTTCATCTCCTCATCGGAGCAATACCGACTTAACCCACAGACTTTCTACTTTGGATACGGAATGCAATCTGCCGCACAGCCAGGTTGTACCGTTCTGGATTCTGCATTCAAGAGATATTTTTCTCTTATTTTTCTGGACTTAACTTCCGGTAGGTTTTTAGATGATGGCTAAAATGAAAGTAAGATTTTACACTTCGCTTAAGTAGCCTAATAAGATCATGATAAAAAAAAAGAAAGAAATAGACTCATAAAGGTATTTTTAAGACCAGAATTTAGCCTTTATTCCATATTGTAAAGAACTTAGCAGCATTCAACGTAAACGCACAAATTCACAAAACCAAGGCTGAATGGATAGAAGACAGAGCAGTGCTCACCAGTTCAGTTTTGAATGTTTTGTTTGTCATGATGGCTTTTAAAGCAGATCAATGGGCTTTGTAGATACAGCAGTTCATCACTCAGGCAGTGTAGGCCTAGACCTGCTTAAACAATGTCAGTGGGCCAGAGTAGCACATTGATATATATATATATATATATATATATATATATATATAGAGGTGTTAGAATAATGGAAAATAGATTTTAACGTTACACTGATTGAAGTGTAGTGTACAGACAAAGCTTTTTACTTTTGCAAAACTAACCAAAAAGCAAATGACTATTATAATTTCCCTTTTATGACCAACAGGTTATGGTGCGCTTCGATTCAGTGTGGATAAACCATTTAGCGTTGAGATCAGTGTTGACCGTGATGATTGTGACGGTTATCCAAGTGAGGACTCTTCTGAAAAATGTAAGTAGCCTTTATCTGTGAAGGAGTACCACAGGTATGGCATTGACTATACAACTGTCCAAACTGGCTGGGTTTAATGTATTACTGACCTGCTCTTATTTGTGTTACAGACAATCTGACTGTCTCTGCAGGACGTGCATCTCTGAATGCACAAACCGTGTGGGGTGCTTTAAGAGGTGATCCATTTTTTTTTAAAAAGCATGCATGAACAAAGGATGACTTATGTAAAGAAAATCACGAGAAATACAGTAGCTCCTTTGAAAACAGCGTAAGTTAACAAGGGAGTAACACGTCTCCATCAAAGCCTGGGATTCGTCATGATACATAAAAATTTAAAAACTGCCTTAAAATTCTCACTTTAATCAGTGCTGAGTGTAACTATTTATCTTCTGATCAAGCACAGGTCTGGAATCATTCAGTCAGTTGGTGTATCAGGATGACTTTGGCTCAGTAAGTCAGATTTTTTCAAATGCTAAATATCATGTGGCATCTGAAGTCATTACCTTTTGAGATCACAATCTCATTTTATTATAGAACTTATAAATATGGAGGATGAATTAATTTATATACTCTATTCTGGCTTTGTCTTTTTTTTTTTTTCAGTATTTTGTGAACAAAACTGAGATTGAAGACTTTCCCCGCTTTCAGTTCAGGGCTATTTTGTTGGACACGTCCCGGCACTATTTACCAGTGCAGACCATTTTAAAAACTCTGGTAATAATCTGATGACATGATCTGATCCTCAGCCTTCAGTTTCATCAATCACACTTGTCATGATTGTCTGTATTAAGACATTTTTTTTTCGTGCTAGGATGCGATGGCCTACAGTAAGTTCAATGTGTTTCATTGGCACATTGTTGATGACCCCTCCTTCCCTTACCAGAGCCGCACCTTTCCAGACCTTTCCGCTAAGGTATGTCATGTAGTTTAAGACGGTTGTTTAACATCCAGGGAGTATAAACCATCTCAAGTCATGTGCACAATGATTCTGCACATTCACTTTAATTATCCTGCCAAAAAATGTGTCTTTGTTTTAGGAGATAAAAAATGTGTCTTTGTTTTAGGAGATAAAAAATGTGTCTTTGTTTTAGGAGATAAAAACTTGTGTATTTTATTCTTTGTAGACTTTTTACGAGACCTACTATGTTTTAGTAATGTAAGTGCTGAACCAATCCATTAACCTTGAACAAAGACTTCTGGCTCTGATTCAGGGGGCTTTCCATCCGATGACTCACATCTACACACAGTCAGATGTGAGGAGGGTGATCTCACATGGCAGGCTGCGGGGGATAAGGATCCTTCCTGAGTTTGATTCACCCGGCCACACTAAATCTTGGGGAAAAGGTATAATTCATAAACGCAATGAGACACATTTGCGTAAGTATTTAGTTATTAGTCGATTGATGCAAGAGAAATTCTTTAAACCAGTCTTGAATGCATAGTCTAAAAAAGGCAGCAAACCAGTGTATCTTTTGCATGAATCACATCTTATTTAGAGGATTCTCAAGGTCATGTCCTTGGCAACAAATTCCTTCCACTCATCAGACAATTCACCATAATGCAATGGTATTTACACAGTATTCATTTTCCTCTGACATTATGTTGATGGTTGGAAGCTCAAATGCTGACATTCTGCTCCGCTGCAGGATGAAAGTTATAGAAATGTTGTGTGTCTAACTAATCAACAACAATTTTACAACAATTAGACTGATGAGCAACTGAAAATACAATGTACGGAATCGGATATAGCTAGGGCAAATCGGGCCATGTTTAAAGGTAATCCAACACATTTGATAACCCGGTAGCAATGTCCAGAATCAACTAACAGTTGCATTCAGCCACTTACAGTACTAGATAAACTTACCATTAGCAGGGCAGTTGCTGAAATCTAATTATAAAAGTTTTACAAACAAAAGATGTAATTCCTTACTAACATAGTGCTAGCTTGGATGTAGTTAAATGCTCGAACAATGTATGTTGCTCCAGATGTTTACTAACACTTGTCTTTTCTAGTTGTGGATCTTGAAATTGTCAGATCCCTCTTTTATGACCGAGCCTGAAGCCACAGGAACATTTCTAGCAGTGCAAATAAAATGCAAGAAATGTATTCAAGCAAAATTCTGATCTTAAAACTGATTGATGAATGTTTTTTTTCCTCAGGACAGTCTGACCTACTGACTCCCTGCTACAACGGGGGTATCCCTTCTGGAACTTTTGGTCCCATAAATCCTACGTTACCTCCACCTACACGTTCATGGCCACACTATTTAAGGAAGTGTCGTCAGTATTTCCTGATTCCTATATTCACTTAGGAGGGGATGAGGTGGACTTTACCTGCTGGTAAGTTGAAATGTGACAGAGCATTGAAGTGTCTGTTCGATTTAGTGATTAAGACACGGATTTGCCGGTTTTGAGTGCTATTATTTGTTTGTATTTACATTTTTGCATCAAAAAAGTGCAAGGAATGTCAAAATGGTTCTTTTCATATGTATGCAATGTCCAATCCTACTTTCTTGACCACTGTATGAAGTGTGAAGCACATCATTCTTTTGTGCCTTTTAAAAAAAAGATTTATATAACAGGCATAGAAAGACAGACAATGTGGAGAGAGACGGGGGGGTAGGGGTGACGTGCACCAAACAGGACTGGGGATTAGACCTGTGTCCAGTGTGTTATGAACTGTAGCCTCTGTACAGTACATGGGGCGCCTGCTCTGCTAACTGAGCTAAACTGACACCCCCTTTGTGAATATTTAATTAGAAATAAAACAAATGTTTTTTTGAAAAAAATAAAAGGAATACAAAGGTAATTCTTTATGATGAAAGGTAAATTAGGCAACTTTTGAGTAGTTGTAACTAAGTACTTTCGAGCATCTGCAAACAAATGTTCTGAAATAATTAGCAAAATGACATGCATACAAACGGCTCGTACTGCTTGATTTCATAGGAGATCCAACCCTGATGTTCGTGCATTCATGCAGGCGATGGGCTTTGGAGGAGACTTCACCAAACTTGAAGCATTCTACATGGAGAAGTAGGTTGTAAAAGGGAACAATCAGTGTTAAAAACACTCTAAATAATTCAATAATGCTACAAATGTCATTCATTTCTTCAACATTTCCAGCATTATGAATATCACTTCAGCTCTCAACAAGACTTCTATAGTGTGGCAGGATGTGTTTGACTACCATGAGCGGGTAAGTACATCCAACAAGTATTAGCTTTATGATATGAAAAACCACATTCTTGTGTCGATGATGTTCATACAGGCTCACATTCTTAGATGAAAAAATCTATTAAAAATTCCACTAATTGTCACATTTCATTATTAGATGATTACCATCTAAATACTCTTTATATTATTTCTAATGATACGTTATATTATCCAGTACAGGGTTTTGCTAACTGACCAGTGATTTTAACAAGATCTAAATTTGGTGATATTTGAACATTATTTAGGTGGAGGCTTCAAATAAGCTTTTCAAATCTTCTGACTCTTCTTGCACTGAATAGTACTATTTTTTTATTTGTGTAAATATATTTTTTTACTGTGAAAATAAATATTGATTTAATTAATTAAAAAATATATTGTCTAACAAAGACAAACTAATGTATCACATAAACAGGGAATCAAATCTGATAGTGTTTAGCTTTGTGTTGCAGCGCAGCTCTCTGTCAGTGGTGGAGGTATGGAAAGAGGGCTGTTACCTGTGTGAAGTGCGCAGGGTTGCTAAAGCAGGGCTCAAAGTGATTCTGGCCTCTCCGTGGTATCTGGACCAGCCAGGCCCCTCACATAACTGGGCCCGCTACTACACTGTGTGGCCCCTCGCCTTCAAGGGTTAGAAAGTAACGTGTGCAGTGATTGATTGAAGTTGTGCAAACTGCTGTGGGTTTTCATTTTGATTGTTGAACAGCTTAGTTTCCTGTAAAATGTTTACAATTTTATATTTGTGGCCATGCCACTAGGTGGCATTAGAGACTGATTTTCATGTTTATTGTTAAAGAGAATTTTCAATTCCATATGGATGACCACAGCCCGATGGCTTACATGCACACTCGGTCCCTGAACATAAAGTATAAACATAAAAACAGTGGAAACAAAGCTTCTCGCGTCATGTAATGAAAGTATAGGCAGACAAAGAAGAGAGAAAGCAAACTAACCAAACCTGACTGTAGTTCTTTTAGATTCAGGCGGTTCATTAGATATTCTATTATTGAGCCATGATGAGTTGCTAAACTCCAAAAAAAAAAAAAAAAAGCCTTTTTTTTTTTTTTAAATATATAATGGTATAATGTACATTATATTGTACCTGACTCTGCAGTGAACAGATTTTGCTCTCACTTAAAAAACATGCATGCCCATAACCTGAAATGTCAATGGTTGAAGCAATCAGACAAGCAAGGTAGAAAAAAATATATTCCTTGCATTTTCGCTGCCATGACAGGATGTTCAAGTGTTTCTGAAAAGACACTCAGAAGTAGTTGTTGGTGGAAATGTAAATAAATATATTATTAATATTATGCAAATAATTTCAAAACCTCACAACCACTATAAATGTTTCTTATTTTTCTATTCAGGAAAACTGCCCGTGCTGTCAAATGTGGATTAAGGATTTTTCGCAAGTCCATTTTCTGAAACATAAAACAAACATAGTTTTGAATAAATTAATCAGTACGAGAGAAAAAGAGAGCAGCTTGGTCTTAAGCAGTGTATCACAGAAGGGCAAGACAGCATGTTGTTTGTCACTCTGCGCAGATTCCTAAGGACACAGTGCTGCATATCTGGAAGGGTGTACCAGCTAAAATTAAGGAAGAGCTCAGCAGGATCACCAAAGCTGGCATGAGGGTCCTGCTGGCGGCCCCATGGTACATCAACCACATTTCCTATGGCCAGGACTGGCGCAACTACTATACTGTGCAGCCACAGAACTTTTCTGGTGTGTGCATGGCCAAGTAAATTCACATCCTATTATAAGTAACGTTTGTGCTGGTGATGAAAGCTGTCAAGCAAAATGGGCAGTTTTCTACACCCCTTCTTCTTGAATTTTGACTTGAAGTTGTGTGCTGAATTTTGATTTAAAGATTCTCATAAGCAGTAAACTCACAACCCGCCGGTCTGAAACCTGTGCAGTTTTCAATTCAAAGGTTTTTAATGTCTCATCACAGGTACTGAGGAACAGAAGAAGCTGGTGATAGGGGGTGAGGTCTGCATGTGGGGAGAATATGTCGATGCGACCAATCTCATGCCACGTCTTTGGTACGAAATGAAATATACACCTGAAATCACAAACTACTTTAACTGATATAGTTCAGCAACAATAACAAGATATCACATTTAACCGTGGCTGCAACCAAACTCACAGGCCAAGAGCAAGTGCTGCAGCAGAGAGACTGTGGAGTGATGAGCAGCAGACCTCCAATGTGGACAAGGCTTTTCCACGATTGCAGGAGTTTCGCTGCAAGCTCTTGAGGTACTTTTATTTTTTTTACCAGCGCTTTTTATATAATTATCGCTGACATACCTCTAAAGAGGTTTCTCATAATGTCAGTTCTGAAACATACTTGTGGTTTTGCTCTACTGTCTCCTTAAGGCGCGGCATCCAAGCAGAGCCTCTGTATGTTGGACACTGCAAACATGAGTACCAAGGCATTTGAAGAATTGAAGAACTGGATGGACTACTGTTCCATTGCAAGATCTTTTCTGGAAAGAGTTTGAACTTCTTAAGTTCACAGTTTGATTTGAAGCTGATTTTGGGAAGGAAAAAAAAACAGCAACAAAACAATCTTGTGTGGTGCCTTTAAGGTGATATGAAATCAGTGATACATATTTTGTTTTTCCAGTCTAAAGTTAGGTATGCACATACTGAAATGCTTTCTCAGGGACTAAGGGAGAGGAGCATGGTTGAAGACAGTTGGTGGACCTCAGCACAAGCATGTGCAAGAGGGTTGGGCAGTTGTCAGGAAAACACATGATCTCAGCAGGGAAACTGCCAAACCCTTTTTGATTTGTACAATCATCTTTCTCATAAGGGAAGGTGGCGCTCCAACCCCAAAGAAGCAGGGGAATTTGACGGGAAATACAGACCACAATTCTTTCATTCCACTTATAATTTAATTAAAATCAACATTTCCAGAACAGTTTGGGGAAAACAAACAAGCCAGCAAATTCTGATCTTATTTAGGGTCAGATACTAGTTGATTCACTCTCTTATATATTACATTTCATTAAAAATGACTATTCAATTGTACTAATTGGAAACTTTTTTAGTTTGATTTCATCATTTTAGGTTTGTTAGAGAGTTGACTGACCTTAACCACAGCGTACAGGTAAAGAAATCCTCAAAAAGAAAAGTAGTTCTGTCAGCTGAGAATGTGAGATTTTCTGTCAGGTGTTGAAATGCCTTTTGTGACCCGTCTGCCATTTGTGTCTGCAGCTAGGCTCCTTAAACTCACCTATCACTTATATTTTCTCCATCTTTTTTTTTAGAACTAAAATGCTTTACTTTTACATTTTGTATATGCTCACTGACAATATCGAAAGGTTAACAAAACCCTCCTTTGAGGAAGTGAAAATAAATGTAATTCAATTTTAAATTACTTCATGCAAGAGGACAGCAAAACATCAACGTAAGATTTTTGAATTTACATAGAAAGTCTGCCAGAGTGCTTCTGTGCTTCTGTGTTTCTGTTTTGTTTTTATATTTTTCTTAATTGCTGTTGCAGTGAAATAAATCTCTGCCTCAAATCAAAATGATAGGTTGTCATTTCACATGACGGGATTACGCATGCTGTCTGTCAACAGAACAGTTCAATTCTGAAGAAGTCGATTAAAGTAAACATCATATCCTGAAGGAGTGATCCGTCTCTTATCTCACACGCTAACACATTTTAAACCACTTTGAGGATTGGCTCACCTTAACACCAGTTTCAATAACACATTGAGTTATATGTATGATTAAGAAGTAGAAGTACACAATCTGTATTAACTATTTAAAATGCAAAGCATTGACTTGTAAGGCCCTGTTTTTGTCATGGTCAGCAGAGCCCTCATCATGTTTAAGGTCTTATATGCCGCCTAAAAGTAAACCAGATGAGGTCTGAATTAACAGCAAGACCCAGCAGCTCTTTTGACTGTACATATTCTGTAATGTGTAAACCCATAATAGTTCCACTTAAACAGAGAATCTCATCAGCAGAGGCCTGAGTCAGTTCAGGTTAGCTACTAGAATGTGTCTGTCCAGACCTGTATTTAATAGTAAAAGGCATTTGACCCCCTCCATGGCCAACCGGGGATTAGCAATGCTGTGATGGTGCTGAAATCACTGATTTCACCACATTACCCTGCAATAAGGATGGCTTGAAAAGTTTTTTGTTTTTATTTCTTCCTCATTTTTGAGTGATTACATGAAGCTTTCAGGGGAAAACATCACAGCAAACAGAGGGGTAAACTGATTCTGTCCTTCTGTTCTAATCTTAAATCGTTTTTGCCTAGATTTAATTTGGTTTGTAATAAATATGTTATATCATTTTTTTAAAAAGTGTTAGTGCTTGTTGGTCATGTTTAACTATTTAGTCAGAATATCATCTAACACAAAAAGGTTGATGAACAATGGTTATGACAAAATCATTCATATTAAGAAGTGTAATCATTTCAAATTTCAACAATGTAATAATAGTGCTGATTTACATTTAGATATCCTGTAAAAAAAATATAAACTATTTTTATCATTCTAAAGAGAAGGAGCTTTAAATTAGAAAACAACCAGATGTAAACATAAATAAATAATCCCTTTTTCTGGCTCCTTTGTCAGCACTTACATGGATTTAACAGGAGTCTCCTTGATGTTCATGTACCTGTTGAATCGAGCAGACATGACTTTGATATGGACTGACTTTTCTCATTGTGTGGATTACAGTGGCAGCAGATGGCAAGGCGGGGCAATCCCTGGTAGCCATGCTGACACCTCAATCCTTCTACTTCATCTGACTTGGGGAGTCGGGGTGGGGGTGCATAGGAAATGCTGAACTGAACCTAACAAAGCTTATGAAGCTTGATTATCCATTTTCTGCTGCCACTTGAAATCAGATGGACATGCTGAGTGCCGTGTAATAGCATGTTTTTGCTACAGGGCGAGTAAAAAAAGATTACCTAGCTGGGAAATGATATTGTCTTTAATCTTTGGATTTGTCTTCTTTATATTTTAGGTTTGTAAAAAAGAAAATACAGGTCGCTTTTTAGGTGTAATTTTGCCCATGTTTTTATTTTTTTGATAATGAAACTAATTACCAAGATGTTTTTTTATTTTTTTTATCACAATCAATTAAAAGATTTTCTTAGAGTTTTGTATTCAAATAAGAAACAAATAGGCTACCATCCTCAGTAATGTCATATTTGATGTAAAATTAAGGCACCCATTCCTTCTGAATAAAAAGGTTGCCAACAATTTTAAGAGTTAATCTCAGTCTTTGACAATAGCTGCCATTCAAGAAGCTTATATCAAAAAGCTGCTTAGGCTGATATAAAGATTTGCCAACTTCCAACTTTCAAGGGTATCCTCTGAAGGATAACACAATTTTGTTTATCAAATGTGTGTGTGATGTGTTGAATGTGCTTTCCATGTTTGATTCCCTGTAACTTCCTTCGGTGAAATGTACTTGAATTAACAGCACTCTTAAGCTAATAACCATGCAGCTGATCTGTCTGATCTGACAACCATCTGAGCAAGGGTTTTCCCCTTGACGTGTGTTCAATCACCTGTAAGGCTCTGTCATCATAAATGTCTCCGCTAAATATATAATCATCTAGCTGGCTCATAGCATGGGGCTGCTAAAGATTCTCTGCGTCTGTGCAACAATCACAGGGCTGAGGGGTGAAGAAACATGACAGTTATCCCTGCCAGGCAAAACCTCAAAGCAGCCCTTTGCCGATGGCAGCAAAATCACATCTTATTCTCACAACAACTTATGAAGCCTGAATCCCACAAAATGGCAGAATGACTACGATGAACAACATAATGTTTTGCTCGTGTGAAGCCCTTTATTAGCATATTAATATCACTATAAGGGTATCATCTTTGGACAAGAATTTCACAAAGTTTAAAAAGGGAAACAGTCTGAGATTAGTCCTCAAAGATGATTTGATATGCATGTTCACTTCATGTCTAACGGTTTGGAGTTAATCAGCTCACCCTGACATGTGAGTGACACCTGTTGTGTAATCTGATATGAGACTCCAGATATCTCAGTGCTGCTTAGGTCAGATGTATGTATTTTTAGGCTCGCACATACAGCATGTTTAGAAGATGTTTTGCTTGTAGTATAGTTTAAAGTTATTCAATGGTATAGCCACAGTTTGCTTCACTCAGTCTGACTGAACACAGTACTTTATGTACAATGTTGTCTAAATATGTGTGCATTTCATTCTTCATACACTTTCATGTATGTACATAAAAGTGTATGAAGAATGAAATGACACTTTTGCTAAACAAAAGCGACAACTACAATGAGGAGTGTAAAAATAATTAAAGCTCCTACAAAGACTTTTTAAATGGTTATGAAACAGACTGATGATAGTATTGATGTCACTTTATAACCTAACAAAAGCAATCAAGACCATCAGTGAGTGGATTGATTTCACAATAAATTGTAGTGCCTGTAAACACTGCCTTAGGGTTTAGGTTTCAGGCAAAGTTGTCACTGCCAAAAAAAACAACATATTTCCACATTTACCACAGCAACGATTCTCAGTGAGTGAAACATTTTAATGCTGAAAAAAATAAGCATGAGATTTTATTTGAAAGAAAACGACTTACACATGTACAGGACAAAGATCGGGCAAGTCCACTTTGCCTACAGGGGTCGTCAAAATCAACACAAACAAAAAGTTCCTCGCATGAGTTATAATGTTATACAACAAAGGTGGCCTTAATTTGAATAAGAAAACTTAAAAGAGTAATGGGAAGATTGGATTGGATCGTTACAAAGTTGTTGTTTTATCTATAAGCATGGTTTTAACTGTACGTTTATATGTTTTTGATTAGCTGTACATTTTCATCTGCTGCCAAAGCCATTCGTTTATTATGAAGGTGCAAAATAAAAGGCCTGTTTTCTGCACACTGGTATGATACCAATGCCACTATGTCAGTTCAGCTGCTCAAGCCTTTTGGACCCGACTTCCAAATGGTTTTGTCACTGTGTCAAGATGAAAGCAAATTTTAAACTGCAGTTTGGGTTCAAATGACTCAGTGGGCACAAGAGGAATTCCCCTAGACTTTAATCCTTTTATACACCAGTTTAGTCAAACAGAAAGAGCACTGTTTTCAATACCATGTTGTATCCCTAAAATCAAGAGTGACTTAATACGGATTACAGACATGATCGAGTTCAATCCTGGGACAGACACAGCAGCATATCTAGTGTCTTTGCTACTCTTGATCTGATCATACAGATGATTAGATGGTGCGAGCTATTTTCAAAAATGACTACAATCATCATTATGGACATGACAATACGTGCACACATTATTATATCTGATACTTCTGTGTGGAAATCCGTGATGTAATAATGCTTAGAAGTGAGAAGAAGAGGAAAAAAAGAGTGACCTGTGAACTTCGATAATAGTTAATTGCAGTGTGACTAATTAAGTAGACAGAGAGCAGGCACCATATGGCACAAGAGTGGAATTAAGGGTCAACTTGTTGCTTTTTCAATCTCTGCACTAATTGTTTTTCTTCTCATCGCCCCCCTTTGTGGGCCCCCTCCAATAAGAAGAGCACTTTTCATGAAAGGTTAAGCTACTTTGCTGATTTGGGGTGGCTGTATTCTCCTGAGGCCATTAGTGTCATTGACAGGACCAATATGTCACAGAGGGAATATCTGTAACCCCTCTGTTAACCACAAAGCCTTTTTAACAGAAAGCTGCAGGACGAAAAGAGTGGGACCAATATCACAACCTTTTGCTTGTACACAAATCTCTTTTATATATAAGTATATTCATTTCACACTCATATGACACCCACATAAGATATGCAACACTACAAAATGCCACTTAAGCAGTTACTTTTGCATTGCAGAATAACTTTACATAAACAAAAAAACAAGTGCTTGGGGGCGCTGATGGAGTAGCGGTTAGGTCGCGCCCTGTATGTAGGCTGTGGTCCTCCAGGCGGGCGGCACAGGTTTGGCTCCCACCTGCAACTCCTTTCTCATATGTCATTCCCCACTCTCTCTCCTGATGTCTTACCCTATCCAATGTCCTATCTTAATAAAGGCAAAAGCCCAAAAACATCTTTTTTTTTTAAACAAGGGCAAGCTTGGGCTTTAAGAGTTTAAAATGCCTATTTATAAGAAAGAAATGTAACCGTGGTTACAGCGCTTCAATTAAGTCCTCGTCATTAAGTGCCATTTGAGAAAACTTCAGGTTACAACCTGACATATATTCTGTATATAGAATAAGTTATAGTACACGTTGTGTTGAACAAAAAAGAAGTGACAATTATACCAAATATTGTACAGCAAACATGTATTTGCAGGTAAGAAGAAGAAATGTTACCTGATAATGCCCTGGCCCCTTCCCCAGCATTAGCAGGACTTCATTGTTTACAGAATAATATAAATAATTTCCTAATCAGCTAATAATAGTTCATTTATCTGTATGTGGGTAAGAAATAACACATATTATTTCCTTTGTCCTTTCAGGGTTCACCTTTGTTTAATATAGTTGTGCATGTAAGCGGTGTGACTGATTGATTTACCCTTATAGACGGTAAAGATTAAGAGGATAACAAATCACCATTTGCTTACACAGCGCCTGGTGCTAATCTCCTTGTCTTCCTTCAGAAAGCCCCAGACGTCTCAGGCTCACACCCTCATTCTGGCACAAAGAGGGACAGAAGAAGACCAGTAGTAACTCTGTTGACCAACCATTACATCAGAGACAACCAGAGGACAACAGCGCTGGATCATTAGAAGCAAGAATTCCAGGAGTAACTATCTGATGGTCGCTGAACACCTTGACTATTAGCTGTAGTGAAAGGAACAACAGATTCTTTTATCTTTTCCATATTTGTGTGGCATTGCCATGTGACCTAATTTTATTTATTTTTTTAAACTCAGTCAAGTTATCATAAAAAAAACAAAAAAAAACAAACATCTGAAACAGAAGAGGAACTTCTTCTGGGAACATTTATAACTTGAGGTTTAGACACTAAAACACGTGAAGATGGAGGAGCACAGGGCCAAAATGAGCATGTTTTCTTCTGACAGGACGGATGACTTCACAGATGGGACTGAAGGAGGTGAGTCATGTTTTTATATGCAATTGTTGTAGTATAAAATATCGATAAATAAATGGGCTAAAACAGTCAAAAAATCGAATACACTAGTGGCACAATGAGGTATTCTCTATTGATCTTCAAGGGAGCTTAAAATACAGTTTATTTCTGCAATCTCTTTTTCTACAGATAAATGTTCTGTACCGGGTAAAGCACTTGGCCAAGGCCTTCTTTGTAAAGTGTGTTCAGATGCAAGCAGTGGTAAACACTATGGCATCTATGCATGTAACGGCTGCAGTGGCTTCTTCAAGCGTAGTGTGAGAAGAAGACTCATCTACAGGTGAGCAAGAGCTTACTTTTACTTTGAATACTTTGTATATATAATCCAGGAAAACAAATGTTAATAATACATTCGTTTCAACGAGTGATTGTCTTTATTCAGAAATCATTTTTGTGTGTGTAAATATTTAAGGTGTCAGGCTGGGACTGGTGGGTGCCCCGTAGACAAGGCTCATCGGAACCAGTGCCAAGCTTGTCGACTAAAGAAATGTCTCCAAGCTGGCATGAATAAAGATGGTGAGAAAACGCTCATTACCTTGATTTGGCAGAATGTGTTAAATCAAATGTTTTCTATCCATATAGCACCATTTTTGAAATAAGATTTTATGTCAGGACACTTACAAACGCTTTTTATTAATAACAGTGACCTAACATTGTTCTGTTAATTAGAAAGCTTAACTGGTGTCAAGAGAAATCCTTATCTGTGAATTTTACCTAAAAGTAACTTTTTAACCAAACACTTAAAAGTAGAGAGGGTGTGCGCCTCCCAATCCAAACTGTTATAAAGGGGTCGGGTTATTAAAAGTTCTACCTTCCATACTACTCTTGTAGACTTAAAGCACCACAGGCGAAACCTGCATTCTGTAAGCACAATGTTCTTGAGGGTTGATTGGAAAATCTGAGCTCTTTCTCGGCACATCATTTTTTGCCACAGTGCGATTAAATGAAAAACTCTGCTGTTTAGTAATTTGTTACTCACCTGTATCTTTGGCAGCCGTGCAGAATGAGCGACAGCCTCGAAGCACAGCACATGTCAGTCTAGACGCGATATGTGTGGACACTAAAAAGCAGCATCTAACCACTATACGAGAGCTAACCTCCCCTGCCGCCTTCTCGTCAGTCATCTGTAGACCTGTGGTCACTCCCTCTGTCACCAACTCTTCCACGGTCCAGCACTGCAGCAACCCCAACAACAACCATCGCTTCATGGTCAGCCTACTGACTGCAGAGACCTGCACAAAGCTGGAGCCTGAGGATGGTAAGATCAAATGATGGAAGTTAAATTAGGACACACAAAACAATGAAGGATTGTCATTATCTGAACTGTAACGATGCACTTCAACATCCCAATATTTTCAACATGGCGTGCCTCTCTTTTTCTAATGCACAGTGGAGGAGAATATCGATGTGACAACAAACGATCACAGAGAGATCGGTCTCCCTCTGACTGCCCAATGTCCCCGTACACCTCCAACTGTTCAGAGAGTATCTATGAAACATCAGCACGACTCCTCTTCATGTCCGTCAAATGGGCCAAAAATCTGCCCGTTTTCGCTCACCTTCCATTCCGAGACCAGGTGAGACTGAATGACAAACGTTTCTGTATAGTTACACAAATTTAAATGATGTGTGAGGCTGATTAAATGTTTTCTGCGTATGACGCCCTCAGGTGATTCTCCTTGAAGAAGCTTGGAGCGAGATGTTCCTGTTGTGTGCCATCCAGTGGTCCCTCCCGCTCGACAGCTGTCCTCTCCTGTCTCTGCCAGAGCTTTCTCCCACACAGCAGGGCAAGATCAGCCTCCCCACAGCTGACCATCGCATACTGGAAGACATATTTAACCGCTTTAAGGCCCTTGCAGTTGACCCCACTGAGTTTGCCTGCTTGAAAGCCATTGTCCTGTTCAAACCAGGTGAGAAGTTATTCCGTCACAATGTATTGGCTGATAATAAACTGACATTGCAAATAACGTGTGCTGTTTGATTCGCAGAGACACGCAGCCTAAAAGACCCAGAGCAGGTGGAGAATCTGCAGGACCAGTCTCAGGTGTTACTAGGCCAGCACATCCACTCGGTGTACCCCAGCCAAAGTGCCAGGTATGATTCAAATCAGAAGATCATGTTTTAATTTTTTTTTTTCATTCAAAAGCTAGAAAGCCAGAAACATAAAGTTAAATCCTCTTTGTTTCTGTGTTTTAAGGTTTGGGAGACTGTTACTCCTGTTGCCATCCCTCCACTTTGTGAGCCCGGAGAAAGTAGAGCAGCTTTTCTTTCACAGGACCATCGGCGGCACACCCATGGAGAAGCTGCTCTGTGACATGTTCAAAAATTAAACAAGCATTGAGGGACTCAGAATGACACTTTCAAGGGAAAAACACAATGAACCAGCCATCTGGCAACATGTTTTCAGTTGACTAGGCTTATTCAAACTGAAGCACATTGGAATTTGTTATTTGTTACACTTTTTTGTGTGTAAATATTCAATTTTGTTATACCCCAGATTTACCCAAATTCTGTAGAAGGAAATGTTGTTGTTTTTTTTTAATTACAGGTTGTCAAAGAATATGTGTTGAAATATGTTGAAATGAATAAGGAATTTTTTTGTTGCATGTCGTTTGAAAATATGTTCATTTCTGGTCTTTTTTTTGTACTTACCTGTTTTTCTGATAAACAGAAGTGATCACAGATGAAGACTTAATCCAAAAAGCGTACAAAACAGACACTATGCCTGACCAATGCATATTAGAAAATACCTATTGTTTATAATATTTTTTTAACAACCACATTCTCGTATCCTTTCATAACACGTATGTGTTTGTATAAAAGAAGCCATTAAAAAAAAAATCACTCAAACATCTATGTTCAAAAAAACGATTTCTGGATCTGATATGATTTTTTAAGCAGATATAAATCAATCAATAGAAATAACTCACAAGACATGATCCACAGTTTTTGTTCCAAAATGTGTTATTGATGGCATCTATCAGAAGAATTAAAGCGTTTAAAGTTAAATTGAACTGTAAAAATCTCTGAAATGAGACACGACTTGAGGGCCAAATGTTTCTCAACTGACTTGTGGCTTTGTCCTGTAATGGAAAGAATAGAAACTCCAGTTATGCTACAATAACGCAAGGGGGCGTTCATGAGCAAAATTTGCTGAAAAGTAGCCAACGAGTCGATAAACACCGAGAGGAAGAGCTGCAGCAAGATTGTAAATAATAAAAGCTAAACACGGAAGGACGAGCTGATATTACATCCTTAAGCGTCCTGCGTGTTGGTGTTAGTTTTCATAAAAACGTAGCTTATGTGAGCAGGTTTGACAAACAACTAACTGGCTTGCAGACTGAAAACTAAGATGTTATTCTTGTAGGAGAGAATAAAAATAGTTATTTGAGCTCACAATGTTTAGCAACTCCTATCAGCTGCTCCCCCAAAGGGACACTACAAGTCCGAGGACTCCTGGCTTGTTTGTGGACAATGATGGCTTCACACAGAGCGGCTACCACAAAGGACTTTCATTTGATAACATGCCCAAGGTTTTTCATCATGACTTCACAGGTATGTAGAGAACATGACATCATACATGAGCACATATTTCTCTTATAACCTCATGAACAACTATATCCAGTGGAGGAGGTGGCTGGCTGAAAAACCAGCCCCCATTTTTATTGTTACTTTTAAGTAAATACCTTTTGAAATATGAAAAGGTTACAATTTAAGTCTGCCCAACATGCCGTAAACACACAGCCATGCTCTTCAATTGCTCTTTATTATTCATCTCTAACATTGTATCCACAAAGTACATGAGCTTTTTCAGTTTGACAAACTAAAAAAACAACAACTAACAAGTGGAAGCAATTAAAAGAGATACTGTAACATTAAAGGTCCAATGTGTGACGTCATGGCGTAGCCTCATTCCCAACGTTTATCTCGAAGTCCTCTCACCAAAATGTCCCATTTCTTTTTTCTCCTAAATTGCACACGGTTAATATTTGTTTAATGGTAAAATTGTTTTCATAAGCAAAACTTTGAGGCTCCAAACCATCCTTTCCTATTCTTTGGAGAGTTGAATTTAACTACTTTATAAGTTTGGCCCTGATAGAAAATTTAAAAAAGGCGGAAGGTTTTAAGAAAACTACAAAAACGTATTTGCTGAACACCCTGTTTTAAATGAATTGGATGTTTGTAATATACAGCATTTTGTAGCATAATATCATGAATGGTATTTTCTTGTACAATTGAAAAATATATTTACTTATTTATTTTCTGTGTATATTTTTTATTTATTATGTCACACTTTCATCCTTTTATATTTGTGTCAGTTTTTTAATTTACATTTGTTGAACAGCTCTCATGTTTAATGTTCATGTTTATTTGATTTAATGTGTAAATTGGGCATTGGCCGTTAAATAAAATAAAAATAAACAACAAAATGTTCTCAGAGACCGACACTCTTTTGTTTCTTTCTTTTCTTCTAGATACATCACAGGGTTGGCTGTCATGGATTTGTAACCTGATTGTCATCTTCCTCGTCTACGTCTGCACCTTCATAACATTTCCTATAACGGGATGGTTTGTATTAAAAGTAAGTTGAAATGGTCCTCAGCAGTTTCACTGGATGTAAAATATATTTTTGGTAATAAAATAAACCATTGTTGACCCATTTTTTCCCCCCTGTAGACTGTGCCTAACTACCAGAGGATCGTAGTGTTTCGTTTGGGTCGAGTTTGCTCTCCAAAAGGCCCTGGTATCGTCCTCGTGCTGCCCCTCATCGACCAGTGGCAGAGAGTAGACCTACGCACCCGAGCTTTTAACATCCCTCCATGCCAGGTATGATAAATGATGAAAACCTTTTGGACAGGTAGTAGTAGTAGGTGATGTGTGAGATAATATAGTTAAAACCACGGATTTTTGTAGTTCCCTGCTATAGCCTCATATTAGAGCATTAGATCAAACTTTGATAGATTAAGTTTAGATCATAGTATGCATTTTTTAATTTTATAAAATCTCTTTGTACCTGGAGTAATTTGCACTGTAAAGTTACAATCATCGACATCTGAGCCACTTTCAACTTCAGCACCATCGCTGAATCAAGCAGAGCATTATGTAAAGATGTCATATATTAAATATTTGATTATTTTACAATAAAACTGAATCTAAGGTTTTTTTTTCCACCAACTATTCCAAGTAACATTTTCTGATATGGTTGTGTTATACATTTTGACCAGCAGGTGGCTCTCATGTTGCACTGTTGATCAGTGGGAAACTGGTGACTGTCAACTCATTTATACTGAGTAACAAGTTTTTTAGTGGAACTGCTGATTGTGTTTTGTGTTCCTTATGATACAAACATTGAGTCCATAAACTTTCTCCATACTCAGTCCATACTCCTCTTTTTTGGAGGGTTGAATTTAACTAGCTTGATAACTCCTCGGCCCTGATAGAAATTTTTAAAAAGTACAAGGTTTTAAGAAAACTACAAAAACATTTCTGATATATGGTTGTATGATCAATTTTGACCAGCAGGTGGCACTCCCGTTGCTCTGTTGATCAGTTGTCCATAAACTTTAGACTTATATGCAAATTCACATCTGGTTGCAAAGTTTTGTTTTTTAATCTTAATCATGTATCACAGTTATGAGTTTGTTTTTATTTTATCTATGAGGAAACTGGTCACAGGTCCAGTAAACACTTCACTGTATTACAGAGTCAAGGTGTCAGTCTCATGTCACTTGAACCTAAGTTACATCAGGTCTGTCCTTCCTAGGGGGCAGAATTTGTGAACCGTATAGTAAGCCTTACAGAGCCGAAACCTTTTAGTCAGTCTGCATTTAGAAATTCAAGAGCTGTTTCAATATTCCATAGTTTGTAACAAATTGTTAAATGACCAGTTCTGGGTCCACGCTCATGTAAAATGTAATTCTGCTACTGTAGGTGAATACTCTGGATGGCGGTGTTTTGTTAGTGGGGGCAGACATCCAGTTCAGGATCTGGAACCCCGTCATGTCAGTGATATCAGTCCAGGACCTGAACGCCTCAACCAGGATGGCGGCACAGAATGCTTTGACCCACAGCCTGTCCAAGAAGAGCGTCAGAGAGATCCAAAGTGGGAGAGTTAAGCTGGGAGAATATCTTGGGGTGAGATATTCTCTTTCTTTTTTTCTGGGTTTGTTTTTTCTGCATCACATCCACCTGATATCCCTTATCGCTCTGTTCAGATGGACTTAAATGAATTAACTCGACACTGGGGACTGGAGGTGGACAGAGTAGAGCTTACCCTTGGCTCTCTAATAAAAGCGCCAGAGGAAAGTCTCTCTGGATCCCTCATCATGCCTCCCTCTGTGCCTGGACTGGAAGGCCTCACTGGTCCCATTCAGCAGCTGGCCATGCACTTTCTAGGTCAGAGTGGAATTTCACAGCCTAAACAAGGTATTGAACCAAAACTAAATACAGTATTTTTACAAAATGCAGCAATTGTGAGAATTGTATGATACATCTGTGGCTTTTTATTCTTCAGAGGAAACAATAACTTTCACAGATGAGCTCATCGGGCCCACTGAGGCAGTTGTGGTTACACCAGGCTCGGTTGAGGAGCTGCTTGGTGCGGTGAAGCTCCTGCTTTCTGAAGCTTTGGTGCAGCAGGTTGGGGCCTGCTTCCAGTTTGATATCGGCTCCAAAGATGGACAGCAGTGCAGTTACTACGTGGACTTGAGCCAAGGTAATGCACACATCGCTGTAAATGTGCAAAATGTATTGAGATAAATTCATCATAACTCTGATGGAACAGAAACAAGAGTGCTGTTACATACATTTTTAAACATCTCATTCTCTCTCTGTATGTGTTGTGTTTGTGTAGGTAGCGGTGCAGCAGGCGCAGGGTCCACGTGCAGAGAACCAGACGTCAAACTGAGTATGAGTGACAGCGACCTTCTCGCCATGTTCCGGGGCGAGCTACGACCATTTGCTGCTTACACGAGTGGCAGGCTGAAAATCCAGGGAGACATTAAAACTGCTATGAAACTTGAGGAACTCATAAAGCTTGTTAAGGGATAACTGCTATAGTCATTTTATAGATTATTTAATCAACCTTTCTTTGTTTTGTTGTGAAGTAAATGTTTCATGTGTGCACTTTGAAGGAATATTAATACTTTTTTAGGTCAGAGACTGGTTTTAGATAGGTTTCATTTCATTGCACAGTTAGTGCAAACTGTAAAAACCTCTCTAACCAGACTTGAGCTCTGGCCAAAATGAATATGTCAGTGATAGGAAGCAGCAAACTTACCCAAAGATCTGAAGTGGCCTTAGGTTTTTCTCTGAGAAGCAACAAGACACAGTGAAAAACCATCGCCAAAAGGGGGAACTGCCTGGACTCCTTGAGGACTCTTTTACACTGAACTGAAAACGGGAAATGCACTCTTATTCACATTAATTTTAATCCGACATTAGAGGACTTTTCTTAAATGGAATGAAAAAATAAAATCATACCTATAAAATAAATGTCAATATGAACAATTGGAGCCTGATTTTTTTTTTCCCACAAGTAACTGCAATTGTCATCAACTGAGTTTGTGTTTCTGTTCGTCCTTCTTCACATATCAAAACAAATTTGTGTTTGCAAAGATAACAGACTTTCTGAAGGTCGTCAGGCCCGATTTTAATTCATCATGCTCCTTCAAGTTACTGAGAAACCCTTTAAACAGAAATGTGTTTGCTGGGTTTTTTAGCATTTAAAATATCCAGTAAGTATCCTAAATCAGACATGTGCTGTGGTTTATTCTATTAACATGTTAAATTTAGTAGAACAGCCTTGATCAGCACAGACAGGGGGGGGGGCTGACTATTTAGACCAGCCCCTTTCTACTTCATATCTGGGAGAACCAGTCTACCTTCTGAAGGTTGGGATTTTTGTTGTCAGGATGGCAAAGTGGAGTGTGTGGCGTAGTCCTGTGATGCTCCCCCTGTCCTGGATAGATGAGCTGACTACGACGGGTGTGCGTTATAGCAGCAGTTTGCCCGTGATCAGGCAGGCATATTCAGAGAGCAGCAGCAGCATCGTTCGGCCTTTCAATGAGATTCCCGGACTGTGGAAAAACGGGGTGGCCAACTTGTACCACTTTTGGAAACTGGATGGCTTCAAAAACCTGCACCGCATCATGTTGCAGAACTTCAACACTTTTGGACCCATTTACAGGTATGAATGGAAGTGAGACGCTAAAATAGAGCTGTGTGTGACATATTTCAACTGTCAAGATAAATAACAAATAGACAAAACAAATGATTCCATCACTATTTTGTAAAAAAAAACTTCTGTGTGCAAGTACAAATGTTTTTGTTTTTAAAATGTGTCTCACATTCCACAAGGTCATGTTTTCTGAGAGATTTTCTACCCTTTCCGTTTCTGTACGGCAGAGAGAAAATAGGTTATTATGAAAGCGTAAACATCATCAATCCTGAAGATGCTGCCATCCTGTTCAAAGCGGAGGGCCATTACCCTAAAAGGCTGAAAGTTGAAGCGTGGACATCATACAGAGATTACAGGAATCGCAAATATGGAGTTTTACTCAAGTATGTGCTGTTGTTTCTCCTTTCTACCAACTTTAAATGCCGCTTCACCAATACTTAGAAACTTAAATGAAACTAAGGTTTGGTCTTCAAGATAGTGCCCTGCTAGAATTAATTAATTCAACATCCAATTATCACACAGGGACGGAGAGGACTGGAGGTCAAACCGTGTGATTCTCAATAAGGAGGTGATTTCCCCGAAGGTGCTGGAAAACTTTGTGCCTTTGCTGGAGGAAGTGGGCGAGGATTTTGTGGCCAGGGTTCACAAGAAGATTCAGCGTAGTGGCCAGAACAAATGGACCACTGACCTTTCTCAAGAACTCTTTAAATATGCACTGGAGTGTGAGAATGATATATTACAAAGCATCCTTTAGTGCACTCACTGTGTAAGTCAGAGTCACTTTTTTTTTTTCCCTTGTCCTTGTCTTATTTTGACTCTGTCCTCACACAGCGGTGGGCTCGGTGCTCTATGGGGAGCGTCTTGGTCTAATGCTTGACTACATTGACCCTGAAGCTCAACATTTCATTGACTGCATCACCCTCATGTTCAAGACTACCTCGCCTATGCTGTACATCCCTCCTGCTCTGCTGCGGCAGATTGGTGCAAAGGTGTGGCGGGACCATGTGGATGCCTGGGATGGGATCTTCAACCAAGGTAGAAGAACCAGGAATATCATTTTGTAGTTTTGGTTGGGCGTCATGAGTTTGTTAGGTTTGGCATGAAAGTCACATTCTGCTCTATGTGGAGCATTTTTTAAACTTCAGAAAATATCTTTTGCTTAGCGGATCGTTGCATCCAGAACATCTACAGGCAGCTACGACAGGACACCAGCTCCTCAAACAAATACCCAGGAGTCCTTGCTAGGCTGCTCTTGCTAGACAAGCTGTCCATAGAAGATATCAAGGCCAGCATCACTGAACTAATGGCTGGAGGAGTAGATACAGTGAGCCAAAAATCGAACTCAATAGTCATTTCCTGTCCAGAGTGTTGCCTTTAACAGCTTTCTTAAGTCTGCGTCTTTCTATTTGGTGTTTCAGACTTCCATAACTCTGCTGTGGACATTGTATGAACTAGCTAGACACCCCAACCTCCAGGAGGAGCTGAGAGCGGAGGTAGCTTCAGCTCGGGCTGAGAGCCAGGGAGACATGCTTGAGATGCTGAAGAGGATTCCACTGGTGAAAGGAGCTTTGAAGGAAACACTCAGGTGAAATACTGGATACATCATGCTGTACTGTAGATATGTAAGGGAATAAATTATAGCACCTCAGACTCGGATTGTTTTTATGTTATTCTGATTTTATGCAGTTTTTTCACAACCATGCAATCTACTACACAAAAAGTCTCCTTTTAAAACAGCTTTGATTTCTCAGGTTACACCCTGTTGCAGTGAGCTTGCAAAGATACATTTCGGAAGATGTCATCATTCAAAATTATCACATCCCCCCAGGGGTAAGAGACTATTTAATAACATCATCATCTAATCATGTTTTTGTATTTAAGCTTTTTCAAGGAACTAAGCAAATATTGAAAGCATATAGCGTGACTCACCTTTTTTTGTACATGTTTTTTTTAGACTCTGGTACAGTTAGGACTGTACGCGATGGGGAGAGACCCCAAAGTGTTTCTCCATCCGGAGCAGTATCGGCCCTCCCGCTGGCTGAGGACAGAGACGCACTACTTCAGAAGCCTGGGCTTCGGCTTCGGCCCGCGTCAGTGTTTAGGCCGCAGGATTGCTGAGACCGAGATGCAAATCTTCCTCATCCATGTGAGAAATGCACGCAATAAAAGGAGGAGCTTCACCATATTCTGTGGCAATTATACGATACGTATATATCATGAACTGCTTGCCTTATCTCCTGTCTTTTGCAGATGCTTGAGAACTTCAGAGTGGAGAAACAGCGCCATGTGGAAGTGCAAAGTACCTTCGAGCTTATTCTCTTACCGGAAAAGCCAATCATCTTGACTTTGAAGCCGCTAAAGACCAATCGGTAACACCAAGTTATGAAGAAAAATCTACTAAAGCCTTCATAACATGTTTCAACCTAAGATGCTGATGGAGAGCAAATAAAGACATTGGGAATGAAAAAGCTAAACATTTGGCATGAACGAATTACCTCGCGTATACCATAACATGCCAAAAGAATAATTATACCCTATGTGCAATGTATTACTTGATGTGTGATCTGAGTAATGATGGAAATGTGAAGTCAGTATGTACAACTTCTTTAAAATGTTGAATTTACACTGAATGTACAGAGACTAATTGTTTTATTAGATTTGAAATAACTACCAGTATCTCTATAAACCAGTGATGAATAAAACTCTACCAATTCTTAAAATATGTCATGTAATGTATTATTTTATTATACATATTTGGTTCGTGTGTGTGTCTGTGTGTGTGTGTTTGACGGGTCAACAGTTCACTGTAATATTTGCAGGTCACTTTATAGGCTTCTGGCTCCTCTCTCTGCTTTGCTGATACAATGATCCTGATTTAGACCTCTATAAGAAGCAGAAAATCATTCTGTGTCAAATATGTTGATAAAACTCCTTCAGCACAGCCTGTGTGAGGTAAATTGGAGGAAAAGGTTAATGCACTCTGCTTACCGATGGATCATTATGAAAGATGGTGGTGGATGTTCGGACAAAGCCGTGCTTGTGCTCGCTCAGTTTGGTCATCATTTCCTGTTTCTCTCTCCCCCACTGCTTCGAATTCTCCTCCAACTGTAATACAAGCCAAGAAAACAAAGCATCATCTGATGTACAGCTCAAAAGTACATTTAACATACAGTAAATAGTAAAAAGTTACTTTTTAGATTTTCACCTGGGCCTCCAGTGTTTGGACTCTTGCCTCAGCCTGCTCCACTTTGTGAAGTAATCTCAGTCTCTCACTGAGTGGCAGTGCGTCTTTTGTCTGAGAGGAAAATAATACATAAATTCATTAACTGCAACATCAAATTTGGTTAATGAAATAATGTTGAATTATATGTTCATGTAGTCACATTGAACCTTCAGGCCGAGCTTTAGTCAATCCATAACCCTTCTTTCTGGGTAAAGTCTTACACCCGTTTTCATTTTTTTAATTCTAAATATAAAAATTTACCCGGTCTGAATACTGGCTTGAATGTGTTGTTGGAGTACCTGTTCTGACTGCTGGATAAAAACGGGGTTAGGCTGCTGGTGAAATCTGTCCAGCTCTTCTCTGAGGCGAGTGTTTTCTGCTGCTAGGGCCGACTCGATCTCCTCCTTTCTTTTGTCATTCTCTCCTACACGGCATCAAGAGAAGTTCTGGCTACCACAAATGTTGTTTTTTGTAAACACAAATTGTTATCTTACTTGACTGAGTCCTCCCACCTCTTTGCTTTTTTACCATTAGTCTGTTGTCACCACTCTGCTTATTGTTTCCACTGAGTTTGCTCTCCAAAGCTTTCTCCATCTCCTCAATGACCTGAAACATTTTGATGACACAAGTGTACAGAATAATACAATCATCACTCTGTAAAATCAGATGCCAGTAAGTGCGTAGGAGTGGATGTGCTGACCTTTTCCTGCTGTTTCACGGTGCCCTCCAAAGATGCCATCTTTGCCAGGCAATTCTGTTGATCCACCAGCTGCAGCTTATGGACTCTCTGAAGCTTCAGTAGCTCCTTCTCACTGTCGTTCTTCTGCACCACACACACACACACACACACACACACACACACACACACACACACACACACACACACACACACACACACACACACACACACACACACACACACACACACACACACACACACACACACACACACACACACACACACACACACACACACACACACACACACACACACACACACACACACACACACACACACACACACACACACACACACACACACACACACACACACAGAGAACTGAACCATTTTCATAACAAATTTGTGTCGATCAAAATGATGAATAACGTTCTTTAAGGCCATATGAGTAATTTATTAGCCTAATGAAGTATCATTTTCAACTTTTTCTTCTATCTGATTATTTTTTACAATGCAATATGAGTGATGTGAAGAATATGTTGGTTGTTTGTGGTTTACAATGGTGTGTGCTTTGGGATTGTTGTTTGTATCTATGGTTTTTATTTATTGATTGTATGGTATGGTATGATATGGTATGGTACGGTATAGTTTTGTATGGTGTGGTATAGTATAGTTTGGTATGCTATGGTATGGTATGGTATAGTTTGGTATGGTGTGATATAGTTTGGTATGATATGGTATAGTTTGGTATGATATGGTATGGTATAGTTTGGTATGATATGGTATGGTACGGTATAGTTTGGTATGGTATGGTATAGTTTGGTATGATATGGTATGGTATAGTTTGGTATGATATGGTATGGTATAGTTTGGTATGATATGGTATGGTACGGTATAGTTTGGTATGGTATGGTATAGTTTGGTATGATATGGTATGGTATAGTTTGGTATGATATGGTATGGTATAGTTTGGTATGATATGGTATGGTACGGTATAGTTTGGTATGGTATGGTATGGTATAGTTTGATATGATATGGTATGGTATAGTTTGGTATGATATGGTATGGTATAGTTTGGTATGATATGGTACGGTATAGTTTGGTATGGTATGGTATAGTTTGGTATGATATGGTATGGTATGGTATAGTTTGGTATGATATGGTATGGTATAGTTTGATATGATATGGTATGGTATAGTTTGGTATGATATGGTATGGTATAGTTTGGTATGATATGGTACGGTATAGTTTGGTATGGTATGGTATAGTTTGGTATGATATGGTATGGTATAGTTTGGTATGATATGGTATGGTATAGTTTGGTATGGTATGGTATAGTTTGGTATGATATGGTATGGTATAGTTTGGTATAGTATGATATGGTATAGTTTGGTATGATATGGTATGGTATAGTTTGGTATGATATGGTGTGGTATAGTATGGTAGTTTGGTATGATATGGTAGTTTGATATGGTATGGTATAGTTTTGTATAGTATGATATGGTATAGTTTGGTATGGTATGGTATAGTTTGGTATAATATGGTATTGTATGGCATAGTTTGGTATGGTAGTTTGGTATGATATGGTATGGTATGGTGTGGTATAGTTTGATATGGTATGGTATGGTATAGTTTGGTATGATATGTTATGGTATAGTTTGGTATGGTATATTTTGGTATATGGTATGGTATAGTTTGGTATGATATGGTATAGTTTGGTATGATATGGTAGTTTGGTATAATATGGTATTGTATGGCATAGTTTGGTATGGTAGTTTGGTATGATATGGTATGGTATGGTGTGGTATAGTTTGATATGGTATGGTATGGTATAGTTTGGTATGATATGTTATGGTATAGTTTGGTATGGTATATTTTGGTATATGGTGTGGTATAGTTTGGTATGATATGGTATAGTTTGGTATGATATGGTATAGTTTGGTATGATATGATATGGTATGGTATGGTATAGTTTGGTATGGCATAGTTTGCTATGATATGTTATGGTATAGTTTGGAGTGGTGTTGTATGATATGGTATGGTATATTTTGGTATGATATGGTGTTGTATGGTATGGTATAGTTTGGTATGGTATGAACAATTAACTAAATAAACACCACACATTCACGTGCATGAACTTAATTTATGAAGTCTAAATGTAGGAAATCTTTCCACCTTGATGAGGTCATTCTGCAGCTGTTGGATCCTTTCCCTTTGCGAGGCAGCCTTCCTGATCTCACTGGCAACCTTGAGCTTTAGGGAGGCTAAAACAAACAAGGACGATACAAACAGTTAATTTATCCGGCTATTGAGACACGTATTGTGCTGTTTTTAGGCTATATAAAAAAGTTTAAAACTAAGAAATGACAGCATAGTTTATCCAAGATGAGAAATGCATTTGATATGTAAATATGATATTTAAACTTGAATGACTTTTCAAATAAACATGTTGGTTCTGGGGCTCAGACATTGAAACAGTGCTGATCTAAACCTTCGTCAATAAAACTTTCAAGTGATTTTCTGTTGGACGGGAAATCAGTCCCGTTTCTTTGCTTTGCTGCCAAGCAGACAGGCCATCAGGAATATCCTTTCACTGAGGGTCACAGACTGTCCTTCAGGAGATAAGGGATGTACCACCCGCACAGCTTATCAGGGTCCATGGCCTAAATGAGCTGTCTTATCATAAAACGTCACAGTCTGCTTGGGAATAGACACTCACAAGGGTTATGAAGCACACAGTGAGCCCTCTTTTACTTCACTGTTGTTTCATAAACAAAAAAGGCCTTAAATCCTCAAAAACATGAAGTGAAGTTTTGACAGCTGCTCGGGTGGATACAAATCTTTCTGACATGAAAAAATCAAAATGACTTTCTTCCTTTAATCAAGTTTAAGTGAGCAGAAGATTGTATTGCTTTTTCTCAGGCTCACAGAAGAAGGGATGCATATACAACATATATACAGTTTAATACACATGTAATGGAAACCCACGATGCTCTGCAGTGGCTTACCTATATGTTTAGAAATCTCTGCATTGGTCATGGTTTCAATGTCTGAGTCATTCAGATGATCTCGGTCGAGGTCCTGGTGTAGAGACCGGTCAATGCGGAGCCGGCTGTTTTCTGCCTCCAATGTCACTACCTGCGTCCTCAGCTCTATGATGTCTTCTGCCATCTTGCTCATGGCTGAGCGGTAGTTTTCAACCTCCTGATGGAGAGTTACAGTGCTGAAGTGAGGTATTCTTTTAAATTGGTAGATAGACAATAAAAAAGTAATTAAACCAAAATTCTAAGTTGTTCAGAAGCAGTTAGATTGGATTGCAGCTATTGGAGTGAATCAAGTCTAAACCGGTCCCATCCAATCAAATTGATCGCACAATACAACCTTTTGTATTGTTTATTATATCATTATGCATTTATTGGAATTGCTTAACCTTATAAAGATATAGTAGATGAAGTAGGTACCTTTGAGACCTTGATCTATCATTGGTGTAAACAATGTTTTTTAGAAATGTAAAATGTACATTTATGCGATGTCTGCTTTGATTTGATTTTGTCTCTCAAAACTAACAAATTCCCAACCAGGAGAAATATAGTCCTATGAAGATCATGATTACAATTATCAATTGTGTTTTTATTAAACAAAAACCTGAAAAACATTAAGAAAGAAGAGCTCATCCTGGAGAGCAAAAATTTGATCCAGCCTGAAGCTCACAGGGAAACCTCATCAGTTTGAGTCAAAATAAAAAAGAATAAAATTAAAAAATAAACACTAACTTGGTGTGCAAAAAAAGATTCCAAAAAAATTATTCCTAGAAACCTGCTGGGACGAACTTGTTCCTGAGCAGTTCTTTTGATCACCACTAGATGTCTCTTCAGCTCCATCTTTAAGAGTTGTTGGCCCCAGGTTGTAGTAAACAAGCCAGTTCTGAACATACTAAACATACTGAAAGGATCTAAGAACATCCATGACCTGTCTGTGAGTAAATGAATAATGTATATTTGTCTTGGTTCTGATAACTACATCACACTGGATAGGACATAACTGGACGTCGAAAGACCATACTATGACAACAAGTGTGAAGCTCCTGTATTTGATTGTCTAAGGTTGAGGCACAATGAATTCATATGTCAGCCTCCTGAGATCCAATGGGACAATAATACCCTCTCCTGTGAAAGCCTTTAGTCATGGGAGCTTTGACTGGGGGGTTCAGGACAAATCCTAGTTGAGCATACATAATGCTGCCCTTCTCTGTAATCCCATTGTGTCAATTTTAGAGGAAAAATCATGTCAAAAAAAATCTTTCTATGAGTTATTTTCTTAGCAAAACAGACGGAACAGCTTTACATTTTACAAAAAGCTCATGTACATTTTTTCCTTCTGTCTTGTTACCCTCACAGACTTAAGCTGCTATGCTGCTTTCCAGGAATGAGACTGGCGCAGAGCTGTTATCAAGACATTTCTCTCTGAAAGGCACATGCATGTTGCAGCCCATTGTACTTCTTCACACACACATTGAATAGACAGAATAGGATGGAGATTGAGAGCAGTGGTCCAGCTGCATGTATGAGGAGGAGGAGGAGGAGGAGGGGGGGGGGCGATTAGGGGGATTCCAATCTTGGACGGTGTGGTTGTGACTCCCTTGGGACAGGAGGGTGAAATTGAGCATCTAATTGAAAGGGCAGGGACAAGGTGACAATCATGACTGTAGATGGGATGGTGTCTCTGTTGGGGGGCCCACAGGCATGACGGGAAGGACGGCTCCCCATGATGAGTGTGGAGAGTCCCATCGTGTGTGAAAAATAAAAGAAGAGTCTGTCTCTCCCTATTGGAGCTTTACTCCACTGTCTTTCCTTTGAAGACATTAAAGTGGTCTCACTGTCATACACGCTGTCACTTTAGGACACTTCTATTCCAGACGGAAGGCAGCGGGATTGCATTGTGAGGATAATTAATCAGGTTTTCTAAAGCTTTAGAACTATGTATGTTGGTATGACACATTACAAATTGAATTTACATCATGACATTGTGGAAATTAATATCCAAATCTCTGCCTTTTTATAAACAGCTTACATTGAATTTGAACCATTTTCCATCAGCAGAAAAAATGCAGGATTAGTTTTTAAACCATTCTGGGGTCCTTGCACGAGTTCATCCTCATTGACTCAAATCGTCCTTGTTTAAAATCTGAGAAATGTTCATCTATTGTACTTTAGGCTATTATATGTCCAAACTGTGTGATCACGTTCAATTGCCTCGGCACATCCGACTCCCTTACTCTCTGTCCACTAACCAAACCTGACATTTGAGATTGCTTTTGTCATTGATTCAAGAGTTTTAGTGTCAATGAGGGTCTAATTACCTTAGTTTGGAGGCTGCTGATCTCTGCCATGCTCGGATCATCCTCAAAGACATGCAGGGGAGGTCTAAGATAGGAACAATGAAGGAAAGTAAAAATAACTCATTGGGGACTCAATAGAGACATCCATAAGTATTACTATCTTTTTGCATGTTGTCTGCATTACCGTTTATGTGGATGATGTATCTGATAGGTATGGTTGATGTTGGGTTTGTTAGCTGGCTTCTTTAGATGTTGTTGGGTTTCTTTGTGCATCTTAGTCTTCACTCCCTTGAAGATGAAGTGATTATTTGGTAGAATCTGTGCCAGGGCATTGTGGGGTGGAAGGTTGTATCTATTATTCTGAAAGTGAAGAGGAAATATTGTGTTTACTGACAAATTTCCACGATGAGATAGACATAGACAGCAAAAATCCCCTAATTCCCACACTATTTTAGAGTAAATATAATTGAACGTAAATCAATAGTATGAGGCATCAATAGTATAAGAGACCAAGGCACTGAACTGTGTGCTTGTATCTTTAAATTAATTCCTAGCTTGACTTTGGGTGAGTCCGTTACGAAAATGTCTCATCAGCAAACAGTTAGGAAACATCTGCCATTAATGAATAACAAGCATAAAATGTGTGCCGATAACAGGAAAGAAAAAATCCACTGACCTTTGACAATATCTAAAAAAAATTGCCTCAAACAGCTATAAACAATGTGTTGTGAAATAGAGGCTCTATGAAACATGGTGCAAGTTGCAATTTCGATTCCACTGTATGTCTGGCATATTTTGAAATTGACAATAAAGTTGACTTTGACTAAAAAGTGGCTAAATGCTGACATTAGGTTCTGTCTAACGATAGTTCAAATAGTGTTTTCATTAAAAAAAAATGGTGAAGTGTCTCACTCATACAACCTAGAGGGCAATAATACACTATAACATCATTTGAGTGTACCTTCAGAGGGAAAGGGTTAGCCGTTTGAAAATGGCTTTTTGTTTTACCAGCTTAACTTGTAATGATTAATCTGATATCTGAAGACAGTTGATTGTACAATTTATATTCATGACATGTTTGAAAAATGACCCTACTTCTGGTTAGAGTCTCCAAGACACCAGAACTACAAAGAGGTCGAATACACTCTGGAAAATCACAGACGACGAACATGAATCTGGTTGTTTAAACATGGCATTATTTCCTTAACAATGTGAGTGAGCAACCTTGATTTACATCTGTAGAGTGAATCTTAAATCTACCACTTGGGTTTTTACAGAAATAAAAGCTTTTATCTAAAACAAAAAAAAAGTTGTAGCGTTGAGCCCTGAGTACTCACTGTGTGTGTGTGTGATGTCTGTTCTACCTCTTCATCTCTTGAATATAAAGGCTGTTACATCACTATGCATACAGTACCCACTCTATAACAAGAGAGCACTTAGTCAATAACCCCACAGTCCTCAGGATTGAGCCCTGCATATACAAATGACACTACCAATGATCACTGTTGCCAGGTATCATAAAGTAATCACATGAAATAAGAGCATCATCTCTTATCCTCCTACAGCTTTTTCCTCCAACACAAATCCCTCCACACTGTCAGGGCCTACCTTTGCAGCTTCAGGGCTGCCGAGCGATTTAGTCTTTCTCAAGGCCTTCATCCCAAAGAAAAAGTCCTTATGAGGGGAATGAACACCTTACTGATGGAGAATGTTAAAGCTGGAGCTCTGTCATCACGTAAGAACAATCAACCTGTAACCACAACACTAGCCCTAGCAACTTTCAGGGCCAATATGACTCCTACTGTGTACAACACTAAAGTATCATGTTTCATATTTAACAAGAGATCCAAGCTGAACTGTGGCATGCTCTTTCTGTTTTCATCCTCTTTATCTTCTTCCGCAGTGGTGGAGAGCAACACTCCGCTTTTACTGACAAACTACCTCAAAATTGTTCTGACATTTAATTATAACTGTGAGCTCTTCTGTCTATTTTACGGTGTTGTATCATGTGTGTCATTTCTTTAAGTGTAACCAGGGACAAGGACTGCAAATTAGCCAATTAGGCCAGAAGTCCTAAATACATTGCATCAGTTGCACTTTAATCAAATGATACAATGCCTGAATGTATTGTCTAGAAAAATAAATTGACAAATAAATGAATAAATATGTAACACAACTTTGAGGTAGTTTGACTGATACACATTCAATGTCAAGCAATTATGTTTACCTCTTTATGTTGGAGGTTAATATAGCAGCTTTACACCACTACATGCTTTGACAAACTAAGCCAGTTCATACTTAAAAGAGTATGAAAGAACAGAAGTCATTCTCTCCTAAACTTAACAGACATTATGTTCCTTCGACCACTTTTCCATTAAATGTACATAAATATTTTTCACTGAAGTCTTCTTAGAAATGATTGCTTTTGAAAAACATCTATCAATAATAATTAATAGTTTTCTTCAATAGTGATGTATAAGTGAACTTCTGAATAAAGACTATGACTTGTAATGAAATATTTCTCATTCTGGTAAACACACCTTGGATAACTTTCGTTATGATTTGGCACTATGTAAATAAACTTTCCTGCAATCTGCACAGCTGTGTTGCTGCTCGTATCTGAATACTTCTGACTGCTACCATTTAAAAAAAAAAAAAAAATGCATATTAGAAACAAAATCTAACCTTTTGTGTATGCCTGGAAACAGTGTGAAACAATCAATGGAATCAAATGGAGGTTCCTGCTCAGTAAATAGCAGCAGCCCCCCACATGCACGGTGTCTCAGCCTGGATAAGCAGATTGACGGTGAGCAGCTAATGATTTCTACGTGACACGCTGAGCAGCACCTGTGGCTCCCTCTGAGAATTTATTCCCAGCTCCACTCGACTCTGTTTGTCGTCAAATCAATGGGCAAAATGAATAAAATATAAATAAACGTAGTGTAAGAAAAACAAACAACAATAAATCTCCAAATTGAAAACTTGTCATATAAAGTGAAATCTAAAGGTTTTGAGATAACTTTTTCCTAACTCATGAGGTCGACAGTTGCTAAAAGGTTGAAATTTAAGCCAATATAAATGTCACATAATGCAGGAAACGTGGAAGACAAATTTAATTAATGAAGTGTTGGTTGCCTAACTGTGTCTAAACCTGTTTTAATGCAAATGTATGCAGGGCCTTCAATAGCATAGATCAATAACTGTCCTTTTAAGAGAGCCCATTAGCTATGAAGACATGAGATCATTAATGGCACAAAGATCTGATTACAGTGACTAATGATGGAAGTGAGGGCAGGGAGACATGACTTCTATGTGATCTGTATCCTAATTCTTTGCCCTTTGCATTTGTTTAAAGCAGGTAATGGACAGATGGGTGTATGGGTAAAAAACACCACAAAACACAAACATGTTAATATAAAGAATATTGTCCAAATGAAATGTCTACCTGATAATGAACTATACCAAAATGTTTTGTGCTTCTGTAGTCACTGCCAATAAACTCTTTTTATGGTTCAAATATTATCATTAGGTCAAAATGAAAAGCGCTGTGTCTGTGTCTCTTGGAAACTGCTTGTTATTTAAATTATGGAAGTAGACCTCATGACTTCGGGTGAGTTGGACTCTAAAATATCCAGTCAGCAAATAGTCAGGAAACATCTGTCAAAAAGGATTTACAAGCATAATGTGCACAGAGATAATAGGAAGGAAACAGACACCCAAAATAAGATAAGATAAGATAATCCTTTATTTATCCCACAATGGGAAAATTTACAATAAGAAAAAAAGTTGGTTGTGGTTTATGAGTAGCCAGATAAAACTTGTAATATTGATCAGGTTCAGAAAGCTGTTTTCCTCTGGGTGGGCTGTTCAAACGCCCCACTGGCATTAGCAAAAACGCCGATATACAAAGGTCAGATTCAGATATTAACATCCCTGTGCATAAAAATCTTGGATACAGCTTCTAATTTTAAAATCCTCTGTTAGGTTTTTAGATAAATATTTTCACAACTGCCTGTTTGAATTCATGATAAATAATTAATCCAATGCTTGCAGCTATGTGCTCTGCTGGAAGACATAATCTTTTTCTAATCCAACATGGGAAAACGTGTACAAGTGAAAACACTTCCCGCAAAATTCTAATATCACATCATCATGCACGAGATCGCCTGACAAATTTACAAAATCCTCCCAAGAAAATTATTCATCATCACATGTTGTGTTTGTGTGCAGAATGAATCTGACCCGGTTAACTATGAGGCCTGGGGAGTTGGGGGGGGGGTTGAAAGGGATGTGTGCAGTGTGTCCCCATGCAGGAAAAGGGAAAAGGGGTTTTGGGGGGGGGACTCTTGAGTCGATATGCGGACTGGGCTTTCTGTAACATAATCAGAATTCAAAGCACAGCTTGCAAAATGCAGCAAATGGGCTCTTCATTGGAGTGACAGCTCTGCGTCTGCAGCCACACAGAGCTTCAATTAGGCTGCCAGAACCAGCCAGCTCCCAGGAGCTTTCTCTTCATCCACATATTCCACATTTCCTGTCCAACACCTTTATTTCTATCGCTGAATCCTTCATCTGACACAGACTTCTCTCTTTCCCCCCACTTTTGACCTCAGCAGCCTCCCTGTCCGTCTTTCCTAAAAAGCCCCTTTCTCCTCAACCCTCTGACACCGCCTTCCACACCTGACAAAGTGGAAATACGTGTAGCGTGCTAATGGACACATATGTCAGTGGGCTGTTGGGAAACTGAAGGCATCTGAAGCAGGAAGGAGGGAAAACAACTTGATGAAAGAGGATGTACTTGTTTACATGGTCTCTCTACAGTGCAGGAATTCAGTTGCTTCCTTTTTCATGTCTGTGCTGCTAATGTAGAGATCTAATCAAGAAATAATGTGATTAGAACAGAGACCCAATAGCAACAGAGTCCTACTATTATTCAGCACTTTAGCTCACTCATAAGATCACAGTCTGTGTTCAGAGATACAGATGTGAATACAGAAAGAGAGGGATGGTTTCAGACTAAAAATATGCCAGGACAATTTCTAAAAAGTGTCTCATTAATATTTATACTCAGTGAAATTGGAAATTACCAAGACATCAACTATTTCATGTTTTGTTATTTTAAACTAAAATAAGGTTTAAATACATGATTTTATAATGTCTGCGTTTTAATCGAGCAAAAATCTTTATATGACACTCAACATTACCTGTTAGATTGAAAACCTACCTTAGTTGGTTATAGCACTGAATTAGTCAGTGAGGTTATTTCTAATATATTTTGCATTAAGGCTCTGGAAAACAATACAATTAGATTTTGCTAAATTGTTTTTTTCTATCAGCACAAAAAAAAAAAATCCATCACA